CCGTTGTTCTAAATCACATATGGATCTCTTCAGCACATATGTAGCTCAACTGGGTTTTTCGTCAGTAATTCCTTTATTCTGAGCCAAATTTCAATAAAATTTAATGTTCTAACATAAGGGTTGGCTTGAATGTTTCGGTGCTTAGTTTTCGTAAAAATCTGTATTCCGAGTCCGTTTAATGATTCTCTTATTACGTATCGAATGTTTTGGGCACACCTGAACCCACGACGGAAAGAATATCTCGACGAAGACAGCATAAAGATCCGATACAAAAATATGTTACTATAGTAAAATAGTAGAATCACAGTTCGATTTTCTTAAAAGAGAGCTTTGAATTTTGTATAGATTTTTTAAAACCTTGAAACCTTACCTTGCGATTTACACATTATGGTGTTACAGTGTACATCTGGATCAACGGCAATTCGCATATATTTTTTACCAACACTCAATTTTGATATCATTTTGGGGGTCTCCCCCGTGTGGATAGCGTCCTCACATTAAATAATGCAAAGTTTCTGTCGGGATTCGAACCAACAAAGTTTATGGCTATATTATACAGTAGACAATACAGATTTACTGTGCAGGAATTTCAGTTCGCAGATTGAAATAGATATAATAGCTATCATGAGAATACAAAATTTTATTTACCTGCTTGAGCGGTACTCAATCATTTACGCTTTAAAGTGCTGGACTTAAAGATCCTGAAGGACCAAGACAATTTAAGAACACTGAAGTGAATTACGGGGCAACATTTTACGGTTACCACAAAAAAGTGATCCATCGAAAGTATTAAAAGCAACAAAATTACATGAAAATTGCAGACTCGGTTTGATTGAATCTGTACATTAAAACACAGTGTAATTGCCAAAATCATACACAACATAAAAAAGCGGCATTTGCATTTCATGTCATAGTTACTGTTGTCATGCTTATTTTTAGCAAGCGGCGTCTAAGAGAAGTATCTGTAAAGAAGGCGTTTGATGTTTTTATATCATATACAATTCGTTGAGATATTGATATAAATTATAAGGTGAAATACAGGTCATATCTCGAGTGAAATATAGAATAGTTGGAATATAAGTCATATCCGACAGTATGAAACTGAATGTTGTATGTTAAACACAAGTCATATCGCGGTTTAAGAAACTGGGTGAAATTATGAATAATATTCTATACATTGAAAAATATTGTGAAATAGAAAGCACACCTTATATAAAGATTTGCATGACTTGGTATGATTTAGCGTCATTTTAGTTATGGTTGCCTAGTATCAGAGCAATACTGTATAGAATAGGACTGATCTTGAAAACTTTACTCCATATTCATTCAGTACCTTAACTTATCTTTGCACATTGGCACAAATTTTGACCACCAGTAGTTAAGGTCCAAAAGCCTAAAACATAAAATTTAAAATTTCTCACATAGATCAGCTGGGGCACTTAAAATAGAAAGATATGCAAAAGATAATTAAGAATTATTCCCATTGAAAATCGTATTTTTGAGCTATTCTTTGCCTAATTTGAGTGAAAAGCGTTTTCAATTTTGTGTCATTTTTCAAAAAATATAATATCAAAATTATATTTAGTATTTCGGAAAAACACAGTGACCGATCTGAAATTTTGCACTTAAGTTATTGGTCTTGATCTGCGTCAAATGGAACATTAATCTCAAACTAGAAATGTGTCCATAGGACACGGGTGCCCCCACCGCGCCACTGTTCTGTCAATCTTTTTACTAAGTCAAGGAAATTACTCTACAAATACTGGATAAATCCACAAGCAAAACCCCAGGTGCAAATCTAAAATATGCTGAGCAACCTGCCTATAAGGTTAAATGACTATGTCAAATCCTTTTTGAGAAACTTGCGACACAAGTTGAAAATTGCAAAAAAATTTCTAAGTGAAGTGCAATAACTCTTAAAATACTAAATAAATCCAGACGAAAATACCTGGTGCACAACTGCACATGCTAATCAATATTCCTGTAAAGTTACATGACTCTAGGTCAAATACTTTTTGAGTTACCTGCGACACAAGTTGAAAATTGCAAAATTTTACTAAGTCATGGGCAATATATCTGAAAATACTAAAAATATCCAGACGAAAATACCCAGGTGCACAACTACACATGCTGATCAACATTCCTGTAAAGTTTCATGACTCTAGGTCAAATACTTTTTGAGTTACGTGCGACACAAGTTGAAAATTGCAAAATTTTACTAAGTCAAAGGCAATAACTCTGAAAATACTAAATATATCCAGACGAAAATACCCAGGTGCACAACTACACATGCTGATCAACATTCCTGTAAAGTTTCATGACTCTAGGTCAAATACTTTTTGAGTTACATGCGACACAAGTTGAAAATTGCAAAATTTTACTAAGTCAAGGGCAATAACTCTGAAAATAATGAAAATTTCCAAAGGAAAATACCCAGGTGCACAACTACACATGCTGATCAACATTCCTGTAAAGTTTCATGACTCTAGGTCAAATACTTTTTGAGTTACGTGCGACACAAGTTGAAAATTGCAAAATTTTACTAAGTCAAGGGCAATAACTCTGAAAATACTAAAAATATCCAGACGAAAATACCCAGGTGCACAACTACACATGCTGATCAACATTCCTGTAAAGTTTCATGACTCTAGGTCAAATACTTTTTGAGTTACGTGCGACACAAGTTGAAAATTGCAAAATTTTACTAAGTCAAGGGCAATAACTCTGAAAATACTAAAAATATCCAGACGAAAATACCCAGGTGCACAACTACACATGCTGATCAACATTCCTGTAAAGTTTCATGACTCTAGGTCAAATACTTTTTGAGTTACGTGCGACACAAGTTGAAAATTGCAAAATTTTACTAAGTCAAGGGCAATAACTCTGAAAATACTAAAAATATCCAGGCGAAAATACACAGGTGCACAACTACACATGCTGATCAACATTCCTGTAAAGTTTCATGACTCTAGGTCAAATACTTTTTGAGTTACGTGCGACACAAAAGTGAACGGACGGACGGACGGAAGGACGGACGGAAGGACGGACGGACAGACGGACGGACAAGGGTAAATCTAAATGCCCGCCACTAATGTGGGGGTACAAAAATTATGTCCAGTCCGGTTATGTAAAAAAAACCTTAGTGGAGTCCCTTTAAACACGACCTACTCAGAATATGTGTATGTGTGACAGTGTCTGAAAAGTAACTTAATGGGTATCTCCTCTACACACAGCAAATTCTTCAGTACATGTATAACTAGAACTGCCACTATCATGGCGTGAATACCCCCGCATACCACTTTGTCAGAATCAACAGTGGCCATTTAGAGCTCAAGGACAACCTCCCTGCCAAATCTGAGGTTACTAAGCCAGTGCATTGCTAAGTTATGTATTCTACATGCTTCAAATGTGAAAATGTCAATACATTGCGGACAGGACATTCTTTAGCAATTGAGAAGAAAACTTTTTTTTGTCAAAGTCCCTGTGACCTTGACCTTTGACCCAGTGACTTCAAAATCAATAGGGGTCACCTTACAGTCATGATCAACATCCATACCAAATATGAAGACTGTGGGTCAAAGGAATCTTAAGTTAATGGCTGGACAAACTTTTTGAAGTTAAAGTCCCTATGACCTTGACCTTTGATCCAGTGACCTCAAAATCAAAAGGGGTCATCTACTAATCATGATCAACATCCATGCCAAATATGAAGACTGTGGGTCAAAGGAATCTAAAGTTATTTGGCGGACAAACTTTTTGAAGTCAAAGTCCCTGTGACCTTGACCTGGTAACCTCAAAATCAATAGGGGTCATCTACTAATCATGACTAACCTCCATGCCAAATATAAAGACTGTGGGTCAAAGGAATCTTAAGTTATTGGGCGGACAAACTTTTTGAAGTCAAGGCCCCTGTGACCTTGACTTTTGACCTGGTGACCTGAAAATCAATAGGGGTCATCTATTCGTCATGAGTAACCTCGATGCCAAATATGAAGACTGTGGGTCAAAGGAATCTTAAGATATTGGGCGGACAAGCTTTTGGAAGTCAAGGCCCCTGTGACCTTGACTTTAAACCTGGCGGCCTCAAAATAAATAGGGGTCATCTACTTGTCATGACTAACCTCCATGCAAAACATGAAGACTTTGGGTCAAAGATATCATAAGTTATTTGGCGGACAAGTTTTTTGAAGTCAAGGCCCCTGTGACCTTGACCTTTTACCTGGTGACCTCAAAATCAATAGGGGTCATCTACTAATCATGACTAACCTCCATGCCAAATATGAAGACTGTAGGTCAAAGGAATCTTAAGTTATTGGGCGGACAAGCTTTTTGAAGTCAAGGCCCCTGTGACCTTGACCTTTGACCTCAAAATCAATAGGGGTCATCTACTAATCATGACTAACCTCCATGCCAAATATGAAGACTGTAGGTCAAAGGAATCTTAAGTTATTGGGCGGACAAGCTTTTTGAAGTCAAGGCCCCTGTGACCTTGACCTTTGACCTAGTGACCTCAAAATCAATAGGGGTCATCTACTAATCATGACTAACCTCCATGCCAAATATGAAGACTGTAGGTCAAAGGAATCTTAAGTTATTGGGCGGACAAGCTTTTTGAAGTCAAGGCCCCTGTGACCTTGACCTTTGACCTCAAAATCAATAGGGGTCATCTACTAATCATGACTAACCTCCATGCCAAATATGAAGACTGTAGGTCAAAGGAATCTTAAGTTATTGGGCGGACAAGCTTTTTGAAGTCAAGGCCCCTGTGACCTTGACCTTTGACCTAGTGACCTCAAAATCAATAGGGGTCATCTACTAATCATGACTAACCTCCATGCCAAATATGAAGACTAAGGGTCAAAGGAATCTTTAGTTATGAGGCGGACAAGAAAAAACCGACGGACAGTCGGACGGCCGGACAAGCTGATACCAGTATACCCCCCTTACAACTTTGTTGTGCAGGGGTATAAAAAGCAAACTTGTTTCTTTTTTTAAAATGAAATCAAAACATCTTCATCAAATAACACACAACTTTATTCACATATTTTAAAGTCTGCAATATATTGTAAACAGCAATCGTTTTCATTATTTATACATAGTTATTTAAAATAGTTTCTATCTATCTATATAAGACTTCAAAAACATATGCCATCATTCAGAGCATGTTAAAACATTTCAAACTACATGTTATTACAACAAATCATTTACATTATTAGCTAGAATCTCCCACATGGTGGTTTCCATCTACCTGGTAAATTTCTCAAATCACAGGTGCAAATAAATCATTACCAATACAAGGATTCAGACATAATTGTTATTCAAATGACTGTCTACCTTAAGTTATGATACATGTATATGATTATTAAATTTTCACATATTGTCAGAATAAATCAATAAAATACCAACTAGAGATTGGTTAATTTTGTAGACTATATTCACAAACAACAAGGGCACCACAAAACCACAAAGATAGGGGGAATACAGGCCCAAATGTAAAAATGTTAAGAATCGATTCTAATGTTTTACCCAAGACAGAAACCCATTAATTAAACTTGTCCCAAACATGACTTATATGAGCCGTGTCATGACAAAACCAACATAGTGGGTTTGCGACCAGCATGGATCCAGACCAGCCTGCGCATCCGCGCAGTCTGATCAGGATCCATACTGTTCGCTATCAGTTTCTCTACTTGTAATAGAGTTGGTAAGCGAACCCATTATGTTGGTTTTGTCGTGACACAGCTTATATTAATTATCCTAATGACACTTAGTGACCCTCTTGGAAGTTGCATCTTTTACCCTTTATGTTTAATTCATATAACTTTTACAAAGTTTTACTAAGCAATACTACACACCAAATACTTATATCTAATCTCTAGACATTGTAGTTTTCCACAAGAAAGCTTAAATGTTTTTCGAAATACTAGTGTATTTCCACTAAGTGACCTCCTGGTTCAAAATATCACTGTCCTCAGTCATGACTCATGTAACTTTTATAGAGGTCACGATTCATGTAAGTTTTGTTGAGGATCGCAAGGTGATGCTACAAGCAAAATAATCCTTATAGAATAAAATATTTTTTAAACAAGTTTTATGTGTAAGTCTATGTAAAATAAGTTACTCTAAAGGTAAAATAAAATCAATACCAAAGACTTAAAAGAATAATCATGACATTGATAACAAAATACAGTAAACACAGAGAAAAAGCAAGGAACTTGAACCATGTGGAGCTATAACTGCTAGACTCAGGACCCTCAGATTTTTTTCTGACAAAACTGGATTGTAATACTGACTATAAGCATTCTTACTTTCCTTTAGTCATTACAGAGAATTCTATATACTTTAACAAGAGCTTGTCAAAGACAGCGCAGCTGTCCTATACTGGTGTAATGTTATGGAAGGGTCTTCAAAATAATGGACAAATGGAAGAGAAAAAATTTGCAAAATCTCCGTCTGCATAATTTGTTAGGTTTTTTTTCTACATAATAATTATCATCAACCTATCTATAAGTGATTTTTGAGTTATGGAGGGATCAGACAGAATAACTTGTGTTAAACCTATAAAGGTAAATCAACAAGTACTTTGAATAACTATGTGTGACCTTGATCTTGATTTAGGAAAGCCAAACATGTGTTCTGCTCATTATCTCATTATTATGAACATTAATGTCCCATAGTTTTTTTGTTCCATCATAAGATACAAGAGTGGACATAAAATTGCTAATGGATAGGCGGACAACCTGGTGCTAAACATCTGAATAATTGTTATGGGCATATAAAAATGACAAATCCAATATTGAACTCGACATTGTCAAGATATGATAACAAAACAACGGCTTGTTTTTGCTTTTGTTTACAATTGTCGTTTTGGTCAATACGAAGGTTAAGTGTTTAATTACAGGAATGGTTCAAGATAATGTATATTTGGTTAAGCTTGAGCTTTGGAATGAAAAGTTCTATGAGATAATTCAGGAACAAACTGTTATCACTTGCTCTGATTCCAATTCAAAGACAGAAATTGAAAGTATTAATTATGAATCGACATAAAAAGAGAAGATAGCAAACTACATTGTCAATTATCTTGTGTGCCAAATTTTAACCTGGACTTACAAGAAAACAAACTGATATAATTCAAGCAAAGATCAAGTTACACTAATGGGTTCTTTATAATACTGTAACATCGCTTTTCATTGTATGATCCTGACATTTATATACTTTTATATACAATGCTGCTGTCAATTTATAAAGAAATCTCTCTTTTTTTCTAAAAAAAAACATGCTACTTTATTAAATCATTTATAATTATAAATTCGTTATAAATATTTCTGACAGGTTATATGGCCCTATATAAACAGTTGTTTGTAATATAACCCTCACCTAGCGGCTCAGGTCATATTTCCAAACAACTGTTTATATAGGGCCATTTAACCTGTCAAAAATATTTATAATTAATAATATAGGATTCTTTCAGCTACAGTCTTATATGGCAATATTCACGTATGGAATAGCCTAAGTTAATATACAACTATAATTCAGTAAAATCCTTGTTAGAATACTTGGTTTTGGACAGTGAACCACAATTAAGATCCCTAAGACATGTGTCCAGTTTCAAATGAATGTGTTCTGAAAAGTTGGTTGTAGATATTCATCTTGCAAACTTACTTTTACTCATAAATTAATATTATACATTCAAATAAACTTTAACAAAAGAGTTTGGCTGACTCAATGGCCATTAGGATGGTCAAGCTACATTCAACAAAAATGAAATCGCATTTTACTTTAGCCATACATTACTCATTGACATCTAAATAGAATTTCTAAAATTAGCAGAAAAAAAAATATCCCTGATCTAAATATTTAACAAAATAATGTTAGAATAATATTTTCCGAATCTCCTCTCTTATTTTGGCATGATCGAATGGTAGGTTTTATTTTCACATCATTATATGAGACTCTGACAACAAAATTCTGACCATATATAGTGATATTCACATTATTAGTACCAAAAAATAAGAAAAGAAAACAAGGTGTCCAAACAATCCAAATCAGTCAAATTATCTTTCGAATCTACGTTGAACATTTACATCCTCATTAGTAGGGCTGCTGTCTCGGGAATGCTCTGAGACAGGGCTAACATTACCATGTTCATGAATCAAATTCTCTTCCATCTCAAAATACCCTCCCACTGCTCCAACATTATGTTCTTTGTCCATTTCTGCCATTTTTCGTTTCTCATTTAATTCTTCATGTAAACGCAGTTGTTCCTCAACAGTTCTAACTCCTCTGTCCTTCCCACAAATGCTATTTCTGTGCCTTGTTAAATGCTCAGTTGGAAGTCTGTAAAGTGTATCAAAGTCCTGTCCTTCTTCATTACTATTGCTTCGATTATTTCTTCTATTTTTCTTCTTTTTCTTGTCTCTTCTTACATTTTTTGAATTGCCTCATTCTTTCTTTTTCTTGTCTGATAAAGTCAATGAAGTCAGTATCAGCACTAGCTCTTGCTGGTTCTGACCGTCTTTCATTGTTTACTATGTCTTTATCTTTTGGCACTGACTGCTTTGCATTTATTATTTGGCTACCTAATTTAACCACTATTTATCAGCATTGCATTTTCTAATTCTTTAGCCTCTTTTGACTTTTCAGTACCAGAGTCTTTATTCTCTTTTGGGGAGATCTGTTCTTTAAGATTTTCTTCATCTGGTATATCTACAACTACTCTGAGATTTTTTACCTGATTTTCTAGCTGTAACGCCTGGTTGAAATGAGATGATATGAACTCTATGTTACCTCTTCCAGCAGTATTAAGCAAAGGTTCATCAATTTGTACATATTCTCTATTCCTTGGGCTGCCATTGGGTAATGCCCTGGCTGAGGACAAAGCAGTATTTCTATTATCAATGCTGTTTGAGATGAAATCTTCTATAAGCAGGCCAGTAGACAAAGAGTTTTGATTCTCTTTCTCTGTATCATTTTTTCCGCCTTCCTCAGGTTTATCCCTTTCAGCATCGGCCTCGTTTACGTCATGATCAGAATGAATATTTTCATTTGACAATGATAATGTAATGTCACCACATTGTGGCAGACTGCCAGGATCTGTTATTGCTGGCTCTTGAAGGATATCAGCAGTAATAGAAGATATTTGTATTCTAGTGCCGCATGACTCAATAGATTTGGACATTTCACTTGTTATTATACGTCTTGCAGACTTAGGTGAAAGGTCATCTACCTGTAATGTATACTCTAGCATGTCAATAAATTTGTATAAAATGGTAATATTTACATACAATGTATTACAATGAAATTCACAGTATTGACTTTGTTATAAATATATTTCCAAAAGATAATGCTTTCTGCAGATAAATCTTATGCAATACATTACATTAGTATTAAGTGGTATGCAATGATTTTAGCAAAAAAAGTATCCATTAACATTTATGAAGGCTTTTCATTAATTTCGCCTCAGGATAATCAAAATGATATCACTTTCGATATGGTAAACTGTTATCTACTCTATAATAAACAACCAGATAAAGGGCTGTCAGACTAATATTAAATCTTGATAGTTAAACAAGACCCTGCAAAATGACAGAACTTTATAAGTTCACACATATAAACAATCAAACTATAAATGAGGTGTGTCATGACAAAACCAACATAATGGGTTTGGGACCAGCATGGATCCAGACCAGCTTGCGCATCAACGCAGTCTGATCAGGATCCATGCTGTTTGCTTACCAACCCAATTACAAGTAGATAAACTGATAGCAAAAACCATGGATCCTGATCTGTTGGTTTTGTTATGACGCGGCTCAAATGTAGAGCTAAGAGAGAAAAATAAACAATGACTAATAGTGACTAACAGACATAATTATGACGACAAGTGTGATATTTTAACTGAAAACTTTTATAGTGACTATGAAGAAAAAGCCCTAACCTAAAACTTCATAACCAGAAATTTTCTGAGTCCACAAAAGATTGCAATTCAATAAATAGATTAGTGCTGGAGTCTTGGATAGCGGTCTACAATGATGGTTTATGTGCCGAGTAAAAGCCTTTAATGAAGAATGAGGTAACAAATTGCATTGGAAAACTTTTTTTAAAACGCAGTGCTGAGACACAATCAAGCAGGAAAGTCGTACTTATCATTTTGTAATAATTTATAGTCAAACTAATGGCATTACCTCATGTTCAATATGAAATGGTGTCAGTACAATAGGCTCATCCTCTATACAGCTGAACTGTTGCAGGTATGGATGAGCGAGAGCTTCCTCTGCTGACAGTCGCAAAGAAGGTTCAAACACCAACAATTTCTCCAGTAAATCTAATGCTGTAAAAAAAGAAATAAAAAGATTTTTTTTACTTTGGTTTTATGCCACACTTACACAGAATAGGTCATTTGGCGTCGTTCCAGCTTTACTGGTGGAGGAACACCTAAGGTACCCATCCGTGCATTTTTTTCAGGCACGAACAGGCACCTGAGTGGAACCACAGACGTTCCGTAAGCTAGCTGGATAGCTTCCTTGTATGAAAGAATCCAAAGTCTTTGTCAGGATTTGCACCCACAGTGGTGAAGGGCAAGTAGTTTGAAGTCAACAACCTGAGGCTTAATCACTCCCCCCCCCCCCCCCCCCCCCCCCCCAAAAAAAAAGGAAAAAAAAAGAAAAAAAAGATTAAATACCAAAGCATACTGCTCTATCATTACACATAGTGGCATTTATGTTCAATAGTTTATTATTATGTATATTTGGGTTCAAAAGCATGCTATTAAATTATACATTGTTTGTTTAATGGCCTTTTATTTCAGATACATGTATTTGGTTCAAAATTATGCTATGTATGTATATATGTGGACTAAAAACTACATGTTTTTTCCACATTATTCTGAGCAGTGGTTAAAGCCTCAAATGTCATTACTATTAGGACTCTTAGGTTCAACAAAAGACTGTTGTAACTCTTTTAAAGTGTTGTTATGAAACATAAATAGTGCAAAAGTACATGAAATTATCTAACTCAGATCATCTATTAACACATGCACATCAAGCAATTATCATAGTATTGCAAGCAATACAAAAGTATATGTTGAGTGATATAGAAACATACATATGAAGTTTGAAGCAGATACATTAAGAAATAAAGAAGTTATTAAAAAACAACATTTCTAAGTTCAAGGGAGGTAATTCTGATAACTTTTGAGCTAGAGTAGTAAACCATGTCACATATGATGTGCTGGATGACCAGAAACTATTATATTTAAAGTTTGAAGTAAATACCTTAAGAAATAAGTAAGTTTTAGTGAAAAAGCGTCAAAACTGGAATCAGAAATCTTGAAATTCAGTCTATTTGTTGCCATAGCAACCAGAATTTTCAACTTGGGAAGTAAAGCAAAAAATGTACATACTATCCAGACTACCATCTACCCATATTTCAAGTTTCATAAAAATATTTTCAGTTCTTTTTAAATTATCACTGGATCCAGTTTATGTATTAATTTTGCCATATTTTCAGTCTATTTGTTGCCATAGCAACCAGAATTTTCAACATTGGAAGAAAAGAAAAAATGTGCATACCCTCCATAATGCCATCTACCCATCTATCAAGTTTCATAAAAATATTTTCAGTACTTTTTACATGCTTTAAGTTATCGAGGGATCCAGTTTTGTGGACGGACAGACTGACGGACTGACAGACGGTCGGAAGGTAAACCTAAAATTCCCTCTGGTGAAACCGGTAGGGGACTAAAAAGTATTTTCATGCTTAAAGGTCATACTGAAAAAGTTTACGGAGAACATACTTAGCTACCTCTTAAAAAATTTGAACTTCATTAACTTATTCTTCATAAATGTCATTACTGAGAAATGATATTTTCAGCAATGGCTTTCAGACCTGCTTCATGTTTTTTTGTGAGCAACACATTGTCTTGAAATAACGATCACTTGCGCCACTCGCTCCTTCTACCATAATCAATGAATAGTTGGGTGTAAGGAGGCTAACCTACCAACCCTATTATTTTCAGACAAGCAACAAACTTTTTTCACCTACATGTAAATCATATGTAACTATTTTTACATATTGCGTATAATGATATAAATAGAGGATATTGAATGAGTGTAGCTTTAAAACTAAATTTATTGAATGAGTAGAATAAAATCAAATTATGCTAGCCTCTGGAGTGCATAATATTTTTTATTCAACAAGTTTTAATAAATTTGGTATCGAATCTACAAGAACATATTTTTCTTTTACATGTCTGAAATAAGAATGGTTTACAGTTAAAAGAGTCGATTTTCATTGACATGTCAGAATTTTCAGAATTAGAGTGTTTTAACACAATGTTTCTATTTAACATAAATGACATCAAATCAAAGTGTTATTTTACTAGTATAATATCGTTTTTGTTAAAATTAATGGGTTTAAGTGATAAGGATGTTTATTTCACACCTCATAAATATAACCAATGCACTTTCTGCATAAATACCATGTGATGTTCCAATAGAAATTATCAATTCTATCATGTTATTTCATTTTCATTTCCAGAGTCCAAAAGGCTCATACCAAATCGGTATCAGACCCCATATAGCCCTGTTTTTATTTTTTTATAGTCCAAAATCCTTATCAAATCCTGATTGTACTGAAGTAACAAAGTTCTGTCAAAAAATAGTGGTAGAAAATAAAGTGGTCATTAAACACAGGTGAGAATGATATTAATTCTATTGGACTCATACACAGCTGCAAAATCTATATCAGACTCCACTAGCCCCTAGTCCAATACAGTTTTGACAACTGTGTACTTGTTTAATAGAATTCAGTATTGTACTCAACAATGTACATGTATAATATCCTGATAATGCTTAATGGTCTTACCATCTATATCTACACTAGTAAATTTGTCAGCTAATGGTTTCTCTGGTACACGGCTGTGTCTCCGAATAAAACTCTGTGGTAATATCTGGGTTACTTTGTTCCATTCATTGTCACTCAGACATACAGTGTCAAGGATCAAACCTATCTGGTCCATCTCATGGGCACCTGTTCAACAGTAATAAGAGGAGTTTTATACAATATACATACGTATATTCACAATCAATACTTGTTAAGGAGGATTTCTCAGAGAAAAAGGTGTAATGACCTTGATGACCTCATTCCATCCTTTAAAAAGTAACCTACCTTTTTTCTTATATAAATCTGACTGAGTCATGACACTGTTTTTCACATACTAGTTACATAAATACATTAGATACATTTACCTAAACAATCAATTTTTTTGTTGTAACTTTATCTTTTTTAATGTCAGCTATAAAAAGGTTGCCTTACTTCATATAACTATTGGTCACATAATGGTTCTTTTGGATCTTTGATTTCAACACTTTTAGTGTTAATGATTTAATATATATATATATATTTAAATCTTTATAACTTATCATATACATGTTGAAAGTCAACATTAATTTAAGGCCTTTATATGCTTAGCTTTTGGACCTAATCCTTTTTCAGCAATTTATGCCTGAATTGCGTGATTTTTGGTATTTGTATAATCATAGACTATAATTTGACACTATTTGAAATAAACTATGTTTAAACTAAACAAACTAAATGGCAATTTTCCTAAGGCTCTAGGCAAAGTTTTTATGTCAAATCATTTATTTACCTGGAAAGAGTGGTCTACCAGTCAACATTTCAGCTAGAATACATCCTACACTCCATATATCTATAGCTTTAGTGTAGTCTCTAGGAGAGATGATAAGTTCAGGTGATCTATACCAACATGTACCTACATTATCTGTCAAAAAACCCTGTAACATCCAAAAACATATATATAACATGTACATGTATAGTATAAAAAAAAACAATATATTAGTGAAACTTCAGTCTTACAATTGTTGAGGTGAGAAGTAAACAAATTGTTAAAAGGTATGACAGATCATTAAAAAATCGGGAGACTTAAAAATCGCTTTGAAGTTTGTTTCAGGCGAAGTTGCTCATCCCAGGGCAACTTCTTCACCCTAGTCGCCCCCTAGCTCAAGCCCTGGTGTATATTGTTTATAACTTGTGTGTAACTTTGTGTGTTAATTGACAATGTAACAATACATGACAAGGCAAGATGGATGCCTTGTAATCATTAACATTCACCTCTGAGCACTTTTGTGGTGCACAGTTAAGCAACACTCCAAGTACTCCAAGCAGTAAATATTTCTGTTTTTTTTATAAGTTTTGCCAAATTATTCAGTTAAATCATGAATTTGGAAAACAACAGCATATAAAAGGTATTTACAATAAATGTTGTTAACAAAAATCTTAAATAAAGATAATTACATGTAACTATTGAGAACAGTTTGGTTTTCAACCCCTTTAATGAAGGAAAAGGAAATTGAAAACATTGCAAGCTTATCATTATATTCTTACCTTGTGAGAATAATCATCATCCAGAACCCTTGCAAGACCAAAATCTGCTATTTTAAGGACAAGGTCTTCAACATTGATCAGTAAATTCATTGGCTTAAGATCCCTGTGTAATACATTGGCAGAATGAATGTACTTCAACCCTCGCAGCAGCTGGTATGTGAAGAGACGTACATGTTCTTGTGTAAGTTGTTCTTGCTGTACAAGCTGATAGAGATCTGTATGAAGCAATTCTTGAACAATGTACACACTGCTGGTTTCATTCATATTTATATGTCCACCTCTTTCGAGACTGAAACCATTTGATCCTAGGACTTCATAAACTGTCACAACATTTTCATGTTGAAGTCTTCGCATCAAGCGTAACTCCCTCAATGCGTATTTACATCCCCTTCGATCTGAGAAACTCAGTTTCTTAATGGCTACTTCCTTGTCACAGTCGCTGTCAGTGGCCGAATAAACAACAGCATTACCACCATGGCCTATTGGACGTAGGTTAATAAACCTAGGATCCACACTGAACCCTGATCGTGACATCCCTGAAGGTGCAGAATTGTTGTTATCCATTCTTTCAACACAAGCTGTCTAATTCCCTATCCACTTCTTTAGTCACTCTACAAAACTCTGCAAAGATCATCTAAACAGGTAGGTACATGTATATTCTTGTCATTTTAGTTGATGATGCTAATCCATTGGCATGTCCAAGCATTTTGTGGTCTGAAAAACAGAAGAAAAAAAAATTTCATTACATTTTATTGGTGCAAGTTCTTAAAAAAAAACTCCAATTTAAGACAAACATACCCATATATTTATGTACAACTAAACTGACTTTTGAAAACAAGAGCTGTTAGTAAGACAGTAGCGACTTTTCTCAGTGCTTGATAGTAAAAGCGAAATCCTGCATTATGTAAAAAAATTTAAGCATAAAAAGGCCATAATTCTGTCAAAATCCATGTTAGTTATGGGCCTTAGCCAGTGACCTCCAATAAGTATGCATGCAAATAAACATGTTAAATTCTAACCCATTCCCTTCAGTAGTTTTGAAGATACCAATTTGCAGATAAAAATTAAATCAAAGTGTGACTCCAATGCTGAGTTGAGTACACTTACAGCTCTCGGGTCTCCCTATTCTTTGAATAGTCCAGCTAACAAGAGCACTGCATGCAGCAAAAATTCTTGGTTAAAACTCCAAAAATATAACTTTCAGAATTTAGCCCCTTGTCTAACAATAGTTCTGCAATATGCAATATGATGAGTAAAACTGGTTTTTACTACAGAGCAGCACTTTTTTCTTCACTTTCAAGGAAATGGTGGTCAGTCCAATAGAAAGGTAAAAGGAGGGGGAAAATGGGAAATTTAGAAACAGATACATGTCAAATAGTGATATAATATCATTGTTTTTACCTCCGCCTGTGTCTTGTAATTGTAATAAAATGGATTCTCTTTTTTTTCAGAAATAAGGGAAAATATTTACTTTCTTGGGAGGGGAATGGGACCAAATTTCAGCACAAGATTGGCCCTAAAAGCACTGCAGAGATGTTTTTTATATAATTTATGAAGAACAACAAGAGATGAATCTACATACCAAATATCTAGTAGTCTCTACATATATGCTCTAGGTTTTGTAGTTTTTAAGGTTAAGATTTTTAAGATATATTTACTATAGTTAATGTCTAATTATTAACTTTAACTACCAGCCTTAGACCACTTCTGACCCCTGGCCATAATTACTCCATGCATTGTACACTGTGTATCTAAGCTCTGGGCATTATAGTTTCACAGAAGAAGATTTAAAAGTTTTTTCATATATGTAAACATTACATGGCAAATATAAATTACAAATATGTGACTTTTGGTTTATACAGAATTTATTTTTAGTTTGATTGTGTAAGAAGCTATAAGCTTATAGACACACTTTCGAATCTGTTCCTGGAACCAACCAGTACTGAGCAATGAGTGTAAAGTTTCTTGCTCAAGGAAACAACGACTAGCCCCTGACGGGGTTTGAACCGATGTGGCTAGCAATCATTAGATTACTAGTCTGACGCGTTAACCACTCGGCCATGCTGCCACATGTGTGATTTTTCTGAAGGACCCCTAGGTGATCTGACAAACCTAGGTGATCTGTCACAAACCAAATATCTAAGCTATGATTCATTATCAACTATTATAATCATCAAATCAAAAAATTTATATATATATAACAACAATAAATAAATTTTTTGATTTGATGATTATAAGAGTTTCTGAGGAGAAGTTTTTACCTCCCAAAGAGTTTGCCGGAAACAGCTAACAAATTCTGGATAGCAAGAATGGATCATCCAAAATAAAAATCTGTCTTTAGGACAGAATTCTTGGCTATTCTCAGTGCCTGATAGTTAAACAAGAGCCAGGGTAATGTAGAATTTTCTGAGTTCAAAAAGGGTCATTATTCTGTCAAAATCCATGTTATAGAATTATGGACATTGGATAATAAGTGACCTCCTATTTTGCATTCAAATAGGTACTTAATAAGGTTTCAACACATTCCCTTCAGTAATTTTGGAGATACTAACTTACACTCATAAACTTAATCAAAGTGTGATGCTGACGCATGGGTAAGTACAATAGCTCTCCCTTTTCTTCAAATACTTGAGTTAAAAACTAAAGAAAAAGGTTGGACTTTAGCGTTATGTTGTGCGTGCAACTATCTTCCAGTCTCAATTTGGTGTGAAAACATTAGACTTTACACAACACGGTGGCCAGTACTATACTTCTTTCTTGATATAAATGTTATATATACCATGTACACACTTAGTTTAATTATATCAAATCAGGGTGAATGTACGTGTAAAGGCATGGCAGCATCGTACAGCGTATATTCACATCATAGAGAACCATAATTTGGATAAAATTGCAACATGTTTGTGTTGATTCATTACAAAATAACTCACTTATTGGGATCAAGTTAATGGCAACAATGCAAAATGTGCCGGTTTCTCTGGGAAGTACTGTTAGTGTTACACAAACATTACAGACATCAAGCTCTTGCCCATCATACATGTGACATCCCGGCGGGATTTAAAAAAATCCCGATATTTCAACACTGATCCCGATTCCCGATATTACAACTTGAATTCCCGATATTTATAAAAAATCAACATAAAAAAAATCACAGCACCTGTATCTAAAATGTAAACCGTGCCTCCGGGCATTGATTGTTATCTGTCTCATATCCTAAATTATAGCGGATTAAATGTTGAGTCGCTAATTGACAGCAAGGTGACGTAATAAACAGTTCCATCACCCAAAGTAATTCTCACATGTTTAACTTAACACGTGGTGTGTATCAGTCAATTGACCTCTTGTATAATTTGGCAGTAGGTATTACACGCTACGTCATCAAAACTACCCTGTAAATTTACATGTATGAATTCGGCTCAACCTTTGATTTTCTTTGATTAGTGCCGCACTGATAAAGATTAAAGGTGAGCAGAATCATTTAAAGTGGATCATTCAAAAACCTATTTGAGATGCGGCAAAACCATGTCTAATTAACCTATTTTTAGTGAGTTGGTAATTTTTTGTTTTGTTTAGGAATTACACAAACATCGAGGCAAAATTGTGGATTTAATTAACGGAGCGATTCTTGCATTTATTTTAAGTCTTCTACTTGCGTTACGTTATTTAACTGTCACATGAATAGTTGTTGCATGTTTTCAAATAGATTGTGTTTTAAATTATCAGCCAATTATTGTATGACTGAAAAGACAGATATAATTATTCCAACTGAAAATAATGAAATGAGAAAATGTGACTGTTTTAGAAATAGCCTGTAATATGACTTCACTCATTTATTTATTTTTTGGTGAAACAAATTAATATTGAATATTTAAATTGATAAATAAAAAAATCATAAAAAAAGTATAATCATTTAATGATTTTGAGGGTAATATAGTTTCTTTGAACCAAATGTGCCAAACACGCATTGAAATTCAAGTCGATAAAAAAAAATCCAGTTTTGAGCCTCAAAATCCAGCTGAAAATCCAGATTTGGCCCATTTCATTTGTCACATGTATGGCCCATCCTAATGACAAATAAATAAGAACAGTTTCACACCAAATGTTAACTAATCCTGCATATAAACATACCCAGTGAATACGGTCTAGTCATTTGTAACAAAAGTATGGCTTGAAAAATACAGCTGTAAGACTGTAAATTATTTGATATTGTATACAAATTATTACAATGTAAAAAGGTAGATCTATAAAACTTCAACAGTCAATTGAATTTGAAATTGATCAAAATCTACTATTATTTCTTAAATAATTTTGACACTCGGACCTGAGAAAAAATGATAACACCACTTTCATTTGACCTTTTATTTACAAATAGGCCTACTGTTATAATATGTTCGTCATGTCAAGTTCAACTATCCGAAAATAGGTTGGTCATTTACTATGACACATATATACATTTCAAAACACATCAAGCTACAGCCAATTAAAATTAACAATTTTACACTATCACAAAGATTATTTAAATATCAAAATACATACAGTCATGATTTCCGGTTTGCACTCTGAAATACTGGATTATGATATTTTTTACGGACAATTACTTTACACCGGAAGCGATCATTCTAAAAATTGCTGACGACTCATTTTGAATATTATCGGTATAATCCTAAAAGAATGGAACACCGTATAAATGGCCTTTTCACTACATTTACCGAATACTCACTTAATTTTCTTATGGTGCTTTATATCTGTAATAAAAGTCTCTGATTTTCTGAAAGTCGCCGGAAAAAAATGTAGTTGCAGGTTAAAAAGAAACGCAATGTTGCTGTCTATTCTGAAAATTTACCAAAAGAACAAGACAAAGTTACCCACATAGTTATTAAGACACCAGTTATTAACACATTTCAAACGTTAAAGAGTCGTACACATATTTGAATTATCCGAAAGCAATCAGTCAATAAAAGCATATTAATTACCACCTTATAATTCAGCAGTGACAATAGAAACATTCGAATCTATTGTCACTCTGCCTCTAGTACCGGTTTCTATGTCAAAAAATAAATTAATTTGTCAATCATACTATATGTATATGAAGTCAAAATATTTTGACGTGCCCAAATTAGATTATGAGATATTTTTTCTGGATCAGAATTGCAGTTATACCCTTACACAAAATAGCACAGTATCTCAACGCGTAGTACAGTTAGTTGGACTAAGTAAAAAGTTTTAAATTTTCACTTTTTAAAATATCTATAACCAGCGCTCACACATAATCTTTCCAGTTAATTGACAAAGTTTGGTATTCAGAAGAAGAAGAAGAAGAAGTAAAGATGAAAAATCGATGAATGCATAAGTGTACACGACTTACAGTGCTTCTTAGCTTAATTGCTCATGTTTTTCTTCATCAACAGCTTTTATTTCAATGTCCTGTGGTTTGCTTGAATGTCTAAATGAATTGAAGTTGTGATCTACATTTTATACATTAGTAATGCTGGACTCAGAAATAGTTCATCAGTTTTAGATGAATTGGATCCATTAATATTATATTATACATGAATTACTTTAAAATGTTTCAATATTGTTGAAAGACGATAGCCTGTCACGCATCAAACCTGTAGTGATCGGATGGCTATTTAATCAAAGCATTATTCTATCCACAAAGAATTTGTGAGTTCGATATACACTTAATTGAGGTACAATTTACAATGTTACATGACATTGTATTTATCAAAATGGAATTTGAAGTCCATTTAGTGATGTAGATACGTGGCAATATTTATATAATCGTGACATACATATTTCATAATAAGCTGCGATGATGTTCAAAAGCAACGGAATCATCTCCTTCACAACACGATTCCTTTCTAGATATGGGATTTCTTATTTGCATATGTGAAAGAAAAAGCAGATTTTATGACAAATCATTTTAAGACATGCTCAATCGCCACGTAACAGCTAGAATCATGACATGCTGACTATATAAGAAAGACCCTTTTTGAGAGTTCGTGTTAAATAAGAATCTATATTCTCTTAACTTTAATTGTTGCGCTGCATTCGTACTTGTGCTTGGTGAGTGACTATTTCATTAATTATAAGTTATTAATGATATGATTATAGATATAACTTAAAATTCTTAACTGTTCAAACGTTGTTGACATAAACTTAAGATTATTTATCATATCACTAAAACTTTAAACACATTAACCATTGTATTACAAAAGGATGGTCTCTATAATTAGTGTGGAAAGTATATAAATTTTCGTTATTGTATAAGATACAATGTATATTAATAGCGTCCGCTTAACCCTATAAGGTTTCACACTTTCCTCTCATACATGTACTTATTTTTATTATTTCATTATCTTATACATATTATATACGACTGCTATATCCTATTTAATGGTATGAACCCTCAGCAAGTGTTTCCAGTTTTCTCAGTATACTGCAGTTTGAGGAAATAAAAAAAACAATAAGTAAGCATAAAATCATGATATTGCCACTTTGCCATACTATATACATTGTATGTACATTGTAAGATAATCAAAACTTAACAGATACAAAAAGTCCCAGAGTATAAATATGGTGATAAATACTACAATATTGACTTGCATACCTATTTAGTATCATTCAGTGAATTACTGAATTTTTTCGTATAATAGATTCGTCCGTTACATAAATATCAAATCAAACAGATACTCATTATTAATAACCGAAATATATCTCGCAGAAAACAATAAATATTGTTTTATACGATTAAAACGTTTCTTACATTATTTCTGATCAGGACCGATACAGTGCTGTATTAAAAATATAAAGTCACACGTACACAAAAAGAAATCCAAATTAGTTTGAGTTACATCGGATTTCAGCCATGCCCACCTTTGGAAAATAATCATATAGATATACTTTTGCTGATATTCCTGTTCGAATACTGTAAATAATCGTAGATTACATTAAAACAGTGTTCATCTGACTTTGTTAACACATGCAAATTAATCAATAATTAAGGAATTGGTAACATTTTTAATAAACTTCAACTTAATTTATATATGCTAGAAAACCATTGTCCAAGGAAGGAACATATTGACATTTTCAACATTTACACACAAAGGCAAGTACACATTATTACCACAGAGAGTTCAGTGAGGACAAACGACAATCTGTTTGGTGACGCATTAATTAACGCATACATTGAAAAACTTAATTATTTAGGTGACTTTGGAATATACGAGGCAGCTCTTGACATATGTCAAGTGATTAAAAGACAAATGCATGCATTCTTTTATTCTTCATTGTACATTATAAGAGCTAACATCTAACCGTAACATTTTTGTATCTTTATTAAGAAAATTTACCTTTACTGGAGAGGAATTGATATAAGCATTGTTTTACTTGTTTTCCAATCCAGTCTGTTTTCCTTGTTGTGAAATGTTTGTAAATGTAGTTTATATGTACAATTAATTGAATAAATAAAGTTTAAACTAAGACATTTTTGAGTATATCTATCTTTCCCGTATAGGTATAAATTGTTATCTGTGTGGAAACGAAAATGCAATGTTTAAACAATAAAATTTCATTTTTTTCCAGTTTCACTTGGGGCCGTCATCTTTCTATTTAATTCTACGTATATTTCTTTGCATATTATTTAAATTGATCAATGGGAGAATTTCAGATTTTATGTTTTTTTTTTGACTCTGGACCTCAGTGAAGCTCCTTTAAGTATATCATTAAAAACAAACGCAAGAATGAACATTTACATTCAAGTATGTAATTAATCAAAGTCGAAGCAATGTCATGAATATTTCACACGTTTTGCTAAAACGGTCATAAGATAAGATAAGATAGTTTATTAAAGTCTCATCATCATGTACAATATTAAAATAATACAAATATAAAACCTACGACATTGTACATAAATGCCACTCAAAGATGAGTTATAAGAGACTATACATAACTTTACAACAAATCTAACATATTGGACATATCTACAAAGTTACTTAAAAATAAAACCAAGTATTTTTTATTCTTTTTTAAAAAAAAAAATAATAATAATGTGAAGTGTTGAGACAACCAGACTGTATTTATTTTAGTTGAAATTCTGTGTAGTTTGTGTTGTTATTGCTGGTTGTAAGATTTGAATGTTACAGCAGTGTACAAGTTTACAGTGTTCCGAGAAACGCCCAGATATATGCAGATCCTACACACATCCGAATGTTCATCCAAACACTATACCCTTGATATAATATGTATGTGTGTTTTACATAAATAGTAATGATATTGGGTGTAAAGCAATAAACAAGAAAGTGTGATTTATTCATGACTAGACATTGCAGTCCTATAGTATCATAAGACCTATTTGTATGTTAATACAACTGTATCTGTTACAATGGTTCAATTCAAGAAGCAGCCTCCAACCAAATACTCATGACTAAAATAAAGGCAAAGCTCAATATTGCGCATTAGAGCGATATCCTATATCAATATAAAAAATACAAAAATCTTAAATTAGGAATTTTTTATCACGTCTACTTATTGGAACCTACTTCTTGAATATATTTGTAAAAACCATAAAAACAATCTAAAATATTACTAACCATTATTTACATATTGGTTAAAACGATACTCCATAAAAACAAATAAAAGAATCATGATTTACAGTACAATTTTCTTTTTCTCTCAACCAGAATATGGTGGCAGGCTTTGGCAGATAAATATACTAGGTTTTCACTACTAAAAATTGTAACCATTTTGTCATCATCAGATATAATATCTCTATTTCTTAATACATCATCTAACGCAGAGACCAACTCTTTCCTTATATCATTATATAATGGACAGTAAAGTAATACATGTTTCTCATCTTCTATAGTGTCCGGACAGTTAAAGCATTTTCTATTCATTACATCAATATTTTCATAGCGACCTGTTTCTATTCTTAGTGGTGCTGCACCACATCTGAATTTTGTAAAGGCTGATCTATACATAAATGGCAACTTAGACGTAAGGTACTTTTCAGTGCAGAACTGAGATTTAAACTTCCTGTAAGTCCTTAATTTATTCCCTCCATTTCCTCTAATGGCATTTTCTCTCTCAAGTAATAACTTCCATTTATTTGTTTCTATTTCCATAAGTGTAGATTCTAGCATTGATATGGTAGGTTTGGCATTTCCGATATTAGCCTCTAGTATGTGATTACTATTAATATCTTTTAAAAGTTTCTTAAGTCGGTAAAAGCCATTCTTGACATTACTTGCTTTAGACCACATATATACAGACTTATTAATTCTATTATCATCCATATTCATAACTCTAAAATACTGTCTAAATACAGACACCCACTGTCTAACAATTGGTGGTTTCCAACCCATCTCTCCACTTACAGCCACATTCGGAGTGTATCTTCCAACACCTAAGTAGTAACGCATTGCCCTATGATGAACTGCATTAATGCACGAGTAAGATCTATCACCCCAAATCGGGGCACTGTAATTAATTATGGGCCATACCATTGAATCATAAAGTTTTGTTAATGTTGAGTACTGAAAACCACCAAATGCCTTACTTTTGGATATAACAAGACCAAGTGCTCTAGAGGCAGACATTGCAACTGTCTTTGCAATTTCATTATAATCCAAAAATTCATTTAGTACGACACCAAGATACTTATAACTATGAACAATTTCCAGTTTTTCTGAATTGAATTCAAAAACATGTTCAGTTTTAGAAACACTGTTGGCTCTAAAGTGAACAATATTGGATTTATCACAATTGACAGTCATTTTATTTTGACAACACCATAAAGCTAAAGCATCTAACATGGATTGAAGATCTTTGGCGTTTTCTGCCAACAAAACTATGTCATCAGCATATAGCAAAAATATATTTTCTTTCACCAATATAAACACCTTTGTCTAAATTATTCATATACATTACTAAATCATTAATATACAAGTTAAACAGCATTGGAGACAGGGGGCAGCCTTGTTTCAATCCACATTTTACATCAAACCAAGGTGTATCAAATCCATTTAAGCGTATACAGCACTTAACATCTTTATATAATGATGAAATTGCCTGAAACAGTCTGCCCCCTATCCCCACCTGCTGGTGCAACTTTTGCCATAGTGATGTACGGTCTATAAGGTCATACGCCTTCCTGAAATCTATAAAAGCAGTAAATGATTGTAACATTTTAAGTTTACGTGTTTTCAATAATAATTGTTAGGGACTGTACTTGGTCAATTGTACTTTTACCTTTTATAAAACCATTTTGCTCATCACTTATAATATTATTACTAGCTGTCCATTTTACTAATCTATTATTTAAAACAGAGCAGTATATTTATACATGGATGGAAGCCAATGAAATCTGTATGACAAAGGATCCCATGGGTCTGTGGTTGGAAACTTGGGAACTGGTGAAATTATACTCTTAGACCATGCAGTAGGAACAGTACCACTTAAAAAACATCTATTAAAAAGACTATGTAGCAAAGCTAACGCAGAATCATTTTTTAGTAGTTCACATGGTATATTGTAATAACCCGGTGCTTTTCCAGACTTTGCATGTAAAATACATTTCAATACCTCATCAATAATTATCATGCTATCAAAGTGTTCATTCGCTATTTCATCAACACTAGTAACATTAAACTGATCTAAATCAACAGAAGCCTGGTCATTGCCAAAGTCATTTGATGCAGTGTTCTTCGAGTTTAGAAGGACTTCAAAATCAGAGCCCACTTACTAAGTACAGTCTCTGGATCAGAGCTAATGGAACCATCGGACATTTTCACTTCAAACGGAATACGCTTTAAACGTTCATTTCCAATACCAATATTTCCAATACTTTTCCAAAATGATCTGGAGTTGGAAGATACTGCCGCCTCCAAATCAGACTGGGCTTGATAAACATATTGCCTCTTTGCTCTCTGAACACTACTATCAAATGCCTTTCTTCTCTGTTCATAAACATGTTTAAGATTTTGTCTATTACCATCTTTACATTTTAGCCACATTTTCTCCGCTTGGCATAAGTCAGTCCATAAGACAGTAAGGTGATCAGACCACCAAGGTTTATTTACTTTAAATTTCTTATCAGTTTTTCTGTGAGAAGAAATTTTTACAACTCTATGTTCTAGTTTAGAAGACATCTCCTTATGTACTATATTAACAAACTTATCATATGCCTCATTAAGACCAACCTGTGAAATCACTGTACTTTCCAAGTGACTAATAGTATCAAAAATCTCATGCTGAACATCTGGATTTGTCAAAAACTCTCTACCTACATTCTCAGTCTCATATAACAATTTGGTATACTCTATACTAGACTGGGAATTACATTGTTTAATATTTGTTCCCTGACCGTCTAAACATATATTCCATCCAAGCAATGAATGGTCTGGTATTGTGAGCTTACTAAGCTGAGAATACCCATTAGTAGAATCTAAAACATCGGACACCTTCAGTACTTCAAAATCATAAACTTTGACAAATTTCCATATGGAATTAAACAAAAATCAACAACTGATGCACCTTGAGGTCCAACAAATGTAAAAATTATTGTTTATAGTATTCCTACATTAAGAATACAAAAATTTACATTAATTAAAAATTCAGTTAAGATGTCTCCAAATTGGTTTGAAGAAAAATCTATACATCTCTATCTGGTAGCTGATCAATACCAGGGATATAGTCTACATTGTAGAACATCTACTGTTAAAGTCACCACACAAAAATAATAATGTTTTTTTTCTTTCTGATATGTTTCTATTTGACAAAGAAGCGTGTCATAAAATTCATTTACATCAATCTGCCTACTCGAGTTTTTCGGTGGCAAATAACAAACACAAGCAAGTATATCATCATAAATGACATTTTTTACATGACAATGAAATCCAAAAAATACCTTTAAACTCATTGTCAATAATATTACAATTAAAATAATTTAAAAGGTCATTTTTTATCAAAAAAGCAACACCTCCTGACCCAGTTTTTGCTTTTTTATGCAAGTTACCTCTATTAGATACATAAAATGTATAGCCTTCTACATGTAATACTTGATTATCACGAAGATGTCATATCTCCGCAGTGCCATTCGAATATACAGTCCGATCCTCCATAGTGTAATGGAAACTTGCAAAACTGTTGAACCTCAGTATGATGACCTTGAAATGTAAGAAAGAATTCAAAGACGCCCACATGTAAGCAAGAAAAATTGGTATCGTTAATTCTAAATAAGGGCACAATATGCCCCAGAAACGATATTTTCCCATTCTTAAGAAAAGGCAACAATGAGTTTTATAACATTTAAAGAATGGATTTAAAGAATATTAGATGCCTATCACCTGATGAAAGAAGCGCTAAATGTAAATTATTTGTCATAAAAGTAGCAAAATGTAAGCAAAGTAGTTTTTTAACTTCCATACAAAATGCTGAAATCACTGTACTGTACTTATTATCAATTACATGTAGCAAAACAAACAAAAGATGGTACAGGCAATTTGCCAATGAGTAACATTTTGAAAACTTTAAAAAAAGCTTTCGGGGAAAAATAAAAGCATTTCTGAGGCATATTGGGCATTTCATGTTATTTGTTTCTATAATAATGTTTCTATAATGAAATAAGTAATATTTTATGAAATACCGTTACGTTTATGTGATCCAATCCTACTCTTCCACCTTACTAGCTTAACCTTTATAATTAATACTTTTTTCATGACAAGCTTAACTTTTCAACAAAAGTATGTAATGATTTGTAAAAAAATTCAACCATGCTTTGGGGATACATGCATTTGCATTGCCTGTAATGACACTCTGTCGTTTTCTGGACAATTCACAGTCGCTGACAGTTCTCCATTCTTCGGGGTTCTTAAGAGCTGAAAACACAAATTGATACTCTATTCAATAAGTAAACTGAACACGGTTATAGCGAACTTCCGGTTATTAGGAACAATTGATTTTGCCCTTCTTTTTTTAATATTAAATTAAACTGTTATAGCGAACACCGTTATAAGGAATTATCGCTTATAAGGAACTCATTTCTTAGTCCCAATTTAGTTAAAAGTACAAAAAATTACACTTTTATCACGAACTCCAAAATATCGGCTATTCGTAAATAGATCCCGCAATTTCAACTTTGGTTTTCATTGGTCGGTGAATACGTGTACCGTTTATTGTTGTATGTACTTCAATACAACCGTGAAAATGAATTTATATAGCAGTACGTAATAGTTTTCCAAGCATGAATTCTTTTCACCAATTTAAAACGATTATTCCTTTTATTCTATTATTTCTATGTATATAAATAAAATTATTTAATAATATAATAAATGATCATAAACTCAGTTTATGATCATTTATTATTTATTATGTGTATATTAAATGTTAGTAAGCCATTTTACTCATCGTATTTGACTGAAAGTATAAACGTTTAGATTTTCATCTACAAGGTACTATTCTGAGCGTCGGTCGAATGCTCCATTACCATTCACATTCTCGTTTGAATTTCTACAAGTCAAGCGACTGTTGCTTCAGCGCAAAAGAGAACAACCATAATGATATATGTTTCTATTCAAAATACGAATTCAAACTTAGACTGAGCATTAGTGAATAAAACCTAGTCTGTTACATAAAGACTTAACATATGGTCAAGTCTCTATTTAGTTATGATATATCTAATAACCGGGTCAGACATTTAATCTCGTTATACTTAGTATCTCAATTAAGATAAGTGATCCCAATTATGAAAAGAATTTGTGATGTGGAAGAAATGTCCGTAAATTTTGAAAATTGTTTAAGCTTAGATATAAGACATAGAGAAACAATTACATTAAAATCTTAATTAAACATTAAAATATGTCTCTTTCCAAAAAATGTGTGTTGTTTTTAATTAAGCTGAAAATAGGTCTATCGCACCCACAATCCCTCCATAGTCTTTTATTATAATACTGCAACACTTTTTTTGTGCATCGCCAAAACGATTTGACAAAGTGATATTGTTGCGTGCGATTTATTTAAAATACTAGTGGTCTAATGTTGTTATTTTAAGTAGGAATGCGTTATGTCCCTCACTCATAGACATTAGTGGTAATAATATCTCATTTGTTTGTGATTTCAATTTTTATGACATAGCTAAATAGCATTTAAAGTTTTGAAGTTAAGCATATTATACAAATTTCGGTTTTGTACATTTGTTTAAAATTTGATCATCAGCTATTCGTTGTGCCTTCAATTTTTCAGTCCGATAATGTGAGAAGACATTATATATTATAGGTGTCCCTCGAGGTTATACAACATTTTTTCTTGAGTTCTTTCTTTATTCACAGGATTTTCATATTTTTAGTGTACATGCTGTAGCAAATTATGACCAATCAAGTACCTTAGATCTGAGTTTGACCCTAGAACATTTCTTTATAACCTTTGACCCAGGTTTAACATAACAACACAACAAAGTTCAATCTCATTCTTTATATCTCCGCGACACGACTAAAACTACATTGTATAACGTTTATTATTTTTCTATTTTAATCAGTACTTTCATAATCATATTCTATTTTATACTCAACGGTGATTAAAAGTCATGACAATTTCCCCCATAAACATAATTATTTCCAAAAATGGCGAATGTTCGCATGATATTTGACATTTACAGATTTGTCCATTAGATAAGTGAATTGACCAGAGGCGTGACTATATCTTTGACCAGCATGATTTGTTTACTATATAAGAATGGTCATCAGTAAGGTTGACCAGTGTTCAATTTATCTGGATTACCATCGAGACAACATGAAAGCTGTTCTTTGTTGCGTTCTTCTCGTAGCTGTTCTTGGTGAGTGCATTTCATATATCATCTAATAAGTTTTCTTTTGCATTACACGCGGTTCCTTGATATTTTAAGAAGAGACCGATCTTGTACATTAAAGATGTTTTCTAAAGGGGATATCCCCATGAATCAATGAAAAACAACACTACTTTGTGAAAACTAGAGACACAGTTTGAGTCTGTTCATGAAAGATTATGAAAAAGTGCAACTTGTCTTACACCACCTTAGCTACATACTTACCATTTTTTATAAATCATTTTTGATTTTCAGTATTGCAATACAAATCATAAAAAAATATATTGACTGCATCATACACTTGTATTTGCAGCTCTCTCGAGCGCAGAGGAATGCAGATCTGTGAGTGACTGTGGTCACGTGACATGTCCAGAAAGCAATTACCAACTTGAATGTCATAACAGACAGTGCACATGCAGCAAAGGTAAATGTTATGGGACGCGTTACACCTTTGAACAGACAAAAATATCACCTCATTTAAAGTTTTATTAGAATGGTAAAGAAAACTGCTTATGTAAAGTGTAATATCGCTCATTGTTAACAGTCAAAATTACTTACAGACCAGATAGAAAATGTAAATTTGAAAGATATCACAGATTTAAGTTGTAGAATGGTACAACTATTTAAAGTTTGTTGTTGTTGTTGTTTATACATATATATGTAATATAATTTTAGATAAAATTAATGCATTATATGAATTGTATGTACTTATTTCAGTGTCATCGAGCGGTTGCCGTGTACAGTCGGACTGTTCCGGAGATGATTGTAGGTACGGATGGCACTGTGTAGATGGCAGATGCAGATGTGGGTTCGGTTTCGGAGGTGGCAAATAAATTAATTTACTTGTGTTAATTGTTATTAACATTGTTATAATTTTCAAAGAAAAATAAAATATGCTGTTTTAAGCAGATATATTGTTCAAAATTTATACTTTACTTACATCGATTATTTTTATTTTGAAGAAAAGAAGCGATTTTGTTGTACTTGTCAATTACAGCATTAACTAAAGGTTCTGTGAGTGAAAAAGTTCATACATAGATACCTCAGTGATATAATCATTTTGCAATGTAATCTCTAAAATAACACACTAATTACATATAACATGTCAGGTCATTTTAAATATACTTTAATACGTGGAATATTGTTGAAATCATAAGTTCGAAGTTGTAATCTTCATTACGACTTCTTGCTTATGGCAAAGCAGCATACCTCCAGATCCATGCTAATGTTCATGAACATTAAAAAAACTGTATTTAAAAGTAAAATATTGTGGAAAGAGCACATTGCAAACGGCACTTACAACTATAACTTATTGTTTATGTACTTTATCGGCGCCAAATTTCATTTTCCACTTTATTTTATTTTATTTTTTTATTTGTCAATTATATGAAAGGATTTATCTAAAAATAATATTTTAAAAGCTGAAGGCCGCTTTAAAGTTTTGCAAATTTTAATGTTCAATCTCGCAGATACAGCAGAAATGATATGTGGTTACACAGTTAAAGTCCCGCTATAATCCAATATTACATAAAGCCATACATAAACTGACTTTGGATTAACGATTCGTTCAGCTGGTTAGCCTATCTTATCCATTATATGATATAATAGATATGTAACAAATTGTGTAAATACTTATAAACATATAAATGTTTATATACTCACTTTTTCACCCATCGTTTTCGACGTATGCCATCAGCTGTATTCGTGGATAGAGGTGCAGGACCGGAATGTTACTATCTTACAACTAAAATATACTATGGCCCTCTTCTCTTTTTAATCTATATAAATGACATTGTTCTTGACATTAACTCATATATCAGACTCTTTGCAGACGATACAAGTTTATATATCATTGTTGATAATCCACTTCATGCTGCGGTGACTCTTAATTCTGATCTGAAAAAAATTACAGAATGGGCAAATGGTTGGCTTGTAGACTTCAATCCAAGTAAAACGGAATCAGTAATTATCTCTCGTAAAGTAAACAAACCAATTCATCCCCCATTGACAATGAACGGAGTGCAAATAAATGAAGTGACCTCACACAAACATCTTGGAGTAACATTTTCTAATGATGGAAATTGGCATTCTCACATACAAAATATTACCAAAAAAGCCTGGCAAAGAATTTATATAATGAGATCTTTGAAATTCATTCTTGATCGTAAGTCACTTGAAACTATATATCTCTCTTTCATTCGGCCCCTTCTGGAATACTCGGATGTTGTTTGGGACAACATAACTCAACAAGATGAATTTGAACTTGAAAAAATACAACTTGAAGCCTGCAGAATAATAACCGGTACAACAAAACTAGTTTCTATCTCTAATCTTTATGAAGATACTTGCATCCAACCCCTTAAAGTAAGACGCTACAAACACAAACAAATACTTCTTTATAAAATGTTCAATAATCTTTCTCCTCATTACCTCTCTTCATTAGTTCCCGATACAGTAGGAGAATCTTCAGATTATAATTTACGAAATGCAGACAACACTAGAAATATATTTTGTCACACACAACTTTATTCTCATTCATTTTTGCCATCATCAATTAAAGACTGGAACAATCTTCCTGTTAATTACAGAAATTCACCATCCATTTCAATTTTCAAAAGTAGACTTAATGAAGATGTTCAAAGTGTGCCTTCTCATTATTATGTAGGTGAGAGAAAATACCAGATTATACACACACGACTTAGAACACATTGTAGTTCTCTCAAAGAACATTTGTTTTCAAAAAACATAATAGAAAGTCCCCTATGTGAATGTGGTGACATAGAAAACACATCTCATTATTTCTTCTCGTGTCCAAGGTACCAAGATGAACGAAATGTCCTCCTTAATAATTTAAGTGAAATAACAACTGTCACACTTAACGTTTTACTCTATGGTGATAATTCAATTGCTGACGATTTAAATGAAGCAATAGTCCTTCATATACACTCTTATTTACACAGAACAAAACGTTTTGAAATGTAATAGAAAGTTATTTTTTTCGACTAATATGAAATAGAGATTTAGATGCATAATATCTTCTCAAAAGTATATTGTAAACTCGTTCCATCAACTCCATAGTATTTTAGTGACCATTCCTGTTGTCTTTCTTTTTCTTTCTCTCAAATCTGTCTCTTATTTCCTACCATCTATTACCCAACAATTTCAACAATTAACTAACGTTTCCATTTCTTTATTTTTCTTTAATTTTTTTTAAAACATGCTTAAAAGTTCTATTATTTTTCTTGAAAAGTTTAAACGTGCTAATCTGTGCATTTATCACTTACGTGTATTTATGCTATAGAACTATAGGGTTTTCTTTCACATTTTTATGTCAATATTCTATTATTAAGGTCGTTTCGATTAGGAAAACCAGAGTGTAAATTGCTAACTTTTCTGTACATGTAAAGAAGCAAGTTTATAGTGAAAATGTTATGTATATTTAACTCAAAAATGCATATAATTGTTACCATTTTACATACTGTTAGATAGTGATTACGGAAAGAGTTTTTAAAAAAGCTTTCAAGCTTACTACTCAATCCGTACTATTTATTATTTGTCAATTATCATGTAAATGTAATACTTATAAATAAAATATTGTTTAAACTAAAATATACTAGTAATCTCACCAAATTGAAAAACACAAAAGGTCAATTGAATTCATCTATCTCAAATAAAACACTTTAAGGGAATAACTGTGCTAGACGTTTATATAGTCATATATATATATGCTTAAAATAAGTAGGTTTAGATATCCAAATTGGTCGTTATGCTGTTTTTGAATCAATAAAATCGCATCTTCATTAGTCAATGGTGTGATTTCTAAGTTTAATAAGGGTCCATCCGAATTTTCAGCACTGAGAGTACGGACATTTTTAGTCAATAAGTCATTAGTCAATGGTCTCGTATTGAGAGAATTTATACAAAATGACATGTCAGATATTTATAAGTCTAAACAAACATTAATATTTTATATCATATATTTCTGTATAAAATGGTTATAAAAACAAATGGTCTAAACATCTATATTGGAAATAACTCTTAAAATGGTCGTTCTATCTTAACAACTACGTACAAACAATTAAAAGCTACTGCCAACAAATAAATTCAGTGCTACGTCTGTACTGTATAATTTATTTTATTGTTTGACTTTGACACAATAATGTATACTCGTGTAATGGATGAGGAGCGAAATGGTAAAATTCATGTTCTGTTCTGTTCTTAAATGCCTTAACAATTTTTTTTTAAATATTTAATCATATATATATATGCATGATGAGTCGATAATTCCTTATAACCGGGTTCGCTATAACCGTATATTTTATATTAAATAAAGAAGGGCAAATGTTCGCTATAACCGTGTTCGCTTTAAGTGAAGTTTACTGTATACACAACAGATTTTCATATAGTGCAGCGACAAGTTTCTAAAAAATAATGTGTATAGAATTATATTTGGCAGAATTCCTAAAAAGGCATTTTTTTCAAGATTTAAGTTAAGGACTTAATCATTTTGTGATGAACATCAATAAACTTCATATGAAGTATAGTAAAATCTGCTGATTTGACATGCTTGATATATTTATTTGAAACAACAAAAATAATGAAATAAAATCACAAAAAAGTATAAACAGTGACCGAAAATATTATCCAATGGGATAATTGTGCCAAACATGTATACAATATTTACATAAAACACTAAGCGATTATGATTAACCATAAAAAAATGAAAAAGGGAAAGATCCCGCGTGAGATATGAAAACACAAACAGATGCATGCAGTTGAAAATTGGAGACTCGCTTTTATTAAGTCTTCTGAAAAGAGGTAATGGTATACATCTCTCACGCCCCCTAGCACCGGTTCAAACGGTATTCTGTATAATGATAACCTATGTAACCTTGGAAACGTTTTAGAAGCTGTAATATTCTGCACCAATAATGAAGACATAATGCGTATGGTGGCTGTGATCTATACAGTTTATAAAAACTAAAACAATTATAATATTGAAAGATTTCAAGATGTATGTATTAAAGTTAAAAATCTAAACTTGTTACTTATTTTTTTTTTACTTTAAAATGTGTTTTTACCAAAAGAGAATATGGTGACTAAAAACGATATCCAAAAATTAAAATAAAGAAAGATACAACGTCTTTATATATAACTAGATCTTCAACTCCCGGTAACGTATTTTTGTCTCATATCAACAGAAGAGTTTTTAATCTTTTTTTTTATATTATTTCCGATATAAATAGCATCAATTAAATCCTTTCCAAGCGTATGAATTAACCACGCCCATTTGTCTGTAAGGCGATGACGTCATTCTTCTGTCATGGTCGGGAATTTTCTCCTTTTTCACTTTTGTAAGCCTTTCAAGCTGCAAATTTGGAAAGACATAAAACTAAAGATGGCCTTGATAATAATACACAATGAAAAAATCAAAAGTTAAAAAGATGGCTAAGTTTAGTTTAAACAATATTTATTTACAAAACATAGATATACATTACAAACAGTATACATTGTATAACAAGATTCATGAAAGACTGAAGACATATTTTTAGTGGTAAACAATTCTAAATAATTAATAAATAAATTAAATTCGGAAAAGGATTTGAAAACAAGTCTAAGACTTATATTTATTCATGGCTAAGTTTAACACATGAGTTTCTGAATTGTTAAAGTGTTGATGTAAAATGCAAGTCAAATGACATATCAACTGGTCATTTTTGACATGTCTATAAAATGATACTAAGTGAATACATGGTTGAAAACAATTATTATACAAACCATTTCATTAATTTCATCCTGATCCATCTGTTTACCAACCCGAGAGTAAGGTCTTGTTTTAGGTGCGGGTAGTTGACTCAATCTGTTGACAGTCTGGTCGATTTCATACTCATTCATTTTTTGGTAACCTAATCCAAACTCTGGTTTTAGAATGGTTCCCCACGGCAGCTTGCAGGTTTTCGGATGAACAGATGAATGTACTGCGGTCATTGTTCCGGCAAGATTAATAATTTATTTATCGCAAACGTTGAATCTTATATTGACCAGTATGAAATCATTAGTTTTATTAATCTCTTGTTACCTTCAGCAAGGATTTTGCACTGTCAATTACAATCAGTTGCAGTCAGGTAGATTATTTTGTACAGGTTAATTCACTATGTACGTAATATATTAAACCCTATTAGGTGTAGTCATTGACAATCTGAAACAAAATGTAGAAAGAATTACATGTAAGATTGATCACAAAACTGATTACAAATATGTTAAAACAAAATCACATCAATTTATATAAGTACATGTGCTTAAATGTGTTTCTCAAAAGCATTAATTCGAGCGTGCAAAACCTAAATCTAACCTTACAGTTAAAGCTGCTATCGAAAACACTTTACAAAAATATACTCCTTTTTCGTCCGAATTGGAATAAAACCAAACCGTCAGTGATATCAAAGATTTAACATCATTTACAATCATTGAAATAGTAAACCATGTCGAGCATATCTCCATACAACACTTGTAGCATAAAGAAGTGTCACAGATTTATCTACGATAAATGGTTGATTTAAATATGTATACATGGGTAGAGATTTACAGTTCTTTAATAGCATAATACAATTTATAATACAATTTGTCAGCGAATATAACAGGGCAATAGGCAATATAATATTGTCAGTGACATTGAACAAATTAATGTAGAATCTAATATCATATTAACACATGTGTCTGATTGAATGTAATATATGGTGCGATATCATTATATTTCATCTGAAAAAAAGATCTAACATAAATTGAGATTCATGTTTGTATGTACACATGGCATTGTCTCTTTATATCCGTAATCAGACACTTTGAAAATACATATATTTAAATAGTGTTCCTGTCAAATAAAAGATAATATTTAAAATTTGTGTTTGTTTGTATATATATAGATTTAAGACACAAATTTTTGAAGCCTTATTATTTTACATGGCCAACATTGCAAAAATTTGATAAGTTAATGATGTCTCAAAATAAGAAAGAAATTATCAATTTATCTAAATATCTATATTTTGCTAACAAACGGAGAACAGAATTAGAACAGTAGTAATCATCTATTTAAAATGAACCAAGAATCTCGTGTAACTAACCAAAAGCTCCTTTGTTTAAATAATAACACTTATGTAATCTTTATATGACCTATCACTACACATTATTATATTATTGTAGGCTAGAAGTAAATGTATATTACTAAATGCTGAAATAAATTGTTGTTGTTGTTGTTGTTGTTGTTGTTGTTGTTGTTGTTGTTGTATACTAAATTTCTTTATGCACTAAAATCTGCTGAATGCATATATTTGAATACAGGAAATGTTTTTTTTTATGGTTTTCAATAATAAATAGTGATATTTCAAACACAATATCAAAGCAATATAGATCTCGAGAATTCAAAGAAATAATATTAAGTTTTTTAGATATAATTTATATTAATTCAACAATGAATGAAACCCGACTTATTCACAAATTGAAAAGTAACATTCCATTTCATAAGTACAAACGTTTAAATAAATCTGTTTATATCATTTGAATTTAATTTTACTTTCCAACGTCCACGAAATTGAATCATTAACTCCAATAACAATAGAAACTTGTTAATCCAATGAGTTTTAATCATTGCACAATATCACTTTCTATGTTTTATTTTAAAGTAATAACTCACCTAGACTTAACATGTAGATCATGTTAAATATTTCACAAGTAAGTGGTCTAATGTTGCACAAAATAGTGTATCCTAATCAATAACTCTGATTGATTATATAGTCTTTCATTGTATTTGTAATCTTATAAATTGGTGAACACTGTATATTAGCATTAAAGAAGCCGACTTGTCATTCAATTTATCACAATGTTAACATGTGGCACGTGATTAAATCCATTAACAAGGCTAGCTGATAACAATAAATCTATATATCATTACAATATACGCATGTTCTTTTTAATGCAATCGGTTCGATTGAGTGTTCGCTTTCTTTTAATATCCACTGGTCGTTTAAGCGCATTATGACGACGATAAGACTTTCGATTTAATCACTTTTTTAGATAACAATCTACAGTATAAATATTTGTGTTTAGATCAAACAGAAACTTTATTAAGCTTAAACAGTGAATATTGATGTTTCAATTGAAAGTGCGGTTCTTGTTTGCTGTAAATAAGATACCTCTTTTTTACTTTTGATATTTGTTTGCAATAGAAATTTCATTTGTTTAACACACATAAGACCGGTTTTTTACTATTTGATTAGTTAAGCTGATTTTTTTAATTATAAGCTATAAGAGAAATAGAAAGAGCAGTTTCAGAAACTGAACAAATATTTCACAATTAATGATCATACATGTATTTGGAAACATTCACACTTGATTTAGATCTATACCAATAACTTATGTGCAAAATTTCAGATCATTAGCTCGCTCCGTTTTTCCAGAATAATTATTATAACAGTGAAAAATGACCCAAAATTGAAAAGCGTTTAAACGCGTTTCACTCAAATCGGACTGAAAATAGCACAGACATACGATTTTTAATATATTTCTTATATATTTCTTAATTATATCTTATTTATGTTTCTGTTTTAAGTGCTCATGTTTATCTTCGTGAAAAATTAAGATTTTATGTTTTTAGGCTTATAAACCTCAGTGGAGTTCCTTAAATTAAGTATACACATGTACTTGGACATACTCATTTGTAGATGCAACTTTTTGCATGATGGATGACTGGCAACTGTTTAATGTTGTTTTCTTTTTTCTTGATGATTCCTGCATATTTATCTTTATTATTTGCTAATCCATTTATTCTGGTCGGATCAAATGTTAATTAATAGGATAAATCAGGTTTGTCGTTCACATACAAGGTGGTGTTGATGTTGTCCGTATTTTCACATTTATGATTTATCTCATAAATGATACTTATATAATTGATACCGTCATTGAATCGATAGTTAAATCAAGAAAGGACGATGTTTGCAACCTCGAACACTAGCCATAACCTTAACAACATCTCGAACACTTACCCCTACATCAACAGCATATATATTTTGTTGACATTGAACACTAACCATAACCTCATGCATATTTTGGAAACTGATTTATCATTTTGCCCAAATATTAAACCTATATTATGTATGAGCTTGAATGTAGCATTTTCGTATTGAAGTATTAGTATGTTTATTCTGTAAATATCTTAATTTCAATAATTATTTTCTATATCAATAATTTAGAATAAATTATGATAGTAATTTTAAAAAAAAGTATTACATAGAATAGAGATGGAGTGAAAGTTATATATCAATGAATCGCCTGAACCAAATATATTCACGAGAGGGCGTGCCGAATGTTTGATATGGTCCAACAAATATACTTTAGACATCAATGGACATGACACATAATATAATCGTGTTGACGGTAAACCACTACGAACGTATCTCGCTCAGGTGTTGTATATGGTGTTTTTACACTAGTCATATACATAAATGAACAACTACTCACCGTTTCAAATGGTTTCAAATGGCCCGTTGCCGTTTTCTTTTTATACATAGCTAGGTTTCGTGATGAATGAATTAAGCTGGAAAATTAATCGTCGACTTTTTTTCATCAACAGATTTATTTATTTTCGTTTTAACTAAAAAGGAATGTTGACTGAACTCATGTTATGGCATTACAAGTGAAGTAATAAAATAGTGATAAACAAAGTGTCATGTGAAAACCGAATTTATTAATTCTAAAATGGTTAATACTAAAAGTTGTAGTGTGCTTGTGCTATATTATAATATTCTATCATTTAAAGAGGAAAATTAGAACAAATAGCTGACTGTCAACAAGATGGGTTGTTGTCCAAGAGGTGATACTGTAGTAAGTCCCGTTGTAAAGTATGTACTCCTCATTGGAACATTTCTACATTGGGTAAGTCATCCAGGACTGTTATATACATGTTAATGAGTCTAATATATATGCCTTTAAAACTTCTGTTTATTTCTATTTCCTTATGCAAGAACAAAAGATATTATTCTGATATTTGTTGAATTATAAGATTTCAAAGATATTTATTGTAAAACATTAGGAGATATTTTACACTAATATGCTAAACATGCCTATATTTTGTAATTATTATGCAGAACGATATACAAATACTTAATGGAATACATGTACTGTATGTGCTTATTAAAGGCACACTATGCCTCAGAAACGAATTAATATTTCCTTCTGTAAAAAGGGCAAATATGAGTTTTATAACGTTTAGGTAGTTGTTAAAGAACATATTATAGATGCATATCACCTGAAGAAAGTAGTGTTAAATGTGAAATTATTGGTCACAAAAGTAATAAAATGCAAACAAGGTAGTACTTTCACTTCCATGCAAAAGTAATTATTCACTATAACTGTCCTTATTGCCAAAAACAACAGAAATAAAAAGATGGCTAAGGTAATTTGCCACTGAGAAACCTTTTTGTTTTGGAAAATATAACCGGACATCAAAAATAAAAAAAAAACTTTTGAAAAATAATAATAAAAGCATTTCTGAGGTATAATGGGCCTATAAGGTCATTGAAAATCAAAATTATACATTTGAATATTTTAACATAATTCAAATGTATAATCATCGCAATGTGATTTTAAAATATGCATTGATTTGAAATTAATGTTATACTCTAAGTCAATGATATGCGAAATATATTCGTCACTTAAATTGAGACATTTTATGTTCCAACATGATTAAAATGTCAAAGGATAGCAACAATTCGTTTCATACTTGGAGACCATGAAGCCAAAGTATTTACTATTGCATAACCATCGTTTTATTTTCAACTTTCCGAAAACAGATGTGTGGCGGTGCTATGGTTGGTATAGGAATCTGGGCGTTTGTGGAGAAGAATAAATTCTTTTATCAACCGATACAGACCGTGTATGATATTATATTTGACCTATCAATCATATTGATAGTAACTGGCGGTGTCATGTTTATAATAACCATGTGTGGTTTCGTTGGAGCTCTCCGAGAAAATACATGCCTTTTGAGATTTGTGAGTATTTGTTACAATAATTGTAATGTTTAAGCCCCTAAATTAGTTGAATAGGTACTTATGATGGTATGATAATTTTTCGAAAAAGTCTATTAAGTAATACAGGTAAATATAGTTCATAAGTGTCTCAAAATAAGAAGTTGGTATTATAGTTTTTACATGACAGGGCTAGAAATATTTTTCCATAGATTTATGTTCCATTTGATGCAAGTCTAGACCAATAATTTGCGTGTAAAATTTCGGATCGTTTGCTAACTCCGTTGTTCCAGAATAATTCAAGAATTATTATTCTAATTGTGAAAAATTACCTAAATCTTCTCTCAAACCTGGCTAAGAATATCACAAAAATACGATTTTCAATTTATTTCTTGGTTTAATTCTTAATTATCTTTTGTTTATTTATCGGTCTGTTTTTTAAGTGCCGAAGCTGACCTATATATGGTAAGAAATTTCAATTTTATGTTTTTAGGCTTTTGGACCTCAGTGGAGTTCCTTTAAGGAGGTGCTAGCGACTATAGTAAAGCCTCCACTGTTGTTCACAAATTTACATTTCCAGTCACTCTATTGTAGTTGATCACGAAATTATTTCATCATTATGCCATTATATGAGCATGAAAAAATATTTTTCTTTTATTTCTGAAATATCGATCAATTAGATTTAGTTTTATATTTTCTACAGTTAGATCAGTTATAAACAAAGATATCATAGTGGTAAAAAATCTATTTATCTATTAAGCATATGATATAGCGACTGTACCGTATATAAACCAATTATGACCGAATATGACATACATGTATAAAATAATTTTACAACCGTGAGTACGACAACATTCACAAATTATGTTGTAAACGTACGTTAGTTTTCACTTAATTGTTACTTTGTCTTTAGGCTGATAGATAACAGTTCTAAAGTGAACGTGATAGTTTCGTCCCGGGCTAATTGATTAAATACGAGTGATAAATGTTCTCTTTTCATATAGAACGTGTAAACTTTGTAGTTTTACATATTTTAAACACTAGTATCTTTTCTGTATATGAACCAGAGTCCCTTACTCTAGTCCCATTTTGTGTTAATTAAGTTAAAGGCAAAATATGCCGCAGAAATCCATATTTATTACTAGTAAATTCTTATGACATGTAACTAATCTGTTTAATAATGTTTTAATAATAGATTTAGAGTAGGTTCGATGTTTACATGTAACGGCTAGAAAGATAGCGCCGAATGTGCAGTAATTTGCCGAAATGTTAACAAAGTATTAGTTTGACTTCCAAATAAAATACTGATTCACTATAATTATACAAATTAGCAAAAGAATAAAAAATCGTTAATCTATATGTCAAATGAGTATTTTTAAGAAAATGTGACAATAAACATTGTATTTGTTATTTTATGTTTCAGTTTTACATATCCCTGACACTTATATTTCTGATGGAGATAACGGCAGGCGTTCTTGCATTTGTTTTCAAAGAAAAGGTTTTAGAAATTCTGAGTGGCGTACTCAAAGACGTGTACATAGAGGGCTATCACAATGACGAGGAGGCGGTCATGGACTTCTTTCAAGAAAACGTAAGGCTTCTATAACTATAACACCACAGTTGTGAGTAATTGTTGTGAGTAACTGTTGTGAGGCATTTGTAAGAAGTTGCTTCGTATATCGATGATGTTATATTTTTTCATGTCCTACGGAATCATTCCAATGTTTGCAGTATTGATGCTTGAATAATCATTCTAATAATTGTAGTGAATGATGATTGAATAATCATTCCAATATTTGTGGCATTGATGATTGAATAATCATTCCAATATTTTTAGTAATGATGATTGAATAATCATTCCAATATTTGTAGTAATGATGATTGAATAATCATTCCAATATTTTTAGTATTGATGATTGAATAATCATTCCAATATTTGTAGTATTGATGATTGAATAATCATTCCAATATTTTTAGTAATGATGATTGAATAATCATTCCAATATTTGTAGTATTGATGATTGAATAATCATTCCAATATTTGTAGTATTGTTGATTGAATAATCATTCCAATATTTTTAGTAATGATGATTGAATAATCATTCCAATATTTTTAGTAATGATGATTGAATAATCATTCCAATATTTGTGGTATTGATGATTGAATAATCATTCCAATATTTTTAGTAATGATGATTGAATAATCATTCCAATATTTGTAGTATTGATGATTGAATAATCATTCCAATATTTGTAGTATTGATGATTGAATAATCATTCCAATATTTTTAGTAATGATGATTGAATAATCATTCCAATATTTGTAGTATTGATGATTGAATAATCATTCCAATATTTGTAGTATTGATGATTGAATAATCATTCCAATATTTGTAGTATTGATGATTGAATAATCATTCCAATATTTGTGGCATTGATGATTGAATAATCATTCCAATATTTGTAGTATTGATGATTGAATATTCATTCCAATATTTGTGGCATTGATGATTGAATATTCATTCCAATATTTGTAGCATTGATGATTGAATATTCATTCTAATATTTGTAGCATTGATGATTGAATATTCATTCCAATATTTATAGCATTGATGATTGAATAATCATTCCAATATTTGTAGCATTGATGATTGAATATTCATTCCAATGTTTGTAGCATTGATGATTGAATATTCATTCCAATATTTGTAGCATTGATGATTGAATTGCGTTGCATTAACAAATACTAGTGGAAGGACGAAAATACTCTCTAAAACTTTTTCACGTTTCCCGAATTCTTGCTATGTTTATGTTGATGTGAATTTTTATAATACTTATATTGAAAGCATTCCGAAGTCTTTAGCTGTGTTAAGCTAATGTGGTGCTCTGGATATGAAATTTTAAATGTTTGTACTAACGTTGGAAAATCATTTCTATAACCAAAATGGGGAAGATAAAAACTGTATTGGTATTTAGCAGATAATGTTATGTGCTTTGTCATTGAAATAATATGTACGTTAAGAGATATCAATTCAATTCATTCAATGCATGTTTAACAAATAGCTTATGTCAATTAATTAACTTCAAGATGCATGCCACCTCTTACAATCTTTACATTGTTTTCCTGCATATATCGACATGTTATATTGCACTTTATTTAAATTAGCATAGAAGATCTGTATTGAATTCACAATAAACTGAGTATCTTATTAAATCATTGTATGATATTGATCGATTATCAACATCAAATCAATTATTTTAATTGATTCAATTGATTAGTTCATCTATCGTTTCAAGCAAAAGCTTTTTAATTATTTCAGTGATAACTTTGTAAATAAAAAGTAGATTTTCTTAAATCTCTTTATTATAATAATCTATTTGTTTCTCTATGTACGAATTTTGTTGAATAAAGTTTTCACTTCTATTTGTACAGTTTAATTGTTGTGGTGTGACAAGTTTTGAGGACTGGAATATTAACGAATATTACAACTGTACAGATTCCAATCCCAGTCAACTAAGATGTGCTGTCCCTTACTCCTGCTGCAAAGATCCGGACGAGTTATCGGTAATTTATTATGTATTATGATAGTTTTATACCGTGCAATATTATTTATAGCCGTATATAGTATTACATTTATCGATCATAAATGATATAGAAAGATGCCGAACATTTTTTTTGGTGGGGGGGGGGGGGCATATTAAATATCTCATCACGTATTAAATATCTCACCATATTAAATATCTCACTTCACGTATTTTTCATTTGATTCATCCAAATATCTAAGCTTCTAATCCTATTTTAAAAAAGAAATTTAAATCTATCACCGGTTTTGATAAAATAAAGCCCAGTTTGATATCGATTATTTTTTTCAAAGGCTTGAACAGAAATTTAGAAATGAAAAAATGACGATTTTCTTTAACTTTGTAGCCTGGCTTGAATAATATACTTTGCGGCGGTGGCGCTTTGTCATCTGTAAGTATAATTTTATTATTTATTCGTTGTAACAGAAAAACACCCCGTCAGTTTCCTATAGATTAATGGCATATAAATGAATGCTGTTGTATAAACCTGTTTATATACATATTTATTATTTTTTATCCTACTTACCGTCTGTATGTATTTATCGAGAAACGGACAAAAGCCCTCCCGGACAAAAGCCATACCGGACAAAAGCCCGTATTTATCATATGTGTAGTTGCTATTAATTCTATGTGCTCCTGAAATGCTAAAAAATGTGTAATAATGTTTCCAAACCGATTAGTATATTAATACATACATTGTAACATGTTTAGGCGTGGTTTTGGACACTGCATATCTTTGATGATAATTATCGTTATACTTAGTATTATATTACTGTACAGGTATAATTTATTTTAGAATTATACTGCATTCAAAGTGTGGACGACTGGTTGTGTTGATCGTGTCATGTACATTGCAAAGAAGAATCTTCCGATCATAGGAGCCGTGGCTATAGCTATTGCTTTACCTCAACTCATTGGCATCATTCTAGGAAATATATTTGTTGGTCAGATAGAAGATCAGTGGTCAAGATATAAGTCACATCAGAGAAGGAGACGTTACCTGGACGAAAGAGATAGAGGCGGACGTAGATATTGACCAGTTGTACAACATTATCATATATACTTCCTCTTTTCATTTACTCAAACATTTATATTATTATTTCATCATAACAGAACACACTGGATGGTTGTAAAGGATATTGTCTTTTGTGCATATGCTAGTATTGATATTTTATAAAACTCTTCATGAATGACCTTTCTAAACTTAAAATGTATACTGCATTGGTCATTTTCTTTACCACGGAAGGTAGAATAAAAAAAATTCAGCATTCATTTTAATGAGCTAATTGTTATATATGTATGCATGTGATAATTTAGTTTATATGTCCTTGTCAGGCTACAAATAGCCTTTCTATAGGGATAACTTAAAATAGACCTGATAACTAAATTCATGGCATCATTTTGATAAACGCTTAATATTGTATAATTCACAATTTTACATGCATAATCACGAAGACGAAGTGTACAGCCAAACGTTCTATCAACATATTCGTCGACCCTTCAGTGGAATGGCATCATTTATTAGTTGACATATTTATTCAAATAAGTTTTCTGAGGTCCTTCAATGCTAGAAATGTATGTAAAAATAGATGAGTTTTCTCCTGTTGTAATCTTAATCAGAAGTTAGTTTAAACAATATTTATTTCACTAATTTTCAAACATAGATCTATATACATTACAATCAGTCAGAAGACATTGTTTAACAAAAACCATGAAAAACTGAAGATATAAATTAAGATGTAAACAATGCTAATGACTTTATAACATAATTAAATTCGGAAGAGGATTCAAGACTTATATAAATTCATTTCCTCGGTGGGTTGGAAAGGATGACGGCTGACTCGTCAAAATAACGCGTAATGTTTTTAGATTTAGATATGAATTTACAATAAAAGTGATAAAAGAGTTCCAGTCTGGAACTGGGTTGTTTGCTATCGATAAGACAGTTAACTTAATATAATGTATAAACCCTGCTTATGAAGTCGCTCTTTAATAAGCGCAAACACTATGATGTATATCGTTTAGTGGCGACTATGTGTTTTTTGGACTTACCAAAGATATTTGTGTTTTTTTTCAAAGTTGAGATGTTCAGAGCCATATAGTAGTTTTTGAACAGTTGAAGGACACGAAAGGTTCGTAAAGGAAATATTCTTTGAACTTGAAAGTTTGGACAGGAAAGAAGATAATGATTTATAGTTTCAATATTGCCACAGGAACAGTGTGAGTCGTTGACAATAGATTTGCGATCGTGATTTAAAGAACTGCAGCCTAGAAGTTAACGAGTGTGAAGAACTTGTGCTTTTCTTCCTATTCAGAAATTAGCTTAAAATTGTTTCATTTTCACTTAAGAGTCGATCAAGTTTGAGTATATACATATAATATAGACTGTTAATATAGATCTCTCTATTTTTTAAGTGCAGCATTATTTAAGATTTGATTTGATCAGATTGGTAACACTGTATAAACACGAAGTATAGAAGTGTTGAGTGTAATTGATTCACAATAGACAGTAACAATTCCAATACAGTAACACCGACACTGTAAAAGTCACATAAGGACTTTGCAGCTTTACAGCTGGAGAAATACAAAATAAGTCCATAATTCAGTCACAAGTGGGCACTTGAAAACGCCGGAAAATAACGCACGATTCGTGCAATAAGTAAGTAAACACAGAATTGTGCAATAAATGGCGGATACCTGTCATGATTTCCAACGCGGTAAGTAAACTGGCCAATATAGTTTTTTATTTAACCAAATTGAAAAAAGGGAATAGCCGCATATGGCTGTGAAGACATTAAAATTTATCTCTCATCAAGAGTATTTCTACGAAATTGCTTACTTTTCAAAATCATTCCTGAAAATGTTGGTTTGACCACCGTTTTGAGCGAGATTTTGGCTTTTTTTTGTCAACTCTTATAAGTACAACAATAAGCCAAAGCAAAGAACGTAGCTTTTGTCACTGACGACATAACGTACATGTAACATTGAACATACACAGAACACTTTTGTTCTTTTTCCGGAAGGGGCGGGGAATTGCAAGAACTAAGGATTGTGTTTTTCCTTGTACTGCCTCACTTTATTTTTGACTACAAACATCCTCATTTATGCCTTCCCTCGGCGAAGGGTAACATCTGATTGTCTACCGAAAGATATTTCAACAGAACTTTGCAGGTCGCAAAGTTTAATTCCCCGCCATTCTAAGGGATGGGAACAAAAATAAATACAAATAACATATACACGCCGATATAAAACATATAACAAGTTTAATCATACTATAAACAACATTATCACATGTTCATTTGGAATACTCGGCAAATATGATTTAATTAAAACCAACAGGATGTTGTTCAGTTGCAACACAAAAAATATGTACATTACTAATTTCTATTATCTTTTCAATGTATTACATTTATAATGTTTAACCATCACTAATATTCACTATAAATGTAAAAGCTAACATATACATGCATACAAGCAATATAAGGTAACAATGATGAGTATTTGAAATATTTGTAAGTACATGTGCAATATTGTATGCGTGTGCGGTTGATTTTGAGCATGCGTTCACATGCACGTGCACGTGGGTTTGTATTTACAAGTGTGTGTGAGATGTTGGGTAATCAAACAGCCCTGAAAAATATCAGGAAAAACTGAATATAAGAAATGATATGAAAATGAGTTAAAAACTATCACAGATAAACGAACACGGACTCAAAACTTATTTTTTTTAAAAATCATACATTGTCTACAAAAAAAAATCACATTCTTCCAGCCTGCCAGAAGATGTAAGTAAAAAATGCACCGTCATTTGTCAATATTAGTATTTTCACAATACAAACAAAAGTTCATAAACTGCATACTGTTATAATTAATTCACACTCAGTTTAACAGAGATCTAGCATAAGTGCACGAGATCTAGCACGGGTTTCACGCTCATGACGACCCTATGTATGTAGCATTAGTAACTCCTTCTGTTTGGAAGATTGTATAATCTGGAGAGGTGTTTTCATCATGCTCGTTATAAATACGATTCTTGTCTGAAATGAAATACAAAGATAATTGAATTTTAATCTACTTCTGGTTTGAATTCTTCAGAATACACAAAACCTTCAAGTAAAACAGAAATCGGCTTTATTATTATTTTAAAGCTATTCTGAAATGAGGTCATTACTTTTTATGATCATTTGGTTTATACAGAATTTATTTTAGTTCGGTGGTATAGGAAGCTATAAACTTATAGACACACTTTCGAATCCGTTCCTGGAACCAACCAGTACCGAGCAATGAGTGTAGTTTCTTGTTCAAGGAAACAACGACTTGCCCCTGGGCTTGAACCCATTCGGCTAGTGATCATTAGATTACGAGTCCGACGCGTTAACCACGTTTATGATCATTTGTTAAGGTCTTGCAGACATTAATAATACCAGCTTCTGAAAATCAGAGATATGTCGAAATTTATGCCTAACATGCGTTTATACATACATTTGACCCAGAATAATCTTATTTGCACCCCCATATATAAATAACAAGTAGTTCCGGAGAATGCAGATCGAAGTATATACGATCAGAATGTATTCGGGCCATGGGTTGATGAATGCATGGTAAACATGATGTTCGTAATTTATCTACCTGATTATATTGTAGACAAAAGTACATGTATTATAATCTCAGAAGTATGGCTCTATATATGCAGAAATATATAGTTTTCCGAGACAACCGCTTCAAATTACGACTGACTTCGTGTTCACTACTTATTAAGCTTTAAGGGTCAGGACTTTATAAATAATAAGTTTTTAAGTTAAAATTCTTGCATACGTAATAAAACTATTCTATATTCACCCTGGACAATATAAGTTTTATATGGTCTCAAAACAAGTGGATATCAATGACACGAACACATACCTCTATACAATCCCCGCTTCTTGGCATGTTGACGGTATTTGTATATACCGAAAGTTAACGAAACAACTAAACTTATAACCAATAAACAGATGAATAAGATGACTGTGAAGCCAAGCCAAAAAGGGTTGCCAAATCTGAAGTAAAATAAGAAGACCTCGATTTGTTAAAAACAATTACAAATAACATTTGACATGAATATTTTATATCAATGAAGTGGACAATCGACAAGGTCGTTATATAAAACCAGCTATAGATAATTATATGAAATGAATTTCGTACTTCTGATAACATAAACACAAACGTTAAATAACAGAAATAGTTTTTGTGGTTGAGCTCAACGTCGCACAGACACAGTATATGTAATATGACGACTTCCCAGCTTTATTGGTACAGGAAGACTTCAGGTGCCATTCCGTGCATTATTCCAGGCACGAATGGCGCCTTAGTAAAACCACTGATGTTCAATAAGCTAGATGGGTAGCTTCTTAACATGAAATAATCCAAGCTCCTGTCGGGATTTGAACCCACAGCGGTGAGGGGGGGGGGGGTGAAGTCTACCACCATAAACACTCGTCCATGGCCGCGAATTGATTTGGTTATATTCCAGTTCGTGTTTGTCTTTTAGCCAATAATTTATTTGATTTATGATGTTTAATGAACCGTTTACTAGCAATTCATATTGTATGATAAATATTGATCAGTAACAGCCAAATTGTTAAAAAGTTAACTAAACTATCTAACGATATCAACATACAGTCTGTCATCATCGGAGTCATCAGTTTCTTTTGGTGTTGTTGTTGTTGTTGGCGTTACTAATACTGTCGAATTTGAGATAGCTGAAATGGACATTTTTTTTCAAATAGACATCTTTTTATTTTTCTTGGAACAACGAAACCATCAAAATTGAAAATTTCCATTTTCATTATATATACATTGTATAAGTACATGTACATACAAAATATCGGCTACAAGTGATGTAGCGACAGCCCTTGTATATTTACTGCGTACTACATCGTTTGGTTATCAACAAAATGTTTCATTAAGGGATCTTTGTTTTCCTGCAAACAACAAACATGCTGATAATTTATAAACATTATACGAACATATCACCTGTCCCCTGTATACACTGAAAATAGTATCCTATGTGACACCTTGTGCTACAGTGTACAAATAGCATAATTATTCTGAATTTCTGAACGTGATTTTTGTTTGTGAAATACTGTACAGGGATTTTTGTGTGATTTCAGTCATAATCAAACTAAAATATAATAATGATAATAACTAACAGCAGTAAGCTACGTATATTATATAAACATAATTAAATCAAACCTAATTAAAACAAAAGTTTATGAAAATATTTACCTGTTGACCATGTTCCAAAAATGTATATTAAAAATGCGACAAAATGTCTGTAATCCATTATGGTCTTGAGCACCGTACAGTATAATAATAATGTTTTACATGCCGGTATGTTTTAGATCAGGAAGATAAAAAAGTCATGTTAAATTAATACAGTAAAATGTGATCGATACCTCTACATTAAAGCTAGTTTCTCAGCAGTTAGAATCATTTATATCAAAACTATTGGCAATCCAGATTTAACATAAGTTGATCAATACGTTTATGTCATATACAGACAATGTATGTTCACTGCATAAAACTGATTAAACATAGTAAACCCCTTTCTAGTTTAAGCACCGGTTTAGAGGAAGGCCAGTCGTACATTCGTACAACTTGACCATACTGTTGGCTGTTCAAATCCAGTATTTTGATATTATAGATATCTTGAGTATTAATTCATTGTTATTCAAAATAAAGGCAAATCCGTTTTTTTTTTCAAATTAAGAAGAGTTAAGTTTGAAAATGATGTTTGATTTTGCTACCAGTTTGATCACATTAGCACTGAGATAAATAATAACATTTGTTTTCAAATGATGATACCAATGCTAAAATCTTTTAATGTATATTTCAAATAACGTTTAACTGATTGAATCTGTAGACGAAGTAGGCGATTAGTGAAGTATATTTTAAGGTAAAGTTTAGCTGTAATGTTTGAACGACTATCTTTAATAATACCGGCATTGTATTCCTACAAATTTATCTATTGCATATTTTAAACCTACCGGATCAATATTTAACACTATATAAACAGTAATGCCTAATCCAACTATTTAAAACGGGAGGAAACAAATTTAAACTACATGTAATACAAAAACGTATTTCTGTTTATGCAAGATTTACCCGCCCTTGTATGGATTAATAGATCGCCATGCAAATACTGTCGGCATACGTACATGCTAAAATATTTGGTAATTTGTTTTCAGAAAGTAGCCTTTGAACAAAAATGATTGTAAATTATGGAATGCCGGTAGGGACATGCCAATTTGCTTATTTGCCACTTGCTGAATTGCTTATTTGCTAATTGCCGATTTGCTTATTTGCCAATGGCTGATAGGCTTAATGACAAATTTGCTTATTTGCCAATTGCTGAATTGCTAATTTGCTTATTTGTTAACCGCTGGTTTACGTATTTGCTTATTTGCCAATTGCTAATTTGCTTTTTTGCAATAGAAATAGTTTACACTGTGCCGGAAGTATATGAAAAACAACCACTTGAGTCATATCTGTTCACTTTTACCAACAGTATTCTTGTAAATTCAGTGTTTTTCCAAGAATACTGTTGGCCAATGAATTTAATTGCTGTGATACCTACGCAGATATATGTCTACAACTGATGGCTGACATGTCCTTGAGAACTATAGACGCTTGGGGTCAGATCCCGAACCCCAACGTGATACGTGACCCTGTAAACACTCTATTAAAAATATTTTAATATTTAAACAAGAATTGGACATCGTTAAAACTGGTTTTCAAACAATTTTTAATATACCAGTATGAAAAAATACCATATACCACCAAGTCTCAATAAAGTACTTAATGGTTTTATCGTTGTAACGGATGTCAAATTCGTATTAAAATAAATAATAGAATAGTTTTGATATAGTCTTTACAGAGGCGTATCACGTTGGGGACAGGATCTGACCCCCAGCGTCTGTGCTTGAGAATGCCTTATAAGGTGTTGCAGCTATAGATCTGTTTGTGCAGCCTAAGTCAGAGATTGATGGCATAATAAACACTTGATATAGTCATATATAAGTGAACATTATTGGGTAAAGATTGAAAATAAAAGAACTTGAAAACAAAACTATTTCTTATTTTATGGCATATAAAATGTCGTTATTCTCAGCAGATTTGTCATGTAGGGCCTCATTTTAGTGGTACGAACACATAGTATGACGAATGATCCAATTGGTGCATGCCAAATATGGGTGTTTATCTTTGCATTTAAGCAATAGGCTTCGTTTTTAGCTCTGTAAAATTTGGTCACACTTTTCCGTTTCTTCATGTTAAACATTAAATACATGCCATCAGGTGACAATGACCATGATCATGACCTAGGGTATAATGGACAAAGCCTCTTTGAATATTGTGTATGCGTGATGCCTATTTAATGCTTATGTGAAGTTACAGTTAGATGTAAGCAATAGTAACAGAGATATGACAAAAAAAACAAACAAAGGCTTTGTAGTACAATACTTTGGTGACCTTGGCATTCAGTATATTAGGGGAACAGCTTCTTCATGTACTTTGTATGCATGCTTGTAACGCAGAGTTTATGCAAAGTTGCAGTAAGATGCATGAATCAGCAAATGTAACAGAGATATGACAGAAAAAACAAGTTACCAAGAAAACCAATGCCTTGGTGGATAGAATAGCATCCCTAGTGCTAAAACTGAAACTCAAGATAATTAAAAAGAACAACTACTTTTTTATACTGAATTTATTTCTTTTTTCGAAATTGAATAAAAAGTATCCATCTGCCTTTCTACCTATATTCTAGGTAATGATGGATTGCTCATAATTGTCCCAAGTATAATTCACAAAACTTTATAAACATAATAACATGATATAGGTTCATGAGCTTGAAATAAAGTCAACAAAGACTTGTTATTTCATATCAAACAAGAACGTACTCCGCGAGTCGGACGTATCGCCTGACAATAGCATACAAATTTATGTACATAAGCAAATAAGCAATTAGCAAATAAGCAAATTGGCAAATCAGCAATTAGCAAATAAGCAATTCAGAAGTTGGCAAATAAGCAAAGTGGCATGTCCCTACCGGCATTCCATAGTAAATAGGGTTTATAGTCTCGTTACAATATTCACAAAATGGCAATCTTCATGAAATACGACGAAATCAGTTTTACTCGTGATTTTTTTTATTTATTTCTCTTTTCTGAAATAGTAATTAACGTAAGTTTTTTTTATTGCATGTTCATTATGTTCAAGTGACATCATGTCATAGCATTCTATATGTTACATTTAAAGAATTTCGGTTCTTTCCGACCTTAATTTGGCGGTTTTTGATATTTTATATCGCGACAGTTTTGTGAATAAACAGAGGATATTGAATGCATAAGTGTAAATTAAATTCAGAATTTATTGAACGAGTTGAATAAATTTAGTATCAAACTTACACGAATTTAATATTCTATTTATCACATACCAAAACTAAAGACGGTTTGAAATGAAAAAGAACGTTACCATTTCCATTTCCATTTACGCGCTAACATTTAATGTCACATCAAAATATACCATACCCACGGCCGTGCAATACGTAAAAGCGGCACGAGTATGTGATAAAAATCGCTACTGCATGCCTGTGTTATTAATATCTCAAGTCAAATCGTATGTGCTGTACAGACATGATTAAAACCTAAAATATCAATAGCAGAAATGTTTTCTAACTTTCTAAACTTTCAAGGAAAATAATGGATGACTGATAAGAAGGCCAAGAACTGGCCATTTCTAAATCGATCAACAATACAAGGCCTAACCTAATGAAAATAGATGAATCCCCTCTCAACGAACTCTAGTCAATCGTTAAGAAATCCTTAAATATTTTTATCATACGGAGTTTTTCAGTGTCAAGTATATCTGTAAATCAACTGAATACTTTTCACAGATGATACTGTTATCTACATCAACATCAGATTCTAACAAGATGTAAAATAAAACTTGCTTGGTCCATGGAATTCAAGCCAGATGAATATGAAGTACAAAGTAAATAGAAAAAGAAACCCAGTAAGATTCCCTTATGTCCTCATAGTAATCAGTTAGTCAACCTAATAAACAAAGTGCCTATAGGGGTAACCATCAGTCAAGTACTCCCAGATTCCGACTATAAATAAACGTGTGACTTGTGTGAACGTCGGCTTTGCATAAAACTTGTTGATCTTTGTTCTTTTCTTTTTTACAGCCCATGAGTCAGAACTTGGATTATTCATTTACATACATGTAGTTAAAATGTTTATATTAACCCTTTCCCTCATGAGCATATTGTGAAAAATGGCCGTTTTCATGGAAAAGCCTCCTGTTACAAGTTCAAACTGCTATGAAACTATGAAAAAAGCTTCAATACTAATCAAACTTGGCAAAAATGTTGACTAGACCATTGCCTTTCTAACGACATGCTCAGTCTTAAATTTCCTGTTACCATGGCAACGAGGGGACGTCTCAAAATTGCCAAAAATCACTATTTTGCCTCATTTTTTTCCATCAAAATTTATTTCAAAGTGCTGCAACTTCTCAAGGGATTGAGATAAAGTCAAAGGCTTGAACAGCGTTGGTTACACGTTACCTTCAGATCGATCTGGGGTCATTTTTAGCCTCTCACAAGTCCAAAATTTTCTTGGCGATGAGGGGGACTACCGCCCCCCTTCAAGCCCCCCAAACAGAAGGGGGGTGTGCCCCCTGTTGTATCTTTTGGATGGGGGCGGCGCCGAAAAAGCTCAAATTTTTTATAGGACATTTTTTCACTATTTGAGGCCTAAAAGAGAGGGGGGTCGAAAGTGCGTTGTTTCGCGTATAGGTATAGATGGGGTATCGTATCGATTTATTCAGGGAATAGACATATACACACATAATCAATTTGCATACAAATGTATATATAAAAACACACACATAAATGCAACAAAAATAATTATAAGATTAATTAATGAGTATGTTCCCTAGGATTGCCCATTAATCTAAAAGCTTATTTCCAATGGGGTCCATTTACTGTAAAATTGTTACACTAACTTACATAATAATAAATGAATTATAAAGAAGTTAAAATAAACGAAAATTTTCAACAATCAAGACACATTTTTCAATATATAATAAGACAAGTACATTGTACACAAACAAAATGAAATAAATTTCGTTTAAACTAAAACATATCAAGTACAACATAAACAAGTTACAAAACCTTATCATAAGTTATACATCAATTTAATAATAAATAAACATATTATTCACTTGTTTATCATTTTCATTACTTAAAAAATGTTTTACTTTCGTTTTAAATCTTTGGATACTGTCAATTGATCTAATGTTGTCTGGTAAAGAATTCCAGTCTTTTGTGGCATTGTAGAAAAATGTATTTTTAATATAAGAATCATTTTGAGGCAAAACAAAATTAAAATTACTAGATCTTAAATTGGATATTCTACAAACCTTAAACAATTCCTTTAAATAAGAAGGGCTTTTGCTGTAATATACTTTATGAATGTGATTGAGTCTTAACTGTCTAACTCTATTATAAAGGGTTAAATGTTCAAACATTGTTACACAGAGCTATACAATGTATGTAATTTACAGTAAATTTGACATGGAGATAGATAGTACCCGATAGCCTAATGAATATCAAAAGTTGTGTCCCTTTATTTAATTTGACCATTTGCTTGACTGAAGTCTGTTTCAGCGGTAAATATCAGAAATATTGTGTTTTTGTCGCCAAAATGATGTTAACTAACTAAATTTGAATCATAAAGAAACAATTGATGGTATAACATATTCCTTGGTTTTTAAAATTGAATTGTGTAAATGAAAATTCAAAGAGAGTGACTGTAAAAGCACTCATACCTTGATGAACCTAGTGACACTGACAGTCCAATATGACAGAAGACGTTACGGGCTTGATCAGTTGATTTCCTAAGAAGTAAATATAACTGAAAGGAACGTCATATTTATAGGACTATTTTAAAATCCACAGAAGCTTTAATTGAGGGATCAATCACTGTGTGTAATAGTAATTATTCTGTTTTAATACCCCCACTCATGCTGTTGGGCATATTGTCGGTCTAGCCCAAATATGAAGACGTAAACCACGGATTTCAATCTATTTTTTATGCAATGGTCAAATCAGCTATTACGATAAATGTACTAACTTCGAAAAAGAAAATTGTGAAGTCTTTCATGGAAGGACTAATCGTCATCCCAGATACAAGATTTTTACCAGTGTCCAGGGTTGTCATTAACATTTTTTGAAGAAGGTTTGTTTTGAATTTGAGGCGGTCATTTCTGTCTTTATCATGCATAACAAAGAGTGTTTTCTTAATTTTGAGGCGGCCCATAATGCATTTGAGACAGGCATTTTGGCCTCCTGCCGCCTCTTAATGACAACCCTGAGTGTCCCTACCATTTTCATCTTTAGAATGTTATTTATGCATAAGTAATTAAGTGTTGTATGACCAAAGCAAAATAATGTGAAAAAGAGGGTTATTGATACAATTGCATGTCGAAAATTGAAGAATTTTGTTGTGCTTTGGATTATGACAAACCAAAAATGCTCGGCAACATTGTATACATTGCAAAAAAGAAAAAAAATTAAAATTTTTTATCTTGTTGTAAAGATGTCACTCACGATTAATTATCAAATGAAATCTAATATTTTGTTCAAAATAAGAAGCATGTTCAGATTTAGGTGCACACTCGCTACTTTACTATTTTGTATATTTATCTGTACAAAATAAATATTTTCTTTAAACCATTCAAACATTTATTACTATGTAGTGCACTTGAATCCAAACAACAACAACAAAATTATGTCTAAAGTCTAGCAGACAATATCTGTAAAGTACTTTATATAAAATATTTTTGCGCAACTAGTGAGAAAAAAAACAAAGCAAAGTTTTACCAGCATTCTATCTATAGTATTCGATACTAATGTATTTCTTTAAGCCCATTTAAAATTGTAAGGGTATTGGTTGTTCTGAAATTGAAGCACAAAGGCACTGATAAGCTAAAATTAAGTATCTGTGGAAATCATGGCAATAGTCGACTTATTGGCTTCATTGGTAGAGTGTTGGACTGTGAATCAGATGACACAGGTTGGATTCCCAGATGGTGCAGGTCACTATCGTTGTGATTATCTTGAAATTCTTTCTACAGTTATTGATTGATAATCATTTATTCTTATTGCATAGAAAAAAATCCCAATATGTGGGTTTCTTCTTGATTCACGAAACTGTTGAAAATTCCCAATTTTATCATGGAAATTAAAAAAAAAAAAATGCCAATCAGTTCAGCTATTTAGGCACACTTGAGATTTACTGAATAGTGAAAGTAACAGGTTTGTTGTCATCTAAGTAAATTTGAATGTTTTAAAAGGTTTTGCTAAATATGCCAATTTTTCTATTGGTCTGACAATCACATTATGTTACAATAATAATAATTTTCCCAATTTTACAGGCATTGGCTGTTCTGATAAAAAATAAAGTTTAAAAAATCTCTGATAATGGTCTAGTTTCAACTGTTGAATCATCAATTTTTACTGTTAAGTGTTCTTTTTCAGATTGGAATAATGGAGAAAAGCAGTTTGGAATTTGAAAACAGGAATTAGCTACATAATGATGGTGTCTGTTGTGAATGTTGAGACAGCCTTCACTATTTTGAATAAAAGGTAAAACATTTTCTTTTCTTTTGAATATGGACAGACAACAATCAGTGCCCATAGGCGCGGTTGACATTTTATATACTTATTACAGGTGCTGTGTTTGATTTTTTTTTTACGTTTACAATTTTTGTTCACTGAGAGACAAATATCAGGAATATAATCTGTTATATCAGGAATTGGGATCAGGGTCGAAATATAGAGAGTGTTTAAAATCCCACCGAGATGTCACATGTATGCAGGCGGCGCACATGTCAGTGGACATGCCTTGTTAATGTCTGTCATTAGAAATTTTTCTTTATATATGTAAATAAAGTATCTTAGTCTCAGATATATTCAAGTTTTTGATATTGGTATTTAACAAATAATTACTGTAGCAATAAAATTTCAAAAGTTTGTGATCTGGGATATACAAGGGCAGGTGAATATCTGTACTGTGTATAAGATTTTAATCTGATGATCATAAAACCACAAGAGTTAGGTGGTTCATTAAAATGTTAAGATTGACTGAATTGGTTAGAAAGAAGGATAATTGTAAATGTCCATTAATAGAGAACTTAAACTCAGAACTTTAAGTTTCAAAATCAATAAAGAACAATGTCTTTCCTGCATGTGTTATGTGTAAGTGAATGTGACTTTAAATGAAGCAGTAGTATTCTTTCGCTTGTATTATTCAAAAATATATTACTTAAGTTATAATAAATCATACCATAATAATAAAATGTACAGTTTAATAAAGAATCACTTGAGTTAAGTACTGAAGAATCAATTAGTTGAATTTGAAATTTTGAGAATTACTCAATGCCAAGAGTTGTAAATTAATTAATCAACAAATATTTGTACATGTTTATGTATAATAAATAAAATCTTTGTATGGTATGGAGGTGCACAAGGTATGTAGGGGGGATGCACTCGACCCCCACATACCTATGACGAGGGGAATAATGTTACCATTAAAAAAAAAGGAAAACAAAAAGTATTGAAGGAATGTGAACATTTGTATTGCCCCATATTATAATGTGACTTTTGATGGCAGGATTTTGATACAGATACTACAATGATGTAAATACATACATGTATGTACTACCATAAAAAGGTCACATTAAACTGTTTCTCCTCACAATCACAGTTATTTCTACCTTGCTGTCAAACACCGGACTGTCACTGACTGCAACGATCATACATCCTGTTTTTATTGACATCTGAGTCACATAGGGATTGGAAGATCTTTAACTCATCTGTAAATTCAGTTTTTCTGGATGTTCAACTCATTCGGAAGTTCAACTTGTTTGGAAGTTCAACTCACATTAACAAGCACTGGTCACATAGAAAATTTAATTTCACCTGCAAGTAGAATTTACCAACTATTTACCCTCCAAGATGAGTGGCTCTGAAAATATTTTTTGATATCTGTCTCATGGTAGGTTTGTAGATCTCACTCATAGGATTGATGATTACACTGGTGGTAGGATTGTGATCTTATCGTGGTAAGATTGTAGATCTCACTCTTGTTGGGATTGTAGATCTCACTCTTGTTGGGATTTGTTGGGATTGTAGATCTCACCTTTGGGTAGGATTGTAGATCTCACCTTTGGGTAGGATTGTAGATCTCACTCATGGTAGGATTGTAGATCCCTCTTGTGGTAGGATTGTAGATCCAACTCATGGTAGGATTGCAGATCTCACTCGTGGTAGGATTGAATACCCCACAATTGTGGTTGGATTGTAGATCCCACAATTGTTTGAATTGCAGATCTCAAAGAGTAGGTATTTCTGATTGATTCTGGCTGTGAAATGATATTGCTGAAGAATTGAAGTGTTTTGCTTTATAATGGGCATATTTTCCATATGTATTTCAAATATCATGGAGAACAGTAGAAATTATCATTTGGATATTCTTATAAAATGTTTTTTGAAACAAAAAATGTTGAATTCTAAGTGATTATCGGGTAATTTTATTTTTCTTATAATATAAACTAGATTTTTTTCTGACTTAAAAAAAATGAAATTATTATTGTGGTAAAAACTTGTTATGGCCTCTAAGGCTCTGTGCTAATTGTGCTTATGTTAAAGTACACATGTTTGTGCAAAATATTTAATTTCTTAAAAGTGCAGTTAGATCTACATGTATATAGGAATGTTTTGATGAATGTTATTTTCTATGCTTATGTTTTACCTGAGTCAGTGTTCTTTTAGTTTAAAATGGAGAGAGTATCACATTATTACCTAAGACTTGCTAACCATTTAATGATTGCTGCTAATTTTTTTTGTTAATGACGTCAGAGGTATCTTTAGTGTAAATTTTCAATTTTTAAATGTACAAAATCAGAAGATGACTATGTCTGATGATATTTAAATATTTTAATATCCTCACATTATATGTTTTCAACTGAGTCACCTATTTTCAAAGGTGTACTGTCATTTTTTCATGGTTTTTGCTTTATATGCACATGTCAAGTGTACATCATAATATTATGATTCTTCCCTTGACAAAAAGTAAACCTGACCGAATTTTGCAAAAATTTGTAAAAGTGTGTTTTTAAAAAAAAAAATTTTTTTTAACCTCACAGTAAAATTTATCATTAGTTAATCTAATCCATTAATTAATTGTGTCTTATAAATTAAAATACAATGTAGTTCAATAGACAATGTAACCAAACTGCTTGAAAAAATTCGAACTCAATGTCTAATATGGAATATATTTTGCTGCATGCAAACTACCACCTTCTAAAACTGGTTTTACATACTTCACAAGCTGGTGCTATAATATTTCACAGGTTTATATGAATTTAAATATTTTATGCGTCTCTTTACTTTGTTCAAGATTGATCAAGGATTTATTGTAAGACAATTTGTAATTATTGTTTGGACTTTTAATTTACATTTTGGGATCAAATTATCTCTTACACCCTTGAAAACCAAACCGGTAACTATCTGAGAAATGGTTTAGTTGTGTAGAATTTTACAGAAAAAAAATCAAAGTATGCTTCATTATAACTGACTATTTCCGTACTCCACCAAACATTATGACTTACTTTTGATAATTGATTGTTTTTATTTAACATTTTTCATGTATCCAAAATATTATTTTCATTTAACATTTTTATAATCAAAAATAATTATTCATTTGACATTTTAATTATCAAAGATATTTATTCGACATTAAGTTAGTTATCAAAGATGATAATTCATTTGACATTTAAATAATCAATGATAATTATTCATTTGACATTTTTATTATCAAAGATATTTATTCATTTGACATTTCAATTATCAAAGATATTTATTCATTTGACATTTTAATTATCAAAGATAATTATTCATTTGACATTTTAATTATCAATGATTATTATTCATTTGACATTTTAATTATCAAAGATATTTATTCGACATTAAGTTAGTTATCAAGGATGATAATTCATTTGACATTTAAATTATCAATGATAATTATTCATTTGACATTTTTATTATCAAAGATATTTATTCATTTGACATTTTAATTATCAAAGATTATTATTCATTTGACATTTTTATTATCAAAGATAATTATTCATTTGACATTTTAATTATCAATGATTATTATTCATTTGACATTTTTATTATCAAAGATGATAATTCATTTGACATTTTAATTATCAATGATAATTATTCATTTGACATTTTTATTATCAAAGATATTTATTCATTTGACATTTTAATTATCAAAGATAATTATTCATTTCACATTTTAATTATCAATGATTATTATTCATTTGACATTTTTATTATCAAAGATATTTATTCATTTGACATTTTAGTTATCAATGATTATTATTCATTTGACATTTTTATTATCAAAGATATTTATTCATTTGACATTTTAATTATCAATGATTATTATTCATTTGACATTTTTATTATCAAAGATATTTATTCATTTGACATTTTTATTATCAAAGATATTTGAGCCACATCATGACAAAACCAACATAGTGCGTTTGCGACCAGCATGGATCCAGACCAGCCTGCGCATCTGCGCAGTCTGATCAGGATCCATGCTGTTCACTTACAAACACTATTACAAGTAGAGAAACTGATAGTGAACAGCATGGATCCTCATCAGACTGCGCAGATGCCCAGGCTGGTCTGGATACATGCTGGTCGCAAACACACTATGTTGGTTTTGTCGTGACGCGGCTCATTTATTCATTTGACATTTTATTTTACAATGACATTGTTTTCAGACAACAGAGAGGAACTGACTGTGTGGTGAATGTGATAGGGAAGGTGATCTGTGTGAGTGAAGTGGTCAGGATTAAAGAAAACCATTTATTTATGGTCAAGCTTGCACATAATGTTGATCTTATTATTAAGGTACAATTGATTTTTGTCAAATCAAAATAATTTGTAGTTTGACTTTTTTTCGGGCCAAAGGCTGGTCTAAAATCAGTTTGACTTCCTGTAAAATTTATAGGGAAGAACTTAATATAAAAATAGTCTTCATTGGTCATCTTAAAATTACAAAATAAAATCTGGGAATCTCATTGGCCATTCTAAAATTAAAATTTAAAGTTTTATTCTTGTCATTCTAAGATAGTTCTAAACTAAAATATAAAGGATAACTCTTGCCATTATAAAATAACATGTAAAGAATAGTTCTAAAATAAAATGTATGAGATAGTTCTTTAACATTCTAGTTTAATAGCTCAGGTATTTAAGTTCTATTTTACAATACAATGTACTTCTTCCCACAAAATATAATTACATTTGACACTGCATTCAGATCTCATTACATTTTCTAGTGAACCGTTCATTTTACCTAGCTAAGAACTTTCTGAGTTTATTTTACAGAACTTATCTGGTACCCTAAGTTTATGATGTTCAATAGGTGGCCAATACATGTATATTGTATGATTATTAATGTGTATAATTGATATAATGTATTGTTTATAATTTTAGTATTTATAAAAAAATAATTCCCTACCAGATGCGTAGATGTAGGTGAAAGAAATCATTATGCAAGCTATGCTCACATTTCTATATATGACTTTGCATGGAAAACTAAGAACTAACATATGTAAGTTAACCAGTTTTACTTTGGCTGAGTATCTTTTTTTTTTAAAGATACTTCTCGTTAAAAATTAGTATTGGAAATATTAATTTATTATCATGGCAATTAAAGGTTTTGTGGACAGTTTTGTATGTGTAGATAAAGGTGAGCAAAGGATATAAGTCAGTTTATCAAGTTTTATTGTTTAATCATTTGACAATTTAATATTATTTCAGAGAAAAGAATGTCTTCATTGGCAGAAGGAACTGTCTCCCTATTCAGAATATATCTTGACAAATCTTAGACCTACAATCATTCAGAAGGTATAATATAATTGGACTATATCAGATTATATCATTACAATTATCAAACATTACATTGTGTATATATCATTAAATGTTTAGATGAAAATTATTAACAAATGTACTCGAACTACTTCCAGAAATTTGATAAAATATGAAATGTTTAATTTATGTCAATACGTAGTTTAAAAATTATTTATTAGGATACAAGGTTACAGTTTTATTTAAAACAGTTTGGAGTCAGCTTCCTGGTCTTAATCAGTACTTATGTCGTATGAACGAAGATGATCATGCTAAATATTAAGAGAGCAATCCTGTTTATATAACATACAGATATACCATATAGTTAATATCTTCTGTTTAAAAGTTAACTTTATCATATTGTACATATATAGTTAAGGGAAGAATAAAACTGCAGTGTATCAAGATTGTCAAATGAGCCGCGTCACGACAAAACCAACATAGTGCGTTTGCGACCAGCATGGATCCAGACCAGCCTGCGCATCCGCACAGTCTGATCAGGATCCATGCTGTTTGCTTTCAGTTTCTCTTCTTGTAATAGAGTTGGTAAGTGAACAGCATGGATCCTGATCAGACTGCGCAAATGCGCAGGCTGGTCTGGATCCATGCTTGTCCCAAACGCACTATGTTGGTTTTGTCGTGACGTGGCTCAAATTATTTCAAAATAATACCTATAGGGTAGTAGATCACCTCACAGAGTGTTTACAGTGACTAGAAACAGCCAGCTATATCTGCCAGACAATGTCAACATGGTCCTGATGACAGAATCTGATATTGTAAAACAGTATGGCATACAACATGATGATCATCTAACACATACAGACATACACGACCCTGCTATTGATGGGATATTCTCATATCAGGTATAAATTCTTATATAGGGTATAGACTCTCACTCATATTAGGTAGTCACCAACTTAATTATAATGCTGAAAATGTAATATACATAAGATATGAAAATGTTCTTTTATGGGGATATATAATTTACAATTATTGACTATTGAGCCATAGAATATGATGTGATAATCACCAGCATAATGTCATATTGACTAAGTTCGGTTGACTTCTTTCTGAACCAATGACATTTCAGCTTATATTTAGGTGATAATTTTCAAAGTTTCATGTATTCCCCTGTAAAATGTGTTAATGCCTGTTTACTGTAAACAAGTTAATGAATGAAACTTGTTAATTTAGAGCTATCAGCACCTTTATAAAATATCAAATAAAATATTCCAATCAGTATCATATTATATACATGTGTACTTTGTATGTTATAGGGGAAGGTGACAGCGACCCTGGATCCAGGTCTTGGTGTGTTTGAGCTAGATAAGACCGTCAGGTACATGTATAATATCATCATTATCTTATCTAAAAATGAAGTATTCAAATCATCATTGCAGATTTGTAACATTTTATAGACTATTATTAATTAACTTTTCAATATTAGGCACGCTTTCACTTCAAATGTAAGGCTAATGTGAAGTTCACCATGACATTATGAACATAAAACAAGGCCATTATGCAAAATCACTGCCATAATGAGAAAACTCGGCAATTATGAGATTCGAGAATTTTGATTGACTCTACAGCTCAATGCGGACAGTGTTTGAATCCATGATATCTTTCATGCATTATTACAAGCAATAGTGAACTACTTGTGAAAGCTTTGTTATCATTGGTATCTGTTGATTAGATAATATAATTATGGTTTGGAAAAGTAATAAGATTTTTTATATTTTTCGTAATGTTAAACAGTGTCTGTCTGTTATAGATTATTTGTTGGACCAGTACCGGCAGTTCACAAATACTCCATGTTAAGGGAAGGGGCAACTGTTCTTGTACAAAATGCACATTACACCACCTCTAAACAGGTAGGTTAAAGTTTCAACTACAAACTGTTGACAAGCAAATACTGGTACTTGTATCAAATGTTTTACTTCACAATTTTCATGAAATTAACTGTTAGCCTGCTGATCTCAACTGATTCTACCCATTCCACCAGTGTAGACCATCGTGATCGTGGTCTGTACTGTTCAGTATTTATTCAGTAAATATTTGAATTTTTCCCTAAAATGATGAATGGTTTGTACAGATTGAGAGATGGACAGGTGGGTTGTCCGTGGCTGAGTGGTTAAGGTCATTGACTTCAAACCACTTTTCCCTCACCCTTGTGGGTTAGAATCCCAACAGGGACTTTGGATTTTTTCATGTAAGGAGTCTATCCAGCTAGCTTACGGAACGTCGGTGGTTCTACTCAGGTGCCCGTTCTTGCCTGAAATAATGCATGGAAGGGCACCTGAGGTCTTCCTACACCAGTAAAGCTGGAAAGTCGCCATATGACCTATATTGTGTTGGTGTGACGTAAACCCAATCAAACAAACAACAGATGGCCAGGTCTATTGAATATATGTATTTAGCATAGAAGGAGTTAACATACAGGTGACATGAACACTAAAAAATGTTAACACATAGTTTTAAATGCTGATTTGTTAATGTTATTCACCTTTTGGTAAAGATTTTGTGTCGACTTGTCAAGAATTGTTTATCAAGTTTCTTATAGTTATAACAAGGTAGTGACTCATTTAACATTTAATAGAACTTGGAAATGTTTTAAATTAGCTTGTAGTTAAAGTAAATGAAACATTTTAAAATGACATTTTTTTATTGTTTATAAAATTGTTTTCCATGTTTTGTTTGGAAGGTGAAGGCAATGTCACAAAGCTCGTGTCATCACTTATTTCACGATAATTGCATATTTCCATATGACTAATGTTAACATTGGTTAAAATATTTGTAGACATATTTTAGCAATACACCTAATCAAGAAAGTTTTGGTGAAAAATATTTTAAACATTTAGATCTTTAAGTAAAACACTGCAAAATGTCAATACAGACTGTTAAAATGTCTGCATACATTTGTCATGGACAATCGTTATTTTCCAAGTGTACTTGTTTGTTGAAAAAAACAAAATTATTTTGCATTACAACAGTAAAAATGGTTTAAATATTTGAAATAAAGCAATATAACATTCAGTACTCTACTGAAATATTAAAAAAACTAGGGTAAAACAACACAATTTAAATGATGATGTAAAGTTTTGAAAATTACCAAACTAAGGGCTACGTCTGACCCATTAAATTTGTTTTTGATTGAATATGTTGTTTCCTTGTGTCGTACTGCAGAAAATACAAAAATCATCACCTTAGTGCAATTACTGATTAACTCCTATTACATTTCGAAGAACTTGTTCCATTACTACACTAAGGTGACAAAATGTTACAGGTGATAATAATTGTTTTGTACCATTGTTTATTGTTTTCTTTCTTGTTTCAAAGTACCTCACACTAAGAGGTGCACAGAAAGTACCTTACATTTAGGGGTGCACAGGTGCATTGTGTTATTATGTGGCATTTGTAAATGATAATTTCAGTATCCAAGAGTTACTTTATACTGTTGTATGCTGACTAAAGTACAGTGTGTGGAGGAAAGCAATGAAACTAAACAACAGGTATTTCATTAATATGATTATTATATCATACTACATTCCTAGTTAGTAACCTTATATATGAAAGAATGCCTCAAAGATAAGTGCAGAAAAAGCCTCAAAGATGAGTATAGAAAAATGTCTCAAAGTAAAGTATAGAAAAATGCCTGAAAGATGAGCATAGAAAAATGCCTCAAAGATGTGTATAGAAAAATACCTTAAAGATGAGTATAGAAAAATGTCTCAAAGTAAAGTATAGAAAAATGCCTGAAAGATGAGTATAAAAAAATGTCTCAAAGATGAGTATAGAAAAATGTCTCAAAGATGAGTATAGAAAAATACCTCAAAGATGAGTATAGAAAAATGCCTCAAAGATGAGTATAGAAAAATGCCTGAAAGATGGGTATAGAAAAATGTCTCAAAGATGAGTATAGAAAAATGTCTCAAAGATGAGTATAGAAAAATGCCTCAAAGATGAGTATAGAAAAATACCTCACAGTTATGAGTATAGAAAAATTCTCAAAGATGAGTATAGAAAAAATACCTTCAGAGATGAGTATAGAAAATGTCTCAAAGATAAGTATAGAAAAATGCCTGAAAGATGAGTATAGAAAAATGTCTCAAAGATGAGTATAGAAAAATGCCTCAAAGATGAGTATAGAAAAATGTCTCAAAGATGAGTATAGAAAAATGTCTCAAAGATGAGTATAGAAAAATACCTCAGAGATGAGTATAGAAAAATGTCTCAAAGATGAGTATAGAAAAAATGTCTCAAAGATGAGTATAGAAAAAATGTCTCAAAGATGAGTATAGAAAAATGCCTCAAAGATGAGTATAGAAAAATGTCTCAAAAGATGAGTATAGAAAAATGTCTCAAAGATGAGTATAGAAAAAATGTCTCAAAAGATGAGTATAGAAAAATGTCTCAAAGATGAGTATAGAAAAAATGCCTCAAAGATGAGTTATAAAAAAATACCTCAAAGATGAGTATAGAAAAATGCCTCAAAGATGAGTATAGAAAAATACCTCAAAGATGAGTATAGAAAAATGCTCAAAGATAAGTATAGAAAAATGCCTGAAAGATGAGTATAGAAAAATGTCTCAAAGATGAGTATAGAAAAATACCTCAGAGATGAGTATAGAAAAATGTCTCAAAGATGAGTATAGAAAAATGTCTCAAAGATGAGTATAGAAAAATGTCTCAAAGATGAGTATAGAAAAATGCCTCAAAGATGAGTATAGAAAAATACCTCAAAGATGAGTATAGAAAAATGCCTCAAAGATGAGTATAGAAAAATACCTCAAAGATGAGTATAGAAAAATGCCTCAAAGATGAGTATAGAAAAATGCCTCAAAGATGAGTATAGAAAAATACCTCAAAGATGTGTATTTGTCTGTTTATGGTAAAAAGGTAATTTGCATATGAATTTTGTTATATTGGTAATATTCGAGTCATCATTTTTATTCACCATTGTTAATTTTTGCATAATCTATTTAAGCAAAATGTTGATTGTCATTGGATTTTGCTGTAAAAATGTGAACAATGCGTATAAGAACTTTTTCAGACAAATGGCGTGAAGTTAAACGAGGAAATGAAGAAGTTGTTGTATCTTCATGGCCAGTCACAGAAACAGCTTGATCATATGTTTACACTTAGAAATGTTCTGAAAAAACAGTTCCTGAATATCTTAGGTGACAGGTAAGTAGGTATTGTAATATAGGTCAAACCTTTATCTACATATACTTTCAGGTAGCAAATACATTTACAAGCTCAATATAATGCCAAGGTTACAACTTGTTTTATAATCTTGTGATTTCAGCTTCTAAATTTGACACACAGACACCATTTTATTAAATGAGGTCATTGTCAAAGGTTACAAACCTTCAATTAAGTGATTTATATGAATATTTGGTTTGACAAAATAAGTAATGTAGTATGCCTTTACTTTTAAGATTCATTATGTTATCCAATTGAAATGCAAATCAAAGCTCTTTAGCAAGTAGAAGGCCTGCCCTGACAATGAATATTAGAATAACACACTGCTCATTATGATTGTAAATAAAGCACTCTGTTGACAATGATTCTTTAATGAAAGCTCTGTGTTGACCATGATTTTGAGATAAAAGCATTGTGCTGTCTTTGATTTTGAGAAAACACTACTTGACCCTGAAATATAGAACACTGCTGACCTTGATTTTGAAATAAAAACACTTCGCTTATCGATCGTGAAAGCAATGGCCTGACGTTTCTTTTAAAGATGAAAGCACTGTTGGAATTCAATGGAAAAAAACATGTGAGAATCCTTTGAGTCCATTGTCAATGATAATGAAATGTCCTTACTTTCTAGGAATTTAAATGTCTTTTATGATTTACATATTATTTTATATGCACTATTTTGTTTTATGTAAGATTGTATCATAGATATTGTTTGATGATTATTATTGTAGACTGACAGAGAGTATATTTACCAAGGTAGTCACAAATATATGGTTTAACGTGGGAGACCAGATAAATAAGCGTGCACAGAGAATGCTGATTGATGAGTTCCTTAATACACCACATAAATGTCCTCTTATTGGAGGTGATACGGTAATTGATGAGTTCCTTAATACACCACATAAATGTCCTCTTATTGGAGGTGATACGGTAATTGATGAGTTCCTTAATACACCACATAAATGTCCTCTTATTGGAGGTGATACGGTAATTGATGAGTTCCTTAATACACCACATAAATGTCCTCTTATTGGAGGTGATACGGTAATTGATAAGTTCCTTAATACACCACATAAATGTCCTCTTATTGGAGGTGATACACCACATATATGTCATACATGTGACAAATGAAATGGGCCAAATCTGGATTTTCAGCTGGATTTTGAGGCTCAAAACTGGATTTTTTTATTGACTCGAATTTCAATGCGTGTTTGGCACATTTGATTCAAAGAATCTATAGTACCCTCAAAACCATTAAATGATTATACTTTTTATGATTTTTTTGTTGATCAATATTAATTTATTTCACCAAAAAATAAATAAATAGATAAATAAATAAGTGTAGTCATACAGGCTATTTCTAAAACAGTCACATTTTCACATTTCATTATTTTCAGTTTGAATAATTTAATTTTATCTGTCTTTTCAGTCATACAATAATTGGCTAATAATTTAAAACACAAGCTATTTGAAAACGTGCAACAACTATTCATGAACATAAGACTCTGACAGTTAAATAGCGTAACGTGTAAGTAGAAGACTAGAGAAAATAAATGCAAGAATCGTTCTGTTATTAAATCCACATTTTTGCCTCGATGATTGTGTAATTCCTAAACAAAACAAAAAAATTACCCACTCACTAAAAATAGGTTAATTAGACATGGTTTTGTCGCATCTCAAACAGGTTTTTGAATGATCCACTTTAAATGATTCTGCTCACCTTTAATCTTTATCAGTGCAGCACTAATCAAAGAAAATCAAAGGTTGAGCCGAATTCATACATGTAAATTTAGTAATTTACAGGGTCGTTTTGATGACATAGCATGTAATACCTACTGCCAAATTATAAAAGAGGTCAATTGACTGACACACAACACGTGTTAAGTTAAACATGTGAGAATAACTTTGGGTGATGGAACTATTTATTACGTCACCTTGCTGTCAATTAGCGACTCAACAGTTAATCCGCTATAATTAAGAATATGGACAGAAATCAATCAATGCCCGGAGGCACGGTACAGACGCTGTGTTTAATTTTTTTATGTTGATTTTTTTTTAAATATCGGGAATTCAAGCTGTCATATCGGGATCAGTGATGAAATATCGGGATTTTTTTAAATCCCGCCGGGATATCACATGTATGAAATGTCCTCTTATTGGAGGTGATACACCACATAAATGTCCTCATATTGGAGGTGATACACCACATAAATGTCCTCTTATTGGAGGTGATACGGTAATTGCATTACTTCCTGTATGATAATAATTGTATTTATGGATAAACTCTTTAGCATTGATGACAGACATGTATATAAAAGTGATAACTTATATAACATTTATGACATGTAATTTATATTATATATATATTTGTGATATAGGCTGTAATACTTGTACTGGTATATACTTATTTTCCACACAAAAAAAGAAGAGAAAAAAAAGATAAGGACTTTACCATCATCCAGCAGGATTCGTTTAATCCACAGATCCTGCTGCAAAAGTTCTTAGACTAAGTAGCCAGCAAGAGAATTACATATTCAACTTTATATTTACAGATTAAAATTTTACTTATTTATATTTTATTGCCAAGTGTATGTGAAATAAAAGAAATTTTTCATTGTCTACTGACTTAAAACTTTTTGTAAGTAACTGGCTTGGTCACCCCAAATTTTGTAAATAGGAAACACATGTTTATTTCGAGTAAGAATTCATTATAATTGCATATATAGTTACCTCTGAGTTTGTTTGGAAATGATCTTTATATTTCAGGTGACTGGAATATTTACAACTGTTGCTGATTTAAAAAACAGCATACCAGAGGTTTCAACTGATGAAATGGAATGGAAATATTCTAAGCAGATATCTCAACAGGTTATTTTCTTTATCAACCAATTATTTTAATTTGTGATCAACAAGTATGAAATACATGTATTTAATTTTACTTTGTATGCATACTTTGCTGTGAGTGTGAATGAAGTGTGTCAGTTTAGTTTATTTCTTTAAGAAGAAAAACAACTTTTTGTAATGTTTGTTCAACTACCAGAATATACAATTTGAAATAGTTTTTAACTCATTATTTGAGGAATAGGGAGGGCTATTGTACTCACCCAGGCTTCTGTCAGAATTTAATTTGGCTTTTGAGTACAAGTTGGTATCTTTGAAACTACTGAAGGGAATGGGTTAAAACTTTACACATTCATTAAAATGTATAATGGAAGGGCATTAATTGAGGTCCAGTTTTTGACAGAATTATGGCCCTTTTAAACTATCAAGCACTGAGAATAGTTGAGCATGCTGCTGTACTGACAGGTCTTGTTTGTTTGTTTTTTTATGCTCCCCGAAAAATTTCGGGGGAGCATATAGTTGGCGCCTTGTCCGTCTGTCCGTCCGTCCGTCTGTCTGTCTGTCCGTTGTCTTGTCCGGAGCATAACTTGAAAACCCTTGGAGATAATTTGTTTAAACTTAATACAGTGGTAGAGGGCATTGAGGGGGAGTGCAGTGTCAAAGAACCATAACTCTATTTTGCCCGGTTTTTGAATTATCTCCCCTTATAGAAAAATCTTGTCTGGGACATAACTCTAAAACTATAAGAGATATCAACATGAAACTTTGTAGGTAAATAGATCTGAATGGGTAGATGTGCAGTGCATAAGAACAATAACTCTTTTTGGCCTAATTTTGGAGTTTTGCCCTTTGTTAATTTTAACACTTCGAATTTGTCCGGAACATAACTCTTAAACTATAAGAGACATCAAGATGAAACATTGTAGGTAGATAGATCTCATTGAGTAGAAGTGCAGTGCAAAAGAACCATAACTCTGTTAAGCCTCATTTTTGAATTATCTCCCCTTTTAGAAAAATCTTGTCCAGGACATAGTTGTAAAACTATAAGAGGTATGAACATGAAACTTTGTAGGTAGATATATCTCAATGGGTAGATGTGCAGTGCACAAGAATCATAACTATGCCTTGCCTAATTCTGGAGTTATTGCCCTTTGTTTATTTTTACTTTTTGAAGTCGGAAACCATAAGAGATATCAACAAGAAACTTTGTAGGTTGATAGATCACATTGATTAGAAGTGCAGTGCAAAGAACAGTAACTCTGCCTTGCTTAATTTTGGAATTATTGCACTTTGAACTTTTTCCAGGGACATAACTCTGAAACTACAAGAGGTGTACTTTCCTGTGTCCAAAACCTATTCAGGGAGCATCACCCGGCTCAAACCGGGCTCTTGTCATCATTATTTTCAACCTACATTTTTTTCATATATTATTTCAGGTACTTGTTGGTATTATAGATGTGAGTGACAGTACTGGACAGATTGGTCTTTATGATGATACAGGAAGTATTGACTTTGTTACTTGTTGTTACCATGATAGAATAAATGAACCCTGTTCTCATTTATGTGCAGGACCATGTGATTGTAATAATATTGAAATTGGTGACACATTTTTATGTCCCTATGTGCATACATGTTGTGTGGGTAAAATAGTGGCTCTTAAAATGTATCAAATAATTTGTGAAACAATGGTAACCAGTAATGGAGAAAACTTTAAATTTTTAAGTAGAACAGAAAGGTCAAGGTCAGATGCTTGTGACAAATATTTGGTTGTAGATATGAAAAATGCTGTGTATATAGGAAACAATCCTGAAGTAGGTACATCAAAAAGTGAACAGAAAATCAGTAATTGTGTAAAAGAAGTAAGTGCAATGAGAGAAGAAAATGCTAATCTGAAACTGGTGTGTCACTCTGAACAAGATATTAATTGTGTAAGTGAATCATTGAGTTCAGATCATGTAAAATGTAAAAATGAACAGACTGATGGAGTCACAAGTGTCAAAATAAATACTGAGTCATCAAAATCTGAAAGTTCTTCTGAGTCCAAAAAATCAATCTTACATAAACACGTGAAGAAAGATGGAAGTATAGTGTTCTGTAGGAAGGTGGAATGTTGTGATAAAAGCGCTATGATTCTTAACAGAAAGAAGCTAGAACCCTCTGTAAGTGATGGTAATTCAAATGGAGGTATAACTTCAGAAATCAATGTGCTTAATGAATATGATGAAAATCATCCTCTCAGTTCAGGAAGTGAGACTGTAAAGACAAACAACTTGCCATTCAAACTTGGCAAATCAGCATTTAAAGTAAAACCTATATCCAACAGAAAGAGAGCTCTTGTTGGAAATCATTCAGGTATCAAAAGTGATTCTGTTTCAAATAAAATGCCAAGAATTGATAAGGGTAACGTAAGAGACAACAGGGAGGTAGAACATGAATATATCGGAAGAAACTTGCATGGTAACCATTGTGATAGCTGTAATGATAGATATAATTCTAATTCTAGCCATGTAACTATCTACATGGAGAATAAGGGTAGTTTAATGTGTGCAGATGGGCAAAGAAGATTTAATGTAGACTGTGCAATCATCAACAGGCCAGAACTGGAAAAGGTGAATAAATCAGTTTATTTGCATTTAGTTTTGCAATAATTGAAATATACCATGTCTGAATTATTTGTTACTTACACACAATATTCATCTGTATAACAGGTCTAGTGTAATAAAAACGTGACATGATTTAGTTACATGTTAAAGTTTCAGAAACATTGTGATATTGGTAAACTGAAAGGTCAGAATTTAGTACATGTATGTTTTGTAATTCTAACTTCCATTAAATCTTAATATTTGTATCTAAATATTACAGAAAACTGTCAATTTAATGATCTTTGTTGCAAATATACAATCTCATTGGATGTAGATACAGTAAATATGAAATACATGTATTACATGCAGAATTACATTTAACCTACCAAGTTGTATTTAAATAGGTTCAACTTAATATTCTATTGTTAACAAGGACAATGCGGTAGATCATTTGGAACACTTAATTATGAAACATGTTTTTCAGGTGATCCTTGAGTTCTCAGGTAAATCAATTAGATGGTACCCATTGTTGTATATAGGAACCATTTACATTCTGACTACATATGGGGAACCAGTTCTTTCTGTCTCATTGTCACATGATAAACTGAAAAAAATGTTGCTGAAAAACAAGTCAAGGTAAACATGATTAATAATGATTGTTTTATTTCTGGTTTGTATGTAAACTAAATGGAGATGAATCTAAGTTTAAGTCTGACATGGGATCCTAGAATAGACTTGACCCTTACCATGCTAAATATCTTAAATGGACTGGTCAACCATTTATCATTTTTTTAGGGGAATATTTCAAAATAATTACTGACTTGATAGTGAACAGTGCAAATCAACATTAGATGGTATTGTAGTGCCTGCTGGTTTTTGTTCTGTACTGGTTGATAATAATAGGTAGAATCTGTTTCATTTGTACTGACATTATTGAGTTATTTTCAATAAACTTTTAATTTTAACTCCTATTGAGTTACTTCCCCTTGTGACATGTAGATATATTTATTTTTATTGAAGAAGATGCCTTACTGTCAATGAGAATGTATGTATACGGAGACAGTGGAATATTTCACCTCATTCTGACACATTGTCATCACCCTGTCTTGTTTCTTTACAAGATATTCTAAAACCAGAGTAAGTGGTTTACCTAACAGTTTATTGATGTTCATTTTATAATTACTAAAGATGTGTACCCTTGATGTGTCTCCAGTAACACTTACCATTTATGTAACAGAATTCATTTTGAATGTTAAAGTATTATTATGCTCAATTTTACACAGATAAGGTTAACTGAATGAACTAAATATTTCAAATGATTAAATATTATAATGGTGATTGATCAACAATTGATACATTTAAATGACAAATGATTAGGATAAAATATAGAAACTGCCTTAAATATAAAAAAGACTGGGCAAACTTTTTTCAAGTGAGCATAACTGCTAAACTACGAATGAATTTTAAAGACATTTTTGTGGGTCACATAATTGATTGATTACTTTTGAGTATAATACTGAAGACAATGGTGGCAAAATGTATGTTTATTTTGTATTTTATGTACACTCACCATTTACAGTTGCATGGGCATTATGTCACTATAAAGGATTTCAATATGAGAATGATAAAATTTAGCAGCCGAAAGTATAGAACAATGTTAGTCTGTATGGGAGTGCAGGCGATTGACCTAGAAATATACTGATGACATAGATCTTACATTACCACTGCTAGTACGTAATTATACTGCAAAGATAAAAATGTCTTTTGATAGTCATATTTATAAAATTGGCAAAACATTCACATTTTCTTTTATATATTTCTGCATTTTGGTTTCCTTTTTCAGGTTCACAGAAAAGTTTGTTAGTTTTGAAGGTCAGATTATCAGCAGAACTTTTGTTAAACCAGGAATTGCTCAAAAATCTATGTCGAAAGATTTAAGTATGTTATTACTTTTAAGTATGTTATTGCCTTAACTAAAGATTACAATTTTGATAAAGTTTGCTTTGACTTGTGATAGATTTTTTCATTTATGTGGTACAATGATTTATTAACTGCTTGTTTTCAGCAAGCATATTTTTAGCTCACCTGTCACAAAGTGACAGGGTGAGCTTTTGTGATCGCTTTTCGTCCGGCGTCCGGCCGTCGTCCGGCCGTCGTCCGTCCGTAAACTTTTACTTTAAATGACATCTCCTCATAAACCACTAAGCCAATTTCATCCAAACTTCACAGGAATGTTCCTTTGGTGGTCACCTTTAAAAATTGTTCAAAGAATTTAATTCCATGCAGAACTCTGGTTGCCATGGCAACCGAAAGAAATTTTTTTAAATATCTCCTTTTAAAAAACCATAAGAGCTAGAGCCTAGATATTTGGCATGAAACATCTTCTAGTGAGTGTCTACCAAGTTTGTTCAAATAAAAGCCCTGGGGTCAAAATTGGCCCCGCCCCGGGGGGTCATTGATTTTCCCCATATGCATATAGTAAAAACTTAAAAAATCTTCTTTTAAAGAACTCAAAGAGCTATGGCTAAGATATTGAGCATCAAACATGTTCTAATAGGTGTCTACCAAGTTTGTTCAAATAAAAGCCCTAGAGTCAAAATTGGCCCCGCCCCAGGGGGTCATTGATTTTCCCTATATGCATATAGTAAAAACTTAAAAAATCTTCTTTTAAAGAACCCAAAGAGTAAGAGCTAAGATATTTAGCATAAAACATGTTCTAATAAGTTTCTACCAAGTTTGTTCAAATAAAAGCCCTGGGGTCAAAATTGGCCCCGCCCCAGGGGGTCATTGATTTTCCCTATATGCATATAATAAAAACTTTAAAAAATCTTCTTTTAAAAAACTCAAAGAGCTATGGCTAAGATATTGAGCATCAAACATGTTCTAATAGGTGTCTACCAAGTTTGTTCAAATAAAAGCCCTAGGGTCAAAATTGGCCCTGCCCCAGGGGTATCATTGTTTTTAACTATATGTGTATAGTAAAAACTTAAAAAAAATCTTCTTTTAAAAAGCCCAATGAGCTAGAGCTTAGATGTTTAGCATGAAACATCTTCTTATGGGTGTCTACCAAGTTTGTGCAAATAAAAGCCCTTGGGTTGAAATTGGCCCTGCAACGTTGTGGGGGGGTGTGGGGGGCCTATATACAAGTGAGCGACCTCAGGGCCATCATGGCCCTCTTGTTTCTATTTTTATTTTTTCACTTTATTTTATTTGTATTATAAATGACCTCTTGACAAGGTATTTAGCATCAAACCTGTCTATAGTAGGTTAAAAAAAAACTGATTTACAGGTGAACTCTTAAACAAGGTAATCCTGCTCTATAATTGACCAGTAGAGAAAATACAATGTTAACCTTTAGAGAAAAGTTTTCTGTATGTACTATTTTATTCTAACTTAACCTTTGGTTTAGCTTTGACAGCTATTTATGTTCTCAAATTTAACCTTTAAATGCAATGTACATGGCATTAAAAAAGAATAGTTCAGATTGAGAACGTTTGTAAATTCACCAGCATTAAAGAGAGATATAATGATTATTTTTCAGACAGTGGCTATATATATTCAAGACTACATGTCCAGGATGTCAGTGGGACTGAAGATATCTGGGTAAGATTATATGAGCCACGTCGTGACAAAACCAACATAATGGGTTTGCGACCAGCATGGATCCAGACCAGCCTGCGCATCCGTGCAGTCTGATCAGGATCCATGCTGTTTGCTATCAGTTTCTCTACTTGTAATCGGGTTTGTAAGCAAACAGCATGGATCCTGATCAGACTGCGCAGATGCGCAGGCTGGTCTGGATCCATGCTGGTCGCAAACCTATTATGTTGGTTTTGTCATGACGTGGCTCAATTATGTATATAGAGTTAAACCATCACTTTGTAAGCAGCAACTCATTTTACCCATGCAACCAGTGCAGTGAAAGATCAGCTTGCAGAAATGAAACATTCCATTATATCATTCAAAATTCCAGTTCTTAACCTTTAACCTGCTGATGACAACTGATTCTCCCTATGTGACCAGTATAGACCAAAATCAGCAGGCATGACTGTGCTGTCTGATCATGGTCTGCACTGTTTCCAATTCCGACATGACATACTCTATACTCTGAAATTTTCCCTAAAAATGATAAATAGTCTTGTCCATATTGAGAGATAGACAAGTCCATTTAAGATATTTGGGAGGGTAAAGGTAGATGTCATGAGGAATTCATAAGTAAAATGTAACATTATGAAATGAGGACTAAAGAAATTTAGATATAGAATGTCTGTTCTTGCTAAAGTAGGATGATCTTTTCCTTAAAACGAATGTAAAATGAGCCTATGGCAATTTCATCTACATGTTGATTTTCCTAAAAAAATGAAGCTAATTATACATGTATATAGTGAATATTGCATGAATTTTCTTTTCTTATGGATAGTATGGTTCAAGTCAATTGTACATAGTTGTATAATACTTAAACCTTTATACCTATTTGTAAATATACCATGGTCACAGGCAATCACAGGCTGGACATTAAAGTGTTCTATGGCCATGTTATATGTATCAGTGGTTGTTTGGGTGATGTTGCGATTAGTGTTATATCGGAACCCCATTATATTGCAGTCTTAGACCAAAAAAATGAGCTTTATAATGGTGGTTGCAGTGTACATGTATATCTTTATCAAACTAGCCAATGATATCCTAATTTGACTAGTCTGTTTATTATATTTTGAATACAAAATTTGCATTCAAGTCATTTAAATATATTGCAGGTGTATTTAAATGACAGAAACATTGTATGTGAGAAGGGTTTAACTCCAGGCAACATGGTCAGATTTTATGGTTTGGAGAGGAAGTTATCTCAGTTAAATAACATTTACACTAGACTGGTTCCCTTGTCATGTGTACAGATACTGTTTTCACAGTCTGAAAGGTGAGAACCAATCTATCTTACTCTGATGAGATTATAGCAAAGGTGGTTTCAATAGACAAAATAATAAATACTCTGAAAAAGGTTTAAGGTGAATAACTTTAGTTTTACTTTATTTCTATTTAATTCCAAGGTTGATACTAAAACAAAATATGTGAATGTTGTTGCTGTTTTAGTTATTACACTTAAAAAAAGCTTTACATATTTGCAGTATTTATGGTTTGCGATGTATGTTAATGTGCAGGCTTTTAATAACTTTTAATTAACTTGATTGCTAAAATCAGCTTGACATATGAATCACTAAATAATAAACATTTTGTGTGGCGGCATGGCTGAGTGGTTATTGCGTTGGATCAGTAATCTAAGGATCTCTGTCTGCACGGGTTCAAACTCTGTCAGGGGCGAGCCATTGTTCCCTTAAGCAAGAAACTTTACACCCATTGCTCAGTACTGGATGATTCCAGGAACGGATTCGAGAGCATGTCTATTATAAGACTTAAAGCTTTCTACACAATCAAACTAAAATAAATTCTGTATAACCCAAATCATTAACACATATGTAAATGTTAAGGCTTTCTGATAGTTTTGGAGAATTCCTTTACCCTGTTTGCTAATATTTCAGGGTTGAAGCTAGAAATGAATTAGATGTTGGACTAACTGATACAAAGAAACAGTTTCCAGTACTGTCTTTAGTTGATTTGTGGACGACTTCGACTCCTGGCCAAGTTTTCCAGTGTGTCTGTGATATTGAGAAGATTCTGAAAGTGTCTTTAAAGTGTGTATGTGAGATATGTGGTAGTCTTGTGGTTCACTCACAATGTACAAACACTGCATGTAGTAGGGGAGAATCTTACAGATTCCTGGCAAGAGCAAGGTATTTATATATAAATGGACTGGTTTTGATAGTAATGTTATGAAAGGACCAAAAAGAGCTACAATTGATGGTGTTTATCCATTTCACAAAACAAAAAAATGATCTTTGTGTATATTTAATTGGGAACATAGATTCTTATCATTGCATTTTGATATTTAGCTGCTCATATTTACCTCTCATAGCACAATAGAGAGAGCAACAGATTTAGTAATCCAAGGGTTGCTGGTTTGATCTTTGGATGAGGTGTAATTTCTTCATGACCTTTGATCTTGGACATTGGGTCTGATGGTTATTTATATATCACCGCTGATGCAGAAACCATGTTAAGATTAGTAGTAGGTCACTAGCAGAGAAATAGATAGTAACTGGTTAACCATGAAAGCCAGTTAAGCTAAACGCTGCCAAGATATAACCAAAAACAGTTTTGAAATCGGTGCTAAAAACAGAACAATAAAGAAAAGATTGTATCCATCTATTAAATGTATACCTTACTTAATACAATGTAGTTTTGAAGCCTTGTTACTAATTTCTTTGTGTTCATATATAGTTTCTATAATACAGTTGACTCTCGATAACTCGAAATCCAAGGGACTGGGCATTTTACTTCGAGAGAAACGGAATTCGAGTAACGTGGATCTGCCGCCATTACATTGACATTCGTACATGTATATACATGTACCTGATTGAATGTGCAAAGAAGTATGTTTGTTATTGTTGATAGCGGCAATGCTGCAATATTTAACCGTTGAAATGACTGTAAATCACTTACAAATACAAATTATAAATTAACAAAAATATATTATTCAAAATTTAATACATGGATATTAATAGTGAAATATAAACACAAGCATTCGTAGCAATGACATAAATGCAACACAATTTATCTAATGTTTGATGTAAATTGATCATCGGACTAAAACAAAAGTAGCAACTATCGTGAACCGGAAGTACATATTAATGTATGCAATATGACGGAACATTAATTATACAAATGTCATTTACGTTGAAAACAGGCAGGCACAATTAAATTAATTAAATCTTGAATTACTTATCTAACTGTTAAAACTAATTAAGTCCTAAATCCGATTAAAGCCACTTTCACGACGTGCTAATAATACATGATGACCGGCAATTAAAATTACTATGAAACATGTGAATCACGAGTGACAACATCTCAACTTGATGTCGCCGACCTTTGATCAGTCGGCTGTTTTCAAACTTCGACTAATTAATATGAAAATATGTTGGACTTTAATTGACGGGACCAAATTTTCTTTTCGACTAAACAGGAGTCTCGGTAAGTCAAAATTTGACCTAAGCGGAGTTAAAATACAAAGATAAAGAAGGAAATTTGACGGGACTTTAGAAATTCTTCGACTTACGTGGAATTTTGAGTAAAGCGATTTTGACTTATCGAGAGTCAACTGTATATTCATTAGGTTGCTGGAACAATATTTCCAATTGACATAATTATTCAAGTACAGTTCCACACAATTGTGTTGAGTTTAGTTTTCAGATTTTAATTTCTGAAATGTGGCTATAATATTTTTAGCTCACCTGTCACTTTGTGACAGGGTGAGCTTTTGTGATCGCTTTTCGTCCGGCGTCCAGCCGGCGTCCGTAAACTTTTACTTTAAATGACATCTCCTCATAAACCACTAAGCCAATTTCATCCAAACTTCACAGGAATGTTCCTTTGGTGGTCACCTTTGAAAATGTTCAAAGAATTTAATTCCATGCAGAACTCTGGTTGCCATGGCAACCAAAAGAAAAAACTTTAAATATCTTCTTCTAAATAACCCAAAGAGCTAGAGCTCAGATATTTGGCATGAAACATCTTCTAGTGAGTGTCCACCAAGATTGTTCAAATAAAAGCCCTGGGGTCAAAATTGGCCCCGCCCCAGGGGGTCATTGATTTTTCCCTATATGTATATAGTAAAAACTTAAAAAATCTTCTTTTAAAGAACCCAAAGAGCTAGAGCTAAGATATTTAGCATGAAACATCTTCTAATGGGTGTCTACCCAGTTTGTTCAAATAAAAGCCCTGGGGTCAAAATTGGCCCCGCCCCAGGGGGTCATTGATTTTTCCTATATGCATATAGTAAAAACTTAAAAATCTTCTTTTAAAGAACCCAAAGAGCTAGAGCTAAGATATTTAGCATGAAACATGTTCTAATGGATGTCTACCAAGTTTGTTCAAATAAAAGCCCTGGGGTCAAAATTGGCCCCGCCCCAGGGGGTCATTGATTTTCCCTATATGAATATAGTAAAAACTTAAAAATCTTATTTTAAAGAACCCAAAGAGCTAGAGCTAAGATATTTAGCATGAAACATGTTCTAATGGATGTCTACCAAGTTTGTTCAAATAAGAGCCCTTGGGTCAAAATTGGCCCTGCCCTGGGGGACATTGATTTTCCTTTATATGTGTATAGCAAAAACTTAAAAATCTTCTTCGAAAAAACCCGAATAGCTAGAGTTTAGATATTTAGCATGAAATATCTTCTAGTAAGTGTCTACAAAGATTGTTCAAATAAAAGCCCTTGGGTCAAAACTGGAACTGCCCCAGGGGTGTCATTGTTTTTAAATATATGTGTAAAGAAAAAACTTAAAAAATTTTCTTTTAAAAAACCCAACAAGCTAGACCTTAGATGTTTAGCACGAAACATCTTCTAATGGGTGGCTACCAAGTTTGTTCAAATAAAAGCCCTGGGGTTTAAACTGGCCCCGATTCGGGGGGCCTATATACAGGTGAGCGACTTCAGGGCCATCATGGCCCTCTTGTAAAACATCTGTTTGTTAAAGATCAAACAATAGCCTTTTGTAGCAAATGATGTTTAGAATCTTGTGTGGCATCTATGGTACAGTGGTTAAGGTTAATGACTTCAAACCACTTGCCTCTCACCACTGTCGGTTAAAATCCCACCAGGTACTTTTGATTCATTCATGTGAGGAAGCTATTCAGCTAGCTTTAGAATTTAGGTGCCTGCTTATGTCCAAAGGGTAGTTGATGTCTTCCGCCCCTCGTTCGCTGAAAATTGCCATATGACCTTTACAGTTTAGGTGTAAAGTTGAAACCTGATTCCCCCAACTAAAGCTTAACTTTTTGTATGATTATAACTACATGCATATTGTTGTTATTGCAGTGCAATAGTAGATGACAGTACATCTGTTGCTATGGTAACATTAACAGGAAGTAGTGTACAGAGCATGCTCCAGTTATCAGATGATCAATGGAAATGTCTGGAAGAAGAAGTCAGTAAAACTGGGGAAGTGTTTGTACAACAGGTATTTTACTATATGTGTTTCAATAATTTGCAATGTCTGCTACAAAGATTATCTCATGACAAGCTCAAGATTTAAATAATTGTTTTTGATATCTTAATTATCATAATTGTGAATCTTCTAGTAGTGTACTGCCTGTTGAGTTAAAATATGCTTTTCATGAGTGAAAAAATCTTTTTGTTGTTCTGTAAAATATATGATAGAACGAAATAACACTATAATTCGAATAATTCTCTAAGTGATGGACTATAAAATGTTAAAAGAACTAGTGGGGCAGTCTTATGTTTCTATTAATTTAATATTTATGTAGAAACTTTTAAAGAAGCACAATAATAAATTTTATTGTAAGAAATCCAGACAGAAAATATCAGATAGTTCAGAACTGTCCCCTCAACACCATTTATGTCATAAGATATGTCCCTTTAACACCTTACATCCTAGTCAATAACAACTGTCCCTTTAAACCTTACCTGTAAGTCTATTAGATATGTCCCTTTACACCTTGCATGTAAGTTCATGAGACAAGTCCCTTTAAAGCTTTCATGTTAGATCATAATATCTGTCACTTTAAACCTTGCATATTAGTCCATAAGACCTGTCCCTTAAAATTATTCCAGTTAGTCCATAAGATATGTCCCTTTACACTAGTCTTTTCAATTTAGGCTATAAGATCTGTTCCTTTTATACTAGTCAATAAGGTCTGCCCCTTCAACACCATTCGGGGCGTCCGTGGCCGAGTGGTTAAGGTCGTTGACTTCAAACCACTTGCCCCTCACCGCTGTGGGTTCGAATCCAGACAGGGACTTTGGATTCTTTCATGTGAGGAAGCTATCCAGCTAGCTTACGGAACCTCGGTGGTTCTACTCAGGTGCCCGTTCGTGCCTGAAATAATGCACGGAAGGGCACCTGAGGTCTTCCTCCACCAGTAAAGCTGGAACGTCGCGATATGACCTATACTGTGTCGATGTGACGTAAAACCCAAAACAAACAAACTAACAAACTTCAACACCATTCATGTCAGTTCAAGACATCTCTCCCTTTAACAGCATTCTCTCCCTTCAACACCATTCATGATGTTCTAACTAGATGGTTATAAAATACAAAACACTAATGACAAAGTAGCATACAGGAGGTATCTCAGTCAGTACTATGCCAGTTCTAGTTACTAGCATTTTACACTTTCAGTTTAATCCCAGCTTGACCACATGTTTAGAGAGGTTTGTGTATAGGCTATGTGATAACCATTCTGTGAAACAAACATGGCTTCTGACAATGAGGTCAAGGTCATCTCTGGATATTAACAAAATAGGTCATGATGGTAAGTATCTACTGTTTCTAATTCATTCTTGATTACATAGTAATTGGGGGTGTTTGTGACCGAGTGGTTAAAGGTTATTGATTTCAAACCACTTGCTCTTTACCGCTGTTTGTTTAAATCCCTACATGGACTGTGGATACTTTCATGTGAGGAAGCCTATGGAATGGCAGTGGTTCTACTCAGGTGATTGTTTATGCCTGATTTTTTTTTATAATAATGCATTGAAGGACACCTAGGGTCCTCCTCCACCAGTAAAGCTGGAAAGCTGTCATAGGATCTATACTGTGTTGATGCGACATACAATCCAGTGGGGGGGGGGGGGAAATACAATTTGATTTAAATTTAACTGTGTTGCAACTGAATATTGTTTGCATGTAAGGGCTAATTAGAAAAAGTTATATAAGCCTTAGGCTTCTCTCGGCAACAGTTACTGGTTCTACCTAGTCAACTAGTCTGTGCCAACTATATATGATTATAGTTTGCATTGCTCTTTATTCAAGCAGTACATATTTTGAAAATCTTTCCATACATGTATATAAATGAGGTATGGTTTAATCCATATTTAAAAATCGACATTTCCATTAATACATTTAAGGTGGTAAGGGTTAAAGAATTAATGATTTTAAGATTATTAAATCATAAAATTCATTAGAAATCTTGTTTTGCAGAGTTTTGTATGAAGACTTTTGATACTGGATCATCAAAGATATCAACACAGTGTTTACCATTTCTTCACCTAGAATGTATCACCATGTCTACATTTGAACCCTCAACATGGGCCATACATCACCTCAATATGAAATCATAATATGCCCAAGACATTCCACTCAAATATCATGTCTATATAAAGAAATAGTGAAATTCATTTGTAACTGAACAAACTGTAAAAAAGACCATATACATGTACATGTTAGGTTTTTCATTTTCTTATATTATTTTTTTAAAAAGCATGTCCTATTGCAGTACATTTGCTGATGATAAAATTGTTTATACTGCATGCATATAACCATCTCCAAGTACATGTATTTTATACAAATTTTTACATTGATTATGGTTGTATAAACTAATTATGATCATTTGATGTATTGATACCCGATTCATGTATATCTGTTGTTGTTATAGAGTTAAGAAGTATGACATCATCCTAGATTTTGCTGTTAGTTGCCGATGATGATGAATATAAGGTTTCTATAATGATTTGGTGACGTAATTTTCTTTGTGTACTGTTTGAAGTTTTAAAAAAAAACATTCAATTGATATTTTCCTATGAAACCATTGCTTAGACTCAATACTGTGACCTTCTCACAAATTACTAGATAAGAGTTCACAATTATGTCATGGATTTTGACATCCATATTCCATTCTAAGCTCATCTGAGTATGTCATGCTCATGGTGAGTTTTTGTGATTACCCACATGGCCTTGGACACTATAAGCTTATCTAACCAATTACTAGGTATTGCTTTGGCCTAAAGTCCTAACATTTGTTGCTGAGGTTTGCTATGACAAGTAGATGATCCTGTAAAGATCCTGTAACATAATTTGTTCATGGTTTTATTTCATAAATATGATGCTCAAATTAAGATTTGTCAATATTGTAAGTTCCAATAAGCATTATTTTTAAAGATATTACCCAATTTAACATTTCATGTAGTAAAGGGAGGTAATTAGAAATTTATTTTCTATAAATTATAAGTTAAATTTTCCAATAAGAAATGAATGCCTGTAATTTATTGATTTTGCATAATTATATACATAAATAATTTTTTGCAAGTGTGGTATACACACAGTAACAATATCAATCACAAAACATACAGGATCTTTAAATAGTCAAGGTCACTGAGGCCTTGACCACTGAAAGCTTGTTTGACCAATAACTCAAGACAACTTTTATATAAAGTCCTAAGATAATGTGTACATGTTTGTTGTGATTTGCAGATGACCCCTATTATTTTGGGGGTCACTCAGTCATGGGGTTTGCAGACTAGTTTTTAATACTGTTAATTGAGATCTCCTGTTTCAAGTGATCAGGAACCCTTATTATTTACCTAACTTGAGCTCAACATGCTTATGGCAAGATTTGTGATTCGCTTCGTTCGTTTTGCTTTCTTTGAAATGGGTCATTTGCTTTTAACAATTTTTGTAAACTAAATTTCCTCTGAAACCAAAAATTGCATTTCAACAAAAATTCACAGGAATGATCCTTAGTGGCCCCCCTACTGAAGTTCTGGTTTATTCCAAAAGTATGTCATATGGCCAAAAAAGGGTTTAAAAAATGCTCATTTCGTAGATCTTAGAAATTCCCGAGGCCCAAAGCTTTAATATTTGATACATGTAGTTTGGTGGATTTGTACATTTAACATTAGCTTGTTCATGTGGCATTTTACAACAATTCCATTCTGCTCTCAAATGAATGCCTTTTGGCCAATGGCTCCCTTGTTTATTGTTAAATCCAGTAATGCTAACATTTTTATGGAGGGTGACTGTCTAGCCAATTCTTTTCCTCAATGAAGCTCCAGTAATATGTCCAGCACCTGTTGCAGTTTGCAGCAAAAGAATGTCTGTTTTCACATTAAACCTATGCCTAAAAGTAAAACAGTTACATAAATTATGATTGGAAACAACAGAATATCCCCACTGTTTAGGAATTACATGTAAATGCATCATTCATTTGTAATTGACATGATTTCAAAAGTAATAAAACTTTATACTTTTTACCATATATTCTTGACAACTAATACAAAATATAATAAAAGTTCACCATCTTGTTAGAAAAATGTAAAAGAATATTTTAAATAATGATGTTATACGACTTAAAAACTTCACACATGTCTTTGAAGGTTTTGTTGAAGCCAGAAGGTCACAAAGAACCAAAACTCTAGTAGAGATTATTCTTGTTCTTGGAAAATTACTGAATGACTTTTGTTATACAAACAATCACTCAAAATAGTCAGATGTGTTGTTGTGTGACACTCACAAGAATCATATCTAAGTTATGATGAACTTGAATGTAAATGAATCACATCAGAATATTGATTTTTTTTCCATTCTTTACACATAATTATCATACCAGGAAGAAATATTACATTGATTAAAGGGAGGTAACTTCTGAGATATTATGTCAATATTTGTTTATTGTGGCCTCCCTTTAAACAGTAATTGTTTGACAAGTGATTATTTGTGGATTATATTTATGCTAACAAAACATATTCTGGGATCATTTTGTTTTTTAGGGTATTGGGTGTAAAAAGAAGCCAACCTGTTCCACCCCTCTAAAAATCTACCTAGTATAAAAAATGCATGTAATTAATGTCATGACATTTGATGGAAGGGTGTCTGGGATTCTGGACTCCTAACCATGTGGCAATTGTCCCTGCAACCTTGTCTGAGATAATGACTAAAATCTTGTTACAGTCCATACATGTAATATTATTTCAGGATTTTCTAAAGTTTACAGGCAATGTAAGAGTCTAAACAAACATAAAACTCAGAACAGTTAGATTATTGATTGTTTTGTCTGTACCTAATTGACATCAACAAGTAAATAGAGCTTACAATCATTATATTGTTCTTATTAAATTGATTACATATTATTTTCTAGATATGTGGTAATGAAGTAAAGCAATATTGAGTGGATACATTCAGATATAAAGTATTCATTATTTTATTTTTGTTTGAATAAATTGAAACCAGGTTTTTTTTTTGGTAAACAGAATTTATTTTATATGGGTGAAATGATTTTTTATAGGGTGCAACACAACACAGTCACAAGTTAATAGACTTGCAGATGAGTATTATAATGTTATTAATTATGTAATCTGCTTATTTCATTGTTGAGATTAATGATATTAGACACTTGAATAAATAAATTATCCAGATCAGGTGACAGTCAAATCTGTATTCCAACTATTATAGTACAACATTGCTAGGTAGTTTGCTGATTATATATTGCTAAGTGGTTTTTAAACTAGATTTTTAACCATGAGAATAGTATCTGTATTAACTGTATTTTGCTTGTTGAAGAACTAATAAATATTTGTAAAATTGAATATTGCTGCTATGTAATTTCCTCCAATTGTATGACGTAACAAACAGCTTGAGCAGTTACTCAAATACATTATGGTACCATCATTTACAAGAGTGTTTTCTGGGAAGGGCCTAATCTAATGTTGCTAGAACTTGTTGCCCAACCAATAAGCTTTTTGTTATATACCCATCATTTGTATAATATTTAACATGTATGTCATGCAATACAATATGTTTAAACTAGGAGTGTTTATACAAGTGATATTTTTTAACACTGTCATTATGCATGTTATTGTATTATAATTCATTGTGAATCAGGACGTTTGGTTTTTATAACCAATATTTATAAATTTTTATCAATTTAACTACAATTAGGCGTCCGTGGCCGAGTGGTTAAGGTCGTTGACTTCAAACCACTTGCCCCTCACCGCTGTGGGTTCGAATCCCGACAGGGACTTTGGATTCTTTCATGTGAGAAAGCTATCCAGCTAGCTTACGGAACGTCGGTGGTTCTACTCAGGTGCCCGTTCGTGCCTGAAATAATGCACGGAAGGGCACCTGAGGTCTTCCTCCACCAGTAAAGCTGGAACATTGCGATATGACCTATACTGTGACGATGTGACGTAAAACCCAAAAACAAACAAAACTACGATTGCAAAATTAACATTTATATTAAATTATTGAAAGGAATATAACCCATTTCCCAGCTAGCATTAACTTATTTTTGCAGGCATGCAGGCAATTGTCTGAGGGAAATATTTTTCTTATGAGAAAGGTAAACAAACAACTTGGCTAATTGAATTGATATAAGATAGGTATAGAAAATTATCTATGAAAATTCAATTAACTTAATCTATATGATAATAGTGTACAATGTTGTATTGAAACTATGTAAACAAAGATGTAAAATACATAATAGAATAAAAGATAAACTGTTAGACAGGAGCCACTTCAGTTTTTTATGCATTTATGATTCACAATGGGGTAGTCTGTACCTGAAGTAATGTAAGGATTTGAAAAGGTAAATTGTTAATTATATGTTTTTACAAAGTTATTGAATTACAGATTATTTTTTCACAATAATTGAATGTATTTACATAATTGAAAATATATGTACTATCTTTTTAATGTATTTTTTTACAAAATGATTGTAGTAATAAAAAATAGAAAGATATTACTATAGTTAGCTATTGAAATATTTTTAATGCTCAGTTTTGTTAAAGTAATTTTTCCACCAGACTTAATTGAAAGATTTGGCATGTAAATAAAGCTGTAAAATCGAATTTCTTAATCGAAAGCCACTTTTGAAAATCATGTGAAGTAAAAAGCCTATTATAAGAATTTATTTGAGCTATTTATTTTAATAAACATTGTTATTAAATATGATTATTGTGGAACTGTAGCACAAGTTTAAAGTTTCAAAAATACTTTGTATGAAAAATACCACTCTTTTAATGTTGTAGAACCTAATGTAAGATTAGATATTTTTTTGAAAAGTGTTAAGCATGTTTTATCTTTGATTTTTAGATTGATCTCTATAATTGATCAGTTTTAACTGTTTTACTATGTAATTCTGTAAATAGACCAGTTTTTCTTAATAGTAATTATAGTTGAAGTTTAAAAAATGGCATGATGATGTTTATATTGTTGCATTGAATGATTGCACCGAATTGTACTTGTAACTTATAAATCATGTTGAAAATGATGATCAAAGAAAAAAAATTATGTTCTATTCTGTTCTGATTAAATGTTATGAAGTGCATAATTGGTCATAAGCACTAATATTGAAATAAAAAAGGTGCTTTGAATTGACTTGATTTGATATTTTTATTCTTTTATCATTTTTCAAATAAAGTGGATAATAATAACATCCTGTTGCATATTATATTTGAATAATTTTATATGTTTAAAAAGATATTTTAATCAGCAATTTTCTATACAATATTGCCAAAAAGGGTTATATGAAACATAAACCCCCCTTTGTGCTATATTGTTGACTTAATATATTTCAAAATCAATAAATAACTCAGTATAATAGATGGTTTTTACCATCTTATTGACAGAAAGATTCTTTACATGTCACTGATCAATCAGTTTAAATCATTGCCATTCATTTCTACAATGATTAAAGTAACAAAAAACTGAAATGCTTTATTTGTTTAGTTATTCTCTTCATTTTGCCAATTAATGTCAGTTAGAAAGCATTAGTTGTAACACGTTTATAATCTTATTATTTGAAAACTTGTTTAAACAGTATTGAAAGTATCATGTTTTCAACGCTATTTTGTAAGTTCAATTTCAATAGGACATTTAATAATGAAAATGTGTTTTGCAAAATTTCCTTTTACCGAATTTTGTATAGATATATCTTCAATTATTTTGATATCAGAAGAACATGAAATTTTAACAACCAAAATAACAAAACATAATGTGTTTAATATAGATGCCCTCAAAAATTGAAGAGAACCATAATAAAGAAATTGCTAATAGAGCCCATGTTCCTGTTCAGTATGGTAAATCTACTTTCTCTTAAAGTTGTCATTTTCCAGTGGTATATCAGAGACGACTTATTAAGTTATTAGAGTTTTGTAATAATAGGAAATGGTTTGTTTCTTTAACCTTTACACCTCTATATATGTTTAATAGATTGACCCTGCAGTGAATTTTGGAACTGTCCATTTGTAGTGTTGGGGGAGTTCCATATAGGCTGACATATAAAATGGTGTTAATCACTCGATGTAAATCTAAGATAGAAATGAAAAGTTTGAAAACGTTATAAGATTGGTCATATGTGAAAGGTGGCTTGACTTTATATGAGTGACATAGGGTAGTTAGTTTTCATAGCTAGCATTCAAAGGAAATATACCTTTGTAGCATATATCTAACGTAGATCTTAACTATTTAGTGACATTGATTCCCAAAGGTGCATGACCTTAGCTAAATTTAAAAAACAAAAGACAAGATATTTGCGTGAACAATTTTAGATTTATCCTTCTGTTAACTTTATATTCTATCTGAAATAAATGTGCCAGTAAATAGATACTTTTAAGAGTTGCACCAAGAAAGGAATTAGGCATATGCATTCATTTATCTTAATTTTATTATTTTTTTTTAACCTTCAATACTTAAGTTAATATAGCATTTATCTTAAATGTGCTAAAAGATTTACCACCCTGTTTTCTAAACCTTTGATAATTAATGATAAATATGATTTTACAATCACCCCCTGATGTTTAATTTTATGAATTCTAACAGCGATAATGACTTGGTGCGAACAGTACGTGTAGAGAATTGGGTGCACGTGCTATCTCGTGCAGGTTGATTACAATCAAAAACTGTCCGCTTCCTCCCAGGACCGTTTCAAAATTAAAACAGTTGCACACCTTTTTTCAGGATTAGAGATTATAAACATTTCTGACATAATGATGATCTTGTATACTTCTCTTAGCACATAGACATTAAATCTGCGCTCCTTGATTAACTTAGTTGGTACCTCGGAGAACACAGTGGTAACAGTTTATATATCTCGCTGGTGGAAGTATTTAGAAATAATTAGTTCCAGGGAATAATTACCACTCTCTATACTCGTACAGTTCATGTCTGTAAACATTACTCTGTGTTAAATAAATAAGATATTTGCCTGCCATTAAGAATTAGCAAACTAATTGAGATCGTTTCGGATACATTTACAGGCGATGCACATCTTGGCCTAGCAATTTTATTCGAGAATAATTTCTGGTTCCCTTCCTTATAGCAATCATTTCTTTATCATTTTTCATCTTGAACCACTAATGCCTTTAACTGAAAACGATAGCTAAAATCGTTACCAAAATGGGGAATTAGAAAAGTAAATGGTGTATTCAGTGATATTCGAAATAAAAATAAAAACAACACTATAAATTTCCATTAAATTGTTTTTACTTTGGCAACTCATAAAAATCGTGAAAAATATTTTATAAAATATCATAAAACGATTTTAACAAACACCATTAACATCTTGGTATGGTGATAACAAGGTGGCAATGTTTTATCGGTAACATACTAAGATTGTTTTGTAATGCATTAAAACCACTTTTGCATTGTACATTGTATAATTTTACTGATTACTGAAAACAATTGTAATGTAAAAAATTGTTATTAGTGTTAACCAATTTGCATAGAAGATGACCCATTTTTTTTATAAAGAAAAATGCAAATTTATTGGCAATGAAAGCCATTTGCAGTATGAAAATATTATGGAAATGTAAACATTTGTAAGTATAAAGAAACTCTTACTCGTAGATATTACAAATACAGTGAAAGACCTTTCGACAATATAAAACAACGTTTCAATATAGGCCTCAATTGTGCTTTCTAAAAATGCAGCAACAAGCTTCATTAAACAAAAGAAAGCGTCTTTATTACTCGGAATACGGAATCAATCGTCTAAGATAAGTAGATTGATGTCGTCTATCCAACTCTGATTATTTACAGAACATTGATGTATCACTCCATTTGTCGCTTCAATAAAACAAACTAAGTGGGATTATTTGATGCCTAATATAACAACGAAGTGGCGGACGGGGGAAGGAATGTTAATAATATCATTTAAGCAAAATGTTGCCGCATATTGAAACTGATTACTGCTCAGTGTCCCGAAAATCTAGACCAAATTACAACATAGCAGGCCTTTCGTCAATGACACATTTGCATATAGGTCTTATTAAAAATTAGTCATCGGACACGTTATGTAAATTGTTGAACAACTGTCAAGTCGATGCCCATATCTGATAGCATTAAATTTACAACTTTTTTTCATGTACTGTTTTGCCTTTCAAATGATATTAATTGGGGTGTAAAGTATGAATCTAATGTCAGTCGATCTTCACTAAACAGTAAATTATTTGAGGAAGTTTACATTTGCGTGTTTTTGAACGAGGATAGAAATAATAAACACGCATCTGAAAATGATATTTTGGTGCAACTGAAATTTGGTTGTTTGTTTAGAATGACGCGCAAGCTGTTGCAAGTGTAATCGATAGCAATGTATGGAGACCCAATCATTGCCATGTCATCTTTTCTGGATTTAAAATCTGACAAAAATGTTCAGCCCGTTGATATCATGTTCTAAATTACATTTCAATCAATGTCAATAGTTTGTTTTGGATTTATTTACAGTTTAAATTATTGAACTGTCGACCCACCTTTGCTTATAATCAGATATCAATCTTGGAACACTGAAATTTTCATTTTAAACTTTTTTTATGACCGTTAGATTTTTGCTCACATAAAATTGTATTGTTCAGATATGATAATAATGATAATTAGCCATTGTCTAGTTTACTTATAACAGAAATTTTATTTTAGCCTGACTGTTACAAAGACATTATCATACAAAAATATAATCATTCAAATATATAAGTTGGTAGCAAAGAAAAAGGTGTTTTACAAGTATATAGTAAATCTAAACAAGTTAATTCAAATTTACTTAAAGCACCATACTCTTGTTGTAAATGTGTTTACTTTGATATGCTTGCTTGTTCAGATTTATTGCTTAAATTTTGAATAACAATTATTTTAGATGTATAGGTTTTGAGTATACGTTTTCGTCCGCCTTTAATATTGAATACTTAGTATATAACCAACGTACAATAATGAGTAAATTGTGAAGTGTGAGTCATAACATCATCCTAGGATTAGGCTTCAAGGATAATTAATGAGATAAATTAATAAATATAAGCTCGAGGACATTTCCTCTTTTATTCAGATTGAGAAGCCATAAGAAGGTAAAGTGTCTGAGTTTATTAAATTGTGAAAATGTGTAGACATATTTATCTTTCAGTCATAGACCATACATGTAAAATTCAGTTCTAAAATAGACAAAAATAGAATCCCTAAAGAAAGTCCAACACAACAAAACTGAAAATGTTGCAGGCTCGGTTGATTGAGCCTGTTCATGGACGTACTGGAATGTGCAAGTTTTACCGTCCACGCCCCCTAGCACCGGCATATGCAGAATTCAACATCTAACACGAAAATGGTGAAATTTTGAATTTAGAAACATCCGTAGATGTGTTCATACAGCGGTTATCATGGAACCTTCAATGTGACACAGTTCTATTTGGACTTTTTTACGTCTATGAAATTATTGTGTATCGTATTGGTAAGTTTGATGTAAGTATAACGAAGTATAACGTAGGGTCTATTTAATGAGAATTTAAAGTCTAAATAACATAGAAAATTTGAATTTCTTGCATAAATCAACTGGGGCACTTAAAACAGAAATATAGATGCAAACTGGGAATGAATTGAAAATCGTATTTATGTTTGTACTTTTTAGGCCCGATTTGAGTTAAGAGCGTTGCAACGCTTTTCAATTTGTATCTTTTTTCACAATTAGAATAATCATTCTGGAAAAACGGAGTGAGCAAAATGATCTGAAATTTTGCAAAGTACTGATCTAGACCTACATCAAATGGAACATAAATCTCGAAAAATTATTTCCACTTAAGTTGTGTCAAAAACCTCAGTATGAATTGATAAAACTAGAAAATACATCAAATCCTATACACTATTGATGTACGTTTCCATGCACAAATAGTTTGTGTTATACTGGACTAGACCAGATTTATTCAGTGTCTAAACTCAAAAGACGCAAAGTTTTTATTGCGATAGTTTTATTTGTAACGTTAATAATATTTTCATTTTTACAAGCATTCTGTATGTATGTCTCCACAGCTGTTCGTTTTTTTTTTTTCAATTTTGATTTGTTTTTCTCAAAAAATTAAAAGGAAACCCCCTGACGCCATTTTGTGACAATAATTTATACAATAACGAGATTTGTGCATTTTAGTCGCATTATATACAGAAAATAATACCCGATTATTAAATTACTAAATATCAGACCAGAAGTTTTTACATGCTCTTTTTTCAGTAAAACATTTGTGTAAAGAAAATTATAGTTTGGATTATTCTTATTTCACTGTAATTTACGTTGTCTGATATACGTCTATTAGTGAACAAACGCTGTAACCGTCCGATACCACTCGCTTCCCCTTTAACTTTGAAAAAAATGATATACTGTCTTCACTCGAAATCTCCGAATGGAGAACTACGAACGGTTAATACAATAATAATACAACCTAGCTCTACATTAATCTTCTCCTATGGAATTTTTATGACTTTACGAAATGCTTGTTTTATAGTAAGGAATTTAAAAATTTGGAAATTAAACTAGAATATAATTGAATTAATTAAAAATCTCTTACTTAAAACATGTTTTTCATTGATTTTCACAGAGCATACATAATGAATTACTCGCATTATGATAGTTTTGTTTTTATGCAATGAATTTTGTTTCATAAACTTTCAGGCTCTCGCCGTAAAACTAATATGATCGATCTTCGTTGAAGTATGTAGACAATATTACCATATCAAATTCATAATGAAACTGATATACAGTCGATAACGGTAAAACAAAAATACAACATCTTGATTCGCATTGAAAATAGTCTTGACGGGACGATGGGGAAATCAACACATATTTTATTTTCGTTTTGAATAATAGTGTTTATAATGGTATGGAGTTAAACCGCGACCCGAGCAGCGTCTTCATCACTTCCTATTACAGGTAAGTCCAAATTACTTATTCATAACTTATTACGGTAGTCGTTCTTTTTAAAAGTAACAACCCTGCACAACAAGTATGTATAAAATAAGGCACATATTAACAGAAAACGATTAATATAGATATAAATTGTTGGAATCTGAATTTTTCTTGATTAAATTTGTTAGGACACTTAACATACCAGATAGTACTTGGATAACATTTAATAGATTAATTACTGCTTTTAAACTTCATTTTATTCAATTTGAAAACACCTATACCATGTAAAACAAGACAAAGTTAAACTTACAAGTTCCAACCAGTGAAAGCGATATTTATGTGGCAGGAATTATTTACAGACCGTTATTTTTATTATTTTTGACTATGATTAATTCTTAGCGTCCTTTAAGAAATTATTCTGTTAAAGATAATTTAAAGTTTAATCAAATTAGCCGAATGCATGTTGCTTATTTTTTGGTTTTTTTTTTTGATTCTGGAAGTTTTGTTATAATATTTATGGTATTTCTTTGCATTATCTGGGACAAAAATAATGGTGTATATTTAGGACACTGTACATGTATAGCAAACAGTACACATGATGTGAGGAATGTGCTAGTGGCTTATGTGTTTTAACATGATTCTTTTATGTTTAAAAGCCAATCAGCGGTTGTACATTTACCTCAATGTACGATCACGTCGTGTTTAAATATAAACTTTTTACTTCAGTATACGATGAACAAATCGGTACTTGAAAAAATACTATAAAGTTACTTCCCTTTCTTCATAATAAAATAATTCAATATTATAATAATAACTTCTGCAATTAATATAACGTTAATGACGTATACGTATTGTATATTTATTGTATATCAAACTTTAGAATGTAACTTAAAAAAAATCTTGACATTTGATACCTGTTAACACATGATATTTATATGTTTAGAGCACCAATTGATATTGAGAATTTATCTTTTTTTATTTAAATATCGCCATTTTAGTAGTATGCACAGAGGACATGTTCAGTCAAGCTGCTTGTTCAATCATTAATGAAATTATCAAATAGGACATGCACATTAAAATATATTTTAAAGAAATATTTAAAAAGAAATGTTGACATGTAAATATACGCGCTGTGGTATACACTAGTGTTATCTATGCCGACTTTCTGGCACATGTTATGTCTCGGAACAATGTTTTTCCGTCTTTAAAATGAGCTTACATGAGTTTATATCGTTAAAATAATGGCCTTAGAGCACGATAAATGCTTATCACATGACGAAAGTAGTTTTGAATGTGAATTTATTTGTCATTAAATTAACAAAATGTAAACAAAGTAGTTTTTTGTCTTTCATTAAACATACTAGTCAATACAACTGTACTAATTGCTAAAAAGCAACAGAAGCAAAAGATAGTTCAGGTAATTGGCCAATGAGTAACTGTTTGGAAACTACAACCGAACTCAAAAACATGATAAGCTTTTGAAAATAGAGATAAAAACATTTCTACGACGTAATGGGCCTTCGATATTTGATGCGTTCGAACATATTATTTGTGTTAAAAAAAATCAGAACAAATATCGAATTGTCTAGCTTGAAGAGACAAGAGTGTATTTGGTATAAAGGAAGGATTATTCATCCTATTAGAAGTTGGCAAAATTGACAATAACACGAATAAAGTGTAGAATTTGATATATTGTCCCACTTTTTAGTCTTTTGTGTGGACAATTTTAAGATTAATAAGTTGGCGGGTTCATCCGGGCGCCCAATAAATCATCGCATATTGTTGACGAATGGAAACATTTTAAAATGATGGAATGGATTTTAGTAAAAATATTTGTTCCTAGACTGCTTTTCACGACAAAAACATCAATGGCACTCACTTTTTTGAGATACTAAAGTTACAAGAATAAACATTTACAAGAGTTTTGAACTGTTATAGGGACACAAAATTAAGCCCGTTTTTATGAACGATATTTATGAACGATATTACAAACGATTAAAAACAGATCTCTTTATATCAAAGGCAACGAAATGGGCCATTTAGCTACAAAAATATTGCTTGTTTTAAGCTTTAACACGAAATATTTGAATTTGTTATCTAAGAATGCCCATTAAGCAAACATTATCGGACAGTACTGCAAAATTCACCCCATTATTTGTTTAAAATTTCAAAATTTAATTAAATTAAATTAAAATGCTAAATAAAAGTGGCTGCGACGGACATGAATGTATGATAATATGTAATTTGTCAAGATTTCCATGTGATGTATTGCGCATCTATTCACTGATATCACTTAAAAGTTCAACAACATATACCTCTTCTTTAGACAGTTGCCTAGTCCTTGTATCATTTCTTCTTGGCGTTATTCGTACGGAACAACATGCATGCTTGATATTTGAATGATGATCAAACCAGTACGTTAAAAAAGCTGTAATGGCATTAAACCGCCGCGAAAATCTAACTTTTATGAAAATAATAAAACTATATTATTAATAGGGGGTATATCTTATTTATGACTACGTTTTCTGAACGTTTTATAATCTACATGTATATACACTTGTACATGCCAAAACGTGATACTTGTTCTTAATTTGTGCAGAGTTAAAAACAGAAATAACGACAAATTCTATAATTTCAATAATTTCAGTAGCGTTTTGAATGCTTGTTCATTTCATCAGCTTATACATATATTTAAATGATGATAAGTTCGAATAATTCTCAACATAGAAGGGAACCTTTCCAAAGTGCATTTTCTAAAGTTATATAGCTCTTCAAAGCATGAACACGACAATCCTTTATGTCTTTGAATATTAAACACATCTTTAAATGTTGCAAACGTGAGATTGGAATGTCACATGTCTTTAAATAAGTTGCAATCGTGGTAATAGCCTGAAATGTTTGTAAGTTATAATGACAAGAGACATAAAATATATGCAAAGATCGACGTGAATCTCTTAAATTAATTCAAGCGTTTTGTTGAATCTGATGCGTAATGTTTTATGTGATAGAAGCATTTGATTTATAATCAAGGATCAGCTCCGAATCAGCTCTTAAAGTGGTATTTCTAGAGGTTAATAAAATATTTGATGACTTTTAGATGACGTGACGGCGGCTCAAAGACCGGAATATGGTTCCTAGCATTCAAAATTGCAATATCTTATGTAAATGTTCTCCATTTATTGCTGAAATTATTCTGCTTGTGCAACAATTATTCCGAAAAAACATCTCCTCAGAAGATATAAAATAATGCAAAAACTGTCTTAATTTGTAGCCCGGATAATGAGATAATGGGACATTTTAACATGTAATTTCAATAAAAAGGATTCACTTGTATTAACCTCTTATTACAGATGAAACATTACTGTGTTCAAACATGTGATATTTTGCAAAATTCTGCGGGATGGAGATAAACGTATTTCCAATTGAAGCGCAGTTATATAGCTAAATTCAACTCTGATACATTTTGTACTCATTGACATATCTTGAACTTGTATATTTGCTTGTTAATAAACTCGACTGAAAGCTTTGGATTTGTTTGGGTTTTTATATAAAATAATCTAACACAGTATTTCATTTTAGTTTTGTAGTTTTTAATAAAATATTATATATGCTAAAACATAATGAATAATATAGTTAGCAGTGTATTAGACAATTAGCACGACGTAAACGCTTGCCGTGTTATGATATTGAACCGCAGTGTAATAACATTGTACCGCCGAGTTTTTACATTGTACCACCGAGTAAAAACATTGTACCGCCGAGTAATGACAATGTACCGCCGAGTTATGACATTGAACCGCCAAATTATAACATTGTACCGCCAAGTAATGACATTGTACCGCCGAGTTATAACATTGAACCGCCGAGTAATGACATTGTACCGCCGAGTTACAAAATTGTACCGCCAAATAATGACATTGTATCGGCGAGTAATAACATTGTATCGTCGAGTAATAACATTAAGCCGCCGAGTTATACCATTGAACCGCCGAGTAATAACATTGTATCGCCGAGTAATGACTTTGTATGATCGAGTAATAACATTGAACCGCCGAGTAATAACATTGTACCGCCGAGTAATGACATTGTATCGCCGGATTATAACATTGTATCGCCGAGTAATGACATTGTGCCGCCGAGTAATGACATTGTACCGCCAAATAATGGCATTGTACCGCCAAGTAATGACATTGTACCGCCAGGTAATGACATTGTACCGCCGAATAATGACATTGTACCGCCAAGTAATAGTATTGTACCGTCGAGTTATGACATTGTACCACCGAGTATTGACATTATACCGCCAAGTAATGACATTGTACCGCTAAGTATTGACATTGTACCGCCAAGTAATGGCATTTTACTGCCGCAGTAAATAATAATAAAATGTCACCCAACATGGCAAAAACAAAATGTTCAAGACCTAGTTTGAATAAGCCCGTGTGTGGACGACTGATAATTGCAAGCTGCCGTCAATGCCCCAAGCACCGGCTCAATATGTAATCTTTTTCATGTATTTTGTTAAGTCTAACTTGATTATCTAATCCAGGAAAACGCCTACAACAAGTTGATTCGACCATCAGGACGGACTGTTAATGGAACACCTGAAAGTAAACTTACTGTAAAACTTGGTATGCGGCTTTCCCAGCTTCTTGAAGTTGTAAGTAGCCATTTTTATTTTCTTAATTTGTGATTCTTATATTGATCTAGCTCTTCTTGATCAACCTGGGAAATATATGTATCACACAATACGAAAATGTTTTTATTTCACTCTTTTCTATGAAGAAAGTAAGATTGAATTCCCTGAAAAATATAGAAAGTAATAGAATGATTAAGTTATTATAAATTGACATCCTAGAGAGTGGTCCATAAATTTATAGCTTCCTATATACAACTATACAATCAAACTAAAACAGAACTGTATAATCTATAAATTATTAAATGGATCATTGCTGGATAATCTATCAGAAAATCAAATTATCTTTGTACATTACCTATAAGTTTGACAAATAGATTTTAATGAATTAAATTGATTTACATTTTGAGGAAGATTTAAGAACTGTGACAATATTCTGTTTAATCATATGTGTATTTACAGGGGTTTATTGTTGCTATGTTTCTTATTTAAAACTCTCTATATACGAATGGGATGATTGTTTTTCCTCGAGATTCTTCGGTAGCGGAAATAGATTGATTATATTACAAATTCCAAGTTACTCAAGGATGATTGTTGCCTTTATGTATGATAGCCATTAATAACACGTCAAGTGATATTTCTCTCTCTATTAATACAAGTCTAATTGATACTTGTAGTTGTTTTGTTTAGTAATAGAATGTTAGGAAAACCATCTAACACACTTATCATGTGTTCGACTTCCAAGATGTAATTAAGGAAATAGATTGTTCTTTACGTGTTTTTTTTTATTAATTTCACAATACTATTCACCAAAACAGACGGTGTATTTATACCGAGGCTGACAGTGATTTAAAGTTCATATTTCTATGTTTGTGATAGCTGTTTTTAGTTCAGACTCTCTTAAATGAACAACGAAAAAGTTATAAAATATGTTTAGCACCGTAAATGTATCTACAATATAATTGACATGAATAGTCCTAGGAAGTTATTCCCTTCCGATCGGCTGGAAATTACTGGTATTGAACACCATTAATATTATTTTCACTTTTGTATAAAATTTAAATATTAAAATTTTGCTTAGAAATTGAGTAAGTACTAGAGTGGAAAGTATTTTAGGTAATTATTCACTTCTCCTTTTGCATACACAATGGCTATGCTACTGATATCTTAATATTTTATCTGTTCCAAGAAAGATGCATAGGCTGGGTGCATATTTCAAACGAGGTCATGGCCATCTGCAATGTTGACTAGTTTAATTCCTGATACATTGACAGAAAATAATCAACTATGCTGAATTTACCAAGGAGAATCATTATTTGATATGTTCTACACAAGTTCATGTAGGACAGTCCCATCCCCTTTAAAAAAGTTCTGTCTGTCATTCCCATTTCCTTCGAACATTTCCTGCTTAAAAAGTCTCCAATTTATGACGAAACAATGCAAGCCTTGTAAATGATTATATTTTGTCTACAGAATGCTTTAAAGCCGCTGTTTCTTAAGTCTCCTATGTGACTCTTTGTGCTTTTGAAACACATTAAGCGCTTGTAATGTGCTACAATTGATCACGCTATACACGACAATTTAGTGGGAAAATATTAATAAGCTAATGGCTAAAATGATATTTATTGTAAGCTAAGTAACTCCATAAAGCTATTTAATCATTAAGATTAATTCAAAATTGTCGGGCATTTTCTGGTTTTACTTAGAATTAATTTATTTCCAAAAAAGGTTGTTATGTATGCAACATATTACATGTATATAATTTATATCTGACCAGTTGGTATTTCCAATATTATCATTGTTCTATTTTTAGAACATAAACTACATGTATGTACTAGAAGGTTCTTAACTGTTGTAGAAAACTCATGCATTATATTTAGATAGAAACTTCTGGAATGATCTTTATTGTTGAAGTTGCTAGATTATGATTACTTGAGAACATAATAGACCTTTCTGGAAACTTCTTAGTTAATATATATAAGGAGACATTTTTCATTAATCTTATCTTTAAGTCATCAGTTACCTTTTTAGTCATCAGTGATCTTTTAAGTCATCAATATATTTGGAGTATTATTCAACTTGGAAATTAAGTGATTTATTGGAGCTTGGATTATTAATTATTCTTGTGGATTTTATTGTGGGAATTTATTCTAAAGTGTTCTTGGAGTTAACTTGGATTTAACTGTGCTATTAAAAAAGGATCATTCCAGGATCAGACTAGACATTTGTAATTTTTATTTGGACTTCAGGTATTTGTAAAGATAATTTGTTATTTTATTTTTTCTTTAATAATTTTTCTGTAATAAATTTGTTATTGTTACAAGTTTGTTGCTGGCTTTTCTTTCTCGTTACGCCTGGCTCGTAACAAGGTACACCATAGTTATTAGATAAGCCATTAATGCTTTTTTCGAGATGTCTGATCAGGAGCCATGCTGTTCGCTATCAGTTTCTCTACTTGTAAAAGAGTTGGTAAGCGAACAGCATGGATCCTGATCAGACTGCGCGGATGCGCAGGCTGGTCTGGATCCATGCTGGTCGCAAACGCAAACGCATTATGTTGGTTTTGTCGTGGCGCGACTCATTAATATAATTATACAAATTGTATTTGCCAATAACATTATATACAATTTATATGGTAAAAATGGACAAATATTCAATTCAAATCGATTTTTGCCATAGTTAAACATGAAACCTTTGAAACGCAATGTGATATTTGTCGAATTTTTAAAATTTTGCCAAAGGTTTGTTTAGAAGGTTTATATATGTCATCGCAAACTTTATAGAGCTGATTCTAAATTAATGAAATACTGGTGTAGCCTGGTGTATGATAGCCATCAATTACACTTCAAATAAGCACTCTATTATGATATGTCTTAAGACACTATTAGGGAAACTGTTCTTAATTTGTTTTTTTAATACATTTGTAATACCACATATGTAAATGATTGACCTTTAGCACAAATTTATTGTGGCTGCTTTATGACGTTCTACAGTCAGACCGAGCATTGTTAAAATACAAAGTACCTTCCGTCTGTCGTAGATCAGTTAGATCTCTTCAACAGTTTAACCTCGATATTTGGCAATACAATATGATAAAAAATATATACGTTCTAAGCTTGATTCCTTTTTTCTTCATAAGCATTTATAAAAGTTCTATAAAATGTAATACAGATATAGAGATGATAACAACATGCGTTACTAGAATAATACGTATTTGATAATGAATTAGACTTTATGGTATATGTTGTATTGAATCAAGCTATAAATAAATATAAACTGTATACAATAACACGTGGATATGTTCCCAGTGCGATGATCTTCGCTTCATAAAGAAACAAACTACTTTCATCAATATGAAGTCTCACTTCATATAAAATATTTTTTACGCATATGATTTGTTTTAATGTTACTACTTAGATTTATCAATGTGTCGAAGTTGAAAACCGTTACACTCATAGACTACAACAAAAGCAACAAACGAAGGAGAGCATTGGAATTTGTTTAAGTGTTTACTTGCTTTAACAACTGATGTGTACTTGTTCTTATGACTATGAATCACCTTGTGTCTTTAGAATTTTATTAAAAGGACACAGTAATGTGTATCATGATTACATTTATTAACATTTCCCGTAACTTTTTTAAATGTCGAACGAAATTCTTCGTCAATGGAAACATATCTAAAGTTATTACTATTTCTTCATGTAAATTTTGTCCACATGGTCTTGTTAAATATTAAGTTATTCCATTCTTTTTCTGAGCTTGTCTCTTAGAAGCTACTTTATATGCTAATTACAGTAAATGGATCTAATAGAATTGACAAGAAGGATGCTCGGATCGTTTGTTGACCAATAAAAAGCTAGTCACTTGTGATCCGTTGAGCGTTTATTGCTCTATCATACACTAAACACCAGTCAATTTCACATCAAATAATCATGGTATTCCATATAAAAGAGAAAAGTCTAGAAGAGGTTTTAAGATAAACATTATATATCATTTCTTTTATCATTTCCTTTATATGCCCAAGTTTCTTTCATTTCATTTATCTTTATGCTTGAAATAACGAGAAATTAACCTTTTAATTGATCGGCTATAGCCCTTAAATTGACTTGTCTAGCTTCCATATCTAGACCTGTCCATAAACATATTAAGGATGTCAAGATGAAAATTAAAAGTTAGTCAGTTGACAGTATTGTACTTTGTCAGACTGTGCAGACGAGACTTGTTTTAGTGCAAAAGACGGATCTCTTTTCGGTTTCAGTAAGGAAAGGGTTAAGATTTGATTATATTCGCGATGTTAAAGTAACATTGTTTTTCATACTCACAATTTATGTTAGTCGTGGATTCTGAAGAATGCATTGTCTAAAACAAATTGATTGATTGTATTCTTGCCCCTTGCGAACGCGTTTTCTTCTTCTTGGTTCTTTCAAAAGATGTAAAAAAAATCTGTCTGTAAAAAAACTATTTTTATTCATATTCAGTCAGCCAACATTGTCAATGTTGACATTTTAAAAGTTACTTTTCATTCCATCAAGTTATATTAGATTGTCCTTTATCAGCTATCAGCAAGTTCTGTCAAAGCTATCATTGTGTGTCTGGTATCAAGATATATATCAGTTTGTATGCATAATAAAGTCTCTTGTCTGTGATAATATAATACATTTCTAGCCGTCTTTGAATAATTGTCATTGTTGTTTCTAGAATATTTTGAATTTTCTGTTCTGCTGGAAGTGAACTCTTTGACAATTGCATTAACTATGAATGACATGTTATGCATGCAGCTGAGTACACTATTCCCGCAAGCAAGTAAATAGGCTTAATTTGGCTATGCATTGTATGGTAAATTGAGTTTACTGTAATTTTCTGCAAAGGTTTCTCAATATATTCAATAATTAGTACATAATAGAACTAAAAAAAAAAATATCATTGTCATTAGCGGCATCCAACAAGTTAACAGGCTCTTGCCTTTAGCCAGGGACACAAAGTATGTGAATATAATTTGACATCTCATAGAAAAGACTCAGTAT